CGCACCTTTTCCCGCCATGGACGGACCATCGGCAGCCCGATTACTACCTCCGCCTGAGACTCGACCCCTCGGAGAAGCCGGTGATGCTTTTGTTGCATGGCCGTTTGACTTCTCTGCTTGCGGTGGACAAGATGCAGCCGAGTTTAGAGCGCTGTCTAACTTATTCCTTGAGGGTGTGGGTGGGTGTTGGGGGCTGTAACTGAGACCACGGCCCTGCATACTCACTGGGGCTTGTGATGGCTGCTGATTCCAGCTATTCGTTGCTGGCTGGAGATGAAGCTGCGAAGAGGAGTTGACGGGGGCCCAGGCATTGGCAGGTGTTTGAAGGGTTGCCAGAGTTTGATCTGGTTTCCAATAGTTGGCCATCTGTTGAGCTTGAGCCCAATCTTGCTGCTGTAAGTAATGCTGATTATGAGGCCCCACAGGACTGTGGGAGGTTTGTGGTACCGGACTTCTTGGTTGAATGTAGGGTCCACCTGAGGGGCTCCTACTCATCCAAGGTGGACAGGCCGGGTTGATGGTAGGTTTTGGGGCGACAGGAGGGGGATTCTTGAGTTTTATTGTTCTGGGTTGCATGAAGTTACAAGCCTCAGCACCAAGACTAAAACAGTCTTCCTCTGACTCAATAAAAGACCTCCTTTCCCCTTTGTTCTGAAGGTGATGATCTGATCCTTGCGTCGGCCTTGGCTGTTTATTGGTGCCTTTCCTTTTAGGCTCTGGAAGGATGCCGGTCTTTATTGCTGGCACAGATATCCGCTCATCTCTGGAGGCTATGATGTCTCCAGTTGGGGACCAAACTTGCGGGTTGGTATTAATAGGCACAGGTACTCTGAATCTTGGTTCTTGTCTCTTTGTCACTGGAACCAGGCCACCAGGCATGACAGGGGCAGTTCTGGAGGGAAATCCTAGGAAAGGCTTTGCGGTTCTGTTTGGCACCAACGGTCTTGGAACGTTGGAAAGGTTGTTCATTTGTTGGATACTTTCTCGGTATTCTTCTTGCTGTCGTCTATCTGCATCCATGTAGTTGGCCGGATCAGCATGCACATACATTTCCTCAGTGTCATAAACATTCTGTCTTTCCCCACACTCGGATTCTTGTAATAACTCCAGAGTGTATCCTTTATTCCTCAGTTCGTCTTGCTCTGACCCAATTTCATCGATGCGTTTGCGGCATTGGGTGAACATCTCGACGCCCTTACCTTTTGTTTCTGGAAGTACTTCCATGTCTTTAACACTTCCCCAATCCCGACTTAAATTGTGCTGCTGCTGATAAACAGAATAGTCCTCTTCGAACTCAGATTCACTGGTCGCCACAAAGTTATAACCAGATGATCTGACTCCAGTTTCCTCCTCTGTCGGGTCTTCGCTGTCAAGCCTTTTCTCCCCAGTCCCGTAACTCACAAGAGTATACTTCTTTACCCTCTGGCGGCGTTTTTTAAACAGCAAGGCGCCCTTATTTTGAGGGTTGGGTGCATCCGTTAGAAGCCGAGCTATACGCTTGCATTTGGACTTGGTTTCCTTGACGTTTCTTTCCGATTGGCTCTCGTTCTGACTGAGCCCTGAGGAAAAGGAGAGAGAGGGACAGTAAGAAGTGAAGAGAGGTGTGGAAGATGTAAACATATAAATATATATTTGTATTTTTGTCTGTGGACATCCTACAGTATTTAACTAAACAAGGCTTTGTTTAGTTGGTAAAAGTAGAAAAGTAAAATGATTGCTTGTTGCTTGATATTGGGGGATTTTAAAGCAAGCACACTAATAAGAGTAACTAAGAATAACGTGCTCCCCCTGAAGCCAGAACACTAATAAAAGCACCGTATTCTCTTACAGATGACGGGGGGGGCTCCATGAGGCAAGAAAAATGAGGAGCTCAATTTCCATTGCCGGCAAGTATTACGCTTGTATAGGGATCTGGTGACAGGGCCGGCTGACACATGTTGGTGTCCGTCAAAGTAGTTTCTGCCAGCCTCATCATATGGTCATATTTTATTCTTAACTCACTCTGACTTTTAAAGCCATGGGAATTCTCCCTGCAGGTCCACCTCAAATAGACCCCACGTTACAGCATGAAAATAACCAGCAACAGCAGGGTTTTGCATGTGTTATGCATGAAATTATGTCTTAATAAAACACCAACAATGATTAAAGGAAAATACACTGAATTCAAAATAATAATAATAATAATAATAAAGTTTATTCATGCCACTGGAGAAGCAAACACAACATTACATTTCTTTCTATTAATAAGTTAGTAATTATTCAAGTTAAGAAAAACTTTTAGAATATGCTGTACAGTTTACATTACTAGCTTAATGTGTCTAACGACTGAGGGTAGAAGACAGATACTTACGCTTGGACTTTGCCCTCTGCCTGTCCGGTCTGCAGAGATCTGTGTCAGACTCCGAGTTCCACTTCTCTGCCTGCTCAGCAGCCTTGTCTGGAATTCCAAAGAAGAGCGAAGCAGGAGGTGCTTCACTGCTCCCTCCTTCCTCTGAAGAACCAACACTCCTGTTCAGAGTCCCTGGGCCCTGACTGGCTCCCAGGGGCTGCTCTGTGGTCAGGGTCAAGGCCAACGTCATGTCAGCTGCACGGTCAAGAGAGGAGGAAGAAGACTGCGATGGCGGCCGTGATGTCCGGCCGGCTTGAGGCTCAAAGTTGGGGCCCTCTGGGTGTGTGGACAGTGATGTTGGTGGAGGTTGGATTCGAGGAGACCCCGTTGCGGACTCGTTAGATTCACTGAGGTAAATGTCATCCTCATCTTTGTATGAAACCTCCTCTTCACTTGGGCAAAGCTCAGGCGGGGACTGTTGCTCACCTGCAGACTCCCAGTCTTGTGACTGAAGGCGTGCTGGCGACTCAAGATCAGACTGGCGGATGCGAGCAGGTAGAGGGTCTGAAGGGTAGTCTTCATCACTGGCATCATCACACAGTTCCTCAGAACCGTCTGAACCTGACCAAGGAACCATTTTATCATTGTGGTCTGGGTCTTCGGCTGCCGGTTCCATCTCTAATGCAGTTTCAGAATGTCCTGGGTATCACCAATAATACCTTCACAAAGAAAAACAAAGGAGCCTTTTGAAAGTATTTCTCATTTTAGAAAACAAATTGATATGCAATTTATAAAATACTCTTGACTCAATGAATGTAAACAATAAATTACTCTTCAAACGATGACCATAAACTCCCTTCTTTTTTTTTCATCTTCAGATAAAGATACAGTTTGTAATATTCCAAGGTACCGTGTAATTGTGTGAATTGTTCCTACCCCCAATAGGAAGTGCAGCTTTTCTTTGCTGCCATTGCTTTAAATGGAATGGTATGTAATACGAAGGAGGGAAACTGCATTCACATGCAGGAGGATAAGCAAAACAATTGGGAGGCTGTTTTCCAAACCTCTGTTTATACAATGAGGTTTCTTCTTCATTGCTGCTCTCAACTATCAGTGCTACAAACAGCCCTGCAATAAGTATATCCATTTAAGAGCTGATTCTGAGCGACTATTTGATTTATACATAGTAGAAATGCTAGGCCTCCTACTCCCTCACATGGAGGAGTGTTTGTTTTGTTAGCCAAGTATTAGCATATGAACATCTATCTATCTATTAAACGATCCAATGTAAAACAGCTGCAATGGTTTTCCATAAAATCATGTCAGCCAAAACCGACATAAGATAAGGTGGTTTTGCTGCTTACACCCTATTTATGTTAGTTTAGGACATGAACAATTGAAATTGCCTTCGTAATCCGAAACTATAAAATTCATGATCATGTTCATGCCAAAAAAATTTACGCTCTTGCCGACCCAATGTTTATTTACAGAGCAGCGTCAGAACAAAGGATGGTTCAGCAGTTTGATTCAAAAACCGTAGGGAATCCAAAATATGAAGATTTCACTGCAAACACAAGGCCTATATTTTCCAAACCGAGATCCACCACAGGGTGGCGCTACAACACTGTGGGTAACGACTAGGATTCAATCTCCCCCTAATGAGTAGATTCAAACTAAAAATACAGTAAAAACATCTTGTTTTACACTCATAATTTACCGTTAAATAGTATTTATATTATCTTAGATTGCAGCTGTTTAATAAACATATAATAGTCTGTCAGGCCAAACGATCAGGGCTCGAATGCACATTCACTGATTCAGTTCTTCATGTGTCAGAGTAACATCTGTGTTTGCTGTACGTCACTGTGAAGACACCACGGCTGAAGACGTTTTCGAGGTACTACAGAGTAGAGGTTTGTCCCGATGGTGGCGCTGGAGGTTTAATATTTCTCTGCTTTACTGCGAGATTAAAAAAAAAAAAAACGAATTGTAGCACTTTGATTGCACCTATAATGGCTCTTATCTAAAGCAAGTTGTAAATTGGCTAATCGATGAAATTGCACTTTCTGGTTCTTCTGGGTTTGTATCCTTATGGTTGAAATGCACTTATTGAAATTGAAGTATAGTCCAATAATCTTTTCTGTATTTTACAAATATACACCTGATTTGTACCTGTTTTTTCTTTTGTTTTACACAGTTAGAGAAGCAATAGCCTTTGGAGAGAAATCCTTGAATTTTTTAGATGCAGTTTTACTAGCTTGCATCTTCCCTTTTTTGTCTTTCAAACGTTTGGTATGATTTGTGATCAAGTGAAAGCTTAATTAAAATGTATTGATCAAGCTCTATCCTATAAGTAAAACAAAGGACTACAAAAGAGTGTAAATGCAAATTAATACATCTGAATTTCAATGTTAAACAGATTTAGTTTACAACCAATTTACAATCAGGAATGCTCATTAAATAGAGTGTAACCCAGATTAAATATTGGCTCATTTTTATAGTAGTAATTTATGGTCCTTCCTGTCATGTACACGAGCATTTGCTTCAAAAAGATGTATCCATATAACCCTGGAAGTAGGACATTGAAGCTGTTGATGATTGCAGCTGGAGAGCCTGTCATTTTATGACAAAACGCAATAATCAACAACAAAAAACAATGACAGTTCAATACACCATTGCTCACATACAGTGCAGGTTATATTACGGCAAAGCTTTGTAACTGGATCGAAGGATGTTGAAGCCTCAGGCCAATCACGTTGTCCTCTGTACCGCTTACAAGAGGCCCTATGACACATGCAGCTCCAGGATTATTAAAAGACTCGCACTCTTGGATCATTTGTCTCTTGCCAAAGCTTCTCTTCACACTTGGTTCCACTTGGTGTTAACACTCAACCATCATCAAGCCTTACTTTGGTGCTAAAGGAGTTTCTGTTTCCTAGTATGGCAGCAACCTCAGCATGTTGAGTCATTGCCATGGAAACAGGAAGTCAGCATCCTTGACTAACGAGTTGACTCTTGGTATGGATGATGACCCCTGCCAGGATTGCGCTTCAGCAGGTTAGATGTTTCCACACAATAAGACTACCTTACTTCAACCACTAACAAACCCGTTAAACAGCTACAAATATACTTTTTTAGTACAATAATCGTGAGCATAATAAATCTTAATCAGTCTTAAATATATCACTTACACCAGTATTCACCAACATAGATGTTGCAATCATGTGCATAGAAATATCTGTTAAATAGTTTATTGTACAGCATATTGCCATATAATCTCCATGAAAAGAATAAAAGAAAACTGACACAACACTAAATCTACACTGGTCCTCTATTACTACACTTACTACTTGTATGCATGAAAGATGAAAGCAGACAGACTATGAGATAATCTCACTATATTCATTTCTAAACAGTTAGGTTATGAAAGAGAGCGATGCGGCGTATGGTGGAAGAAAGCCACTATCAAAAGATCAAGGCTAGAGAAGCATCATCCATTACTCACAGTAATCATCCCTGAAGCAGCTGCAAAATAATACGAATTTGTCCAAAAAACAAAATACCCCATCAGTCAGACATCCAACATTGTGGACTTCCCATGCTGCTGGTTTCTAGACCTGACGGTAGAATCAAGAATGTGACTACTTGTTTTGGACTGCAGATGTTCAGGTTCAGGTCCTGCCTTATTGGTCATAGTGAAGCCCGGCTCATTCACGTGTGCCACCTTATTTAAAGAGAGAGTGGAAACGGTTTTCCTTTCCCCAACCCCCTACAGACACAGCTCAGTTAGCATATTTTAACCACAAAAAGAGATACAGATAAATAAAGAAACTATATGTAAAATAAACACAGGCTTACAGCTTGTTGCTCTTCAACCACAACAGTTACATGATGCATTAATGAGTATTTGCACATAGCAGTCAATAAGCTTATGGAATTAGGTTGCACATTAAAAAGCTGCGGTACAGAAAATAGATGACGTAAGACTGCTGTTCTTTGACAGAATGCCCGTACTTGGAACTGTATGAGGGTTTTTTAAACTATGGTTTGCAGCAGTAATATGGTGATGTAGAAACTGCTTTATAGCTGCATTAAGGAAACTGATTCCATTTATATTAAAATTGATTGTCCACTTGTGTATTTATTTCATAGTTGTTGTGTTTTTATTGCAGCAAAGTACCCTGCTTATTAAGTGAATGTACTTCAAGTGAGAGGGGCACTTAGGAATGACTGAAGGAGAAGCACAGGTATGCATTACATTAACGGCAGGTCCATTCCATTCACAGTGTTATAGAGAACAATGCATACTTGTTTGATGTCTATCCCTTCTGCATTGGCTCTGTGAAAAATGGACAAGGTCTGTCTCTTTCAGTCTTTTTCCTTTACAAGAAAATGAATTTACTAACACATACTCTATTAAATTAACTGTTCAATTCAGCTCATCCCTTAGAGTTGAAAAAGGATAGTTTATCTAGATATGTGAGAGTCTTACAGATCAACAGGCCAGAGTAGGTCTGTAACAGTGAGCATCTTCCACTCTTCTGTCCCAGGTCCGCCCACACTCTTTCTAGATCGTGGCTTTCCATCACTGCCGAGCTGAACAAATAGCGGTAACAGCAGGCGTTATAGCGGATATGTTTCTCTCCTGAGAACCTGGAGCTGTGTTTTGGTGTGACGCCAGCCTTCTGAGCACAAAGGCCCACAAAAACATCCGGCCGCACAGGCGCACGGACCGCTGCAGACGCCACATACACTTTTCTGACCACATCCTGGGATAGAACGTAGGCCATTCCATCACAGTATTCAGGTAGGTACTTATCAGGGTAGAGTGCTGGCGGCAGGTAGCCAGGACTTTTGGGGTCCCTGTCAGGGGATTCTCTCTGGATCACCCTTCCTAAATAAAAGTCCTCTGGGTGCCGGTGCAGCCCGAGTAGGTAGCCTCCGATGGCTGGGAGGTTCACAAACACAGAGTCCTTGGTCAGCAGAACAAAGCGTGCCACGGGACAGAAGGCGATCACCCAGCGGAGGGCCGACACTGTCATCTCTGTTGGGCCCCGGAGAGATGAGTCAGCCACAGCGTGACCTTGGGCCATGTCCCCGTGACGGTCAGACTCTATCGCGAGGGCCTTTTGTGCAACGAAAGTGTCGGTTGATCCAAGGAAGAACAGTATCCGAACTGGGAAGCCTTGTATGAGCGTTTGGTTGGCCCATGTCTTCCTCACTGCATCTCTTTGGGTGACATTAGCTGTGGAGCTGAAAACCAGAGCGAGGAGGAAGAGGTTGGAGTTTCTGCAGGCATTGGGGTTAGTCATTGGGTAGTCGTGGGAAATGTTCTCCCTGGCGCTGCTCAGATCTAGTTTCCTTGCTCTCTCTCTTACATCAACAACTATGCCATCGGTGTAGACCGCAGGCGTGGGCTGCAAGAGGTACTCCTCGACAATGTCCGCCCCAAACAACAGGGCATGGAAGAGGACGACGTTGAAAAGGAGGAAACACCACTGGTGGGTCCGCAACTTGCACGGAGAGCACTAGAGTACGAGAGACAAAATGTATGAATCACCATGAGGGAAGCCAAATGAACACGGTAGGTTATAATTAGCAAATAGTCAAAAGTGTACCTTCATGACATCCGACTTAAAAGCCTTGTTGTTTCGCTGTGTGTTTTAGCCGTCTGGGACCTGAGGACGTCCCCTTGTTGTCGGTTCAACAACAATACTAGCTGACGGACAGGGTTTCCACTTTCATGAAACTCTAGCAGCATGTAACCCTGCACCCCAACCCCGAGTCACATGCTTCATCAAGAGGTTCCTGCATCATGCTTACAACATTAATGATTCATAGGAGAAGCAGTTTGATCATCCCGCAAGGGCACCCAGAACATGTACAAACAAATACAAAACTATGTTAAACTCTGATATAAGGAGAACAAATTGAAGCCAAAGTTGTGGATAGTAGCTTGCATTTTTAGTTTATCATACAGCCCATTCTTTATTTGGGAAATAACCCAATAAAACATTTAGCAGTTAACACCACATTTTTCAACCTAATATTTTAGACATTTTACACCTAATATATGTACTTATTTTTCCATCATTTTTTCGAGCTAATATTTTGGGGACCTTTTCAAAACATTTCTGCTTTTTTTTCCATGGTATTTTTCGCTTTGATTTTTATTTTATTACATTTTTTGACCCAACATCCTTTGATCCAATATTTGGGCTTTTTTTCCATGGCATTTTTCGACCATTTTGGACTGTTTTTTTTACCTAAAGCAAGAAATAGTGGTACATGTTTCACCGTGACTTCTACCAAAAGAACGATCCCCCAAAAGGTGCGCTGCGGTCTCCCACTCAGGCCAGCAGGTGGCGGTACGGCGATGTCTGCCGCTTACACCCACGAAGAAGAAACCAGTTCTCCAAACATTGAAAGTCATGGCGGCTTCCATTGAGAGTTTACTCGCAGAAATCTCCGGTGTTGACGATCCAATTGAAGAGTTACAGATTTTAAAAACAGCTTTATTATCGATCCCTCTCAGCGCGTTGAGAGACTCGCTGAGCGGACAACGTTTCAATGTGATATTCTCTCTGTTACACTCAAATGAAAGGTCGGTTTGTGTGTATTTGTTCATGCTGTTTAGCCAACTGGTGGCTGTTAACTGCTGATTCACTCCTCTGGCAAAAATGAGTATTAATGTCGTTTGCAATAACTTTAATAATAAATTGCTAGAGATTATGGAACTAACGTTAGCTGGCAAATGTTGCATTTATACCGTGCTTTGTAGTTAGCAAGCTAACTGGCTACAGTGCTACACATACTTTACAGATCCCTTTGTTTGGGGGAAGTAAATATTTGAATCTGTATATCTGAGGAAACCGTTGCTCTCCTTTGGGCAGTGCAGGTGCAGATAATTGTTAATAATTGTCGAGCTAAACCGACCAATAAAAACATGTAAATATCAGTATGCTTACAGATTTTCCCTTTCGCTTCAAATTCCTCACAATGATTTTGGTAATGTATTAATTTGTTTAGAGCTAAGGTAACAACGTTACCTTCTTCAATGTGAATGTTTCTAAATCTTTCACATGTTAAAATCACCTTTTATAGTGCGGTGGAGCTTGAACATTACTAATGGTAGCTGTGTTTACAGGGAGCAGGTGGAGCTGTGTGTGGAGATCCTTGAACGCATCTTATTGGCCCTTAGTCCTGTTTCCTTGGCCCAGAACTACAGAGTGGAGCTGCAGGGGGGTCTGACCCATCCTAATGAAACGGTTAAGATACTGGCCCTGACACAGGTAGGCTTTCCACACACACCCGTTACACGCACACATATATATACAATCACTTTTAAACTGACCTTGCCAAGTTTTTCTGTCAGATTGGTAGAATTTTGGAGCACCCGGATGCTGCCACTGAAATCCTCGACAACCATGACATTCTTGGATCAGTGATCAACTGCGTTGGAGAGGAGAAGATGGCTGTGGCGAAGCAGGTGGTTAGAGGCACTGAGGTATCCTGCATTAAATTGTAATGAATCTGCAGCGGGTTTAGTGATTGTCTTTTTTTTTTTTTAGGCCATCAGGTCCCTGTCCAAACTGAGTCACTCCAAGTCCGGGTTAGACAAGTTGTTCCAGAGCGACCTGCTGAAAGTTGTGAAGGATGTGATGGCCACAAGTGACATAGTCCGGTACCGGATATATGAGGTACGTTCAACCAGTGTCAGTTTTTTTTTGTTTTTGTGGCTGATGATACAAAAGTGACAACTTGTGGGACAAGCAGTTGTTGTTCTTTTAAAGAAAGTTTATTTTGGTGGGAAAAAAGACCAATGATACCAAGATATTGTGCTACGTGCACACTTAGATTAATTTATATAAAGTTGTTTCTGTAGTGCGTAGTAATGTACACACGTACAAAACAGCTGTCGTATTGATGCCCTAATAAAGACGTTTCTTGCCATTTGCAGCTTGTGGTGGAAATTTCGTCAGTATCTCCCATTTCTCTGGGTTACTGCGCCAACAGCAGGTTCATTTCTCAACTAATCGGAGAATTGACTGGAGACGATGTATTGATCAGGTGAATATAAATTATATAAATAGTAACTCAGAACTTATTCAGTAAATAATAATATAGTTACTGCTAATTAAGAGGTGCTATATTGTTGTGCCAGTGTCTCATTTCATCAACAATTATGTGAACGTGTTTCTGTCGTGTTTTTCTCCAGAGCCACAGCCATTGAGATGGTCACTGCCTTAGCTCAAAGTCAGCATGGCCGTCAGTATTTGACCCAGCAGGGTATAATGGACAAGATTTCCAACATGATCAGAGGAGCAGAGACTGACCCTTTATCCTCCCTCTACCTTCCTGGTGGGTATCTGTTTTTTTATGGGGGTTTTTAATATTATGTTCAGGTGGCAATTTTGTTGTGATTCAGTTTGAATAATACTCATTTAGGTTTGGTGAAGTTCTTTGGAAACCTTGCCATTATGGAGAGCCCACAGCAAGTTTGTGAAACCTACCCGGCCTTTCAGAACAAGGTGTTTGAGATGGCTCTGGATCGGGACCCGGCAATGATCGGTGTGGCTCTGGACACTTTAGGGCTACTCGGATCTACTGTGGAGGGCAAGCAGGTTCTACAAAAAGCAGGTTCGCCTGTTATCTGTATTTTCTACAAAGTCCTCCCAGCTTTTGTTTAATAAAAGCGAAATCTGACTACGGAGCAATGCCCCCCCGTCCCCTCTTACATTTAAATATTTCATGTGTGTAGTTGTGTTGGGCTCTTTGCAACGGATTATCTGTGTCTTCTCAGGAGAAACGTTCAAGGCTGTCTTGGCAAGAATGAGCCAGCTTGCCAGCGCTGGAGCCACTGAGCTCAGGGTGCGCAGCTTGGATGCTATATCACAACTTCTAACACTTCAGGTGTGTGTCTGTGTGTGTGTGTGTGAATAAGGAGCATTTATTTGTTGTCTTAAAAAGCCATTTTCTTTTAGAAGAGAAGTGTTTATTGAATGTTTAATGTTTTACTGCAGCCGGAAGAGCAGACGGACGACCTCTTGGCCCTCACGGAGTCCTGGTTCCACCTTTTGTCTAACCAGCCCATGGACATGATCCGCAACATCAGCACTCAGCCGTTCCCTGAGCTGCACTGTGGCGCTCTGCGGATATTCACCGTAAGGGCTCCTTTCTTCCTCCATCGTTTTCTCACATCTGACTGTAAAGAAAAACAAGACGGAGCTGCACATATTGAGAGATAGCGTCTTGTTTCTGTGTGTGTTACATAAAAAGCAGGATGTCATGAACATAGTGGCAGTAATATTTCTAGCTTCATAGTATCTGTTGTGTGTTTTCCAGGCCATTGCCACGCAGCTGTGGGGTCAGAAGCTAATGATCAGCACTCCAAGTTTCATGGAGTTCATTTTGGACCGTTCAACGGGTCAGGCAAAGGACGCCAAAGATGCTAAGTTTGAGCTGGTGGGGTCACTGGTCAGTTCATCAACAGCCGTGGAGATACTGGGCAGCCAGTATTACATCCGTCTGAAGACCTTCCTCAGAGAGGGACCGTACCACGTTTCAGCTGTGCCGTCTGTCAGCACAGATGGAGCAGACTAATTCAAACAAAGTTCATGGGTCTAGTTGCTTTAAGAGTCTTTACCAATTACTTTAAGCACTGACTTTTACAGAGATTTACATAATGTTTACTATCCAGGCACTTCTACACATCATAAAGCACTCGCCAAATCCTTCAAACAATTTTTTTTGTGTAAACAATACTTTTATTTACCAAATGGAATGATTTTTTTATTAAAGAGGATGGAGTCTGGCGATATGTGTGTTTGTTTAGTTTTTGTATTTGGCCCATGAGTTGCAAAGTGTTGCACCTGAAATGTGACGTGCAGTTTCAAACACCTTGAATGTTTTCAAAACAGAGACTCTATATGAGGATCACGACGTTGCCATCGTGGTGTCACCCAGAGGTTCGTGGACTGCTGTCCGCCATCTTGGATTGCGACCGTTGCCATGTTGTTTTTTGTAACTGATGAAATAAAGACATCTCACTTGTAATGCAGAGGAGTGGCTTTTATGATTTCAGGTAAGGACATGTCGTTCTTTGAACTCACCCTAAAACATTCTGGATTATCATTTACTAAACGAACAACATACTGCATTCGGGAAGACATAAAAAAAAAGCAATTGAGATCATGCAGTCGCATTTATAATTTTTTTCTGAGATTATAAATCAAGTGGACCGGTTTCTTTCTCATAGATATTCATATAACCAGACTTTTTTTTTTGCAACCGGAATCTGTATCGAGGCCATCCCGACGCGACCTGACCACCTAAGGTCAGGTCGCGTCGGGCGATACCGATTATATGCATAAAGACAATGGATATCAATACAGACATGCACAAAGCGGGGTTTGTGGGACTCCAAGTCTGAGGGGATTTTACAAGTTGAATGCACAATTACAAATGTAAAAGCTTAAGTAAATATTATTACAGTTCGTTATGCAAAAACAATAGTTACAAAATGTCTTTTGGGTGCAAACGTCAGTTAGATGGGGCATAAGTTCAGTTATGCAATGTGTCCTTCAGCTGAAGAGGAGTCACACAATAGTGGTACAGTGATCACTTTTCCTCTTCAACTAGAACCTCCAGCTGTGAGAAGTTATTTAAGAAACATCTCCACTATGAACAAGAAAAATAAAAGCTCAATTTCAGGATTTATTTTTAGCTAAACGTGTTAGGGTTAGGATTCATTTTTTTATTTTTATGAGGAATACGTGTCCTGCTTTCACCTAATGTCAGCTGGGACCAGCTGCAGGATCTTATGCTGCCACTTCAGGGTCAGTGTCGTCTCCTGAAGGATACAATAACAACACAGACTGAAAACCATCTCCTGTTGCCAACATTGTTTAAGCCTAGAGAGATTTATGCTCCAACGCAGTAGAGCGAAAGTAATGATTGACGCTTTGCTAGTAAATGTATCTTTTTTTTGGTCTCTGCCACCTGATCTCAACCCGCTGTCGTAACCTTCATCTTCTTGTCGACTGAAAGCAAAGTAGCACCATGAAATTTGACAGCATACTCACAGAAATTGACGGATTTGGGAAATTCCAAATCAGGCTCATTTTGATTCAGATCTTGTCTCGTATTTCTCTGCCATGTCACTTCCTGCTGAACAACTTCATGGCAGCTGTTCCCTCTCACCACTGCAACATCACGGCTCTGGATGATGGAGGCATCTTCGGGAATTTAACTCGGGAACAGAAACTGTCTGTTGGTGTGCCATCAGAGCAGGATGGGACTCTGAGCTCCTGTCAGATGTTTTCAGAGCCCCAATATCAACATCTGTCCGGTCCGAACAGTACTGAGGATGCAGTGACTGTTCCGTGTGCGGACGGATGGGTGTATGACAACAGCACGTTTAAATCTACGCTGGCCACCGAGGTAGGTGTCTTCAATAAACAGTGCAATATTCTTTCATGTTATCTATGTTTTGATCAATGTTATGTTGCTCAAATCTCTTGTAATCAAATATTTTTTAGCATCCTTTTTGGCTGAATTTCTATAATAAAATGCAAAAAGTAGGACATGTTTAGTTTTGACCGAGTTCAACTTTACTAATTACCAGCAGCTGCAGTGTTGTTTTCACGTGTGTGAGGACACATTCTTGCAGCCAAGAAGGCGTCGCAATGGTGCAAGACACAACACAGCCGCAACATTCTTAAGATGTGCAGTTGACCATAATGACGGTTGAGTTAACAAATGGATGTTGTTTGGGAATTGTGAGCAGAATTAGAAAGGTCGGCAGTGGGGCCATTGGCATTGTGGCTGTAGGTCAATTCCATTGCAAGGTGCTCTCTAGTTTTAATGCTTTCAACGGTTTCTTTGCAGTGGGATCTTGTGTGCGGCAGGAAATCGATGAACAAGGCAACAGTCACCTTTTTCTTCCTCGGTGTCATGTGTGGAGCCCCGTTATTTGGGTTTCTCAGTGACAGGTAAGATTGTTGAAGTGAAGACACAGTAAGTCCTCTACGTTGCTGAAACATAAATTTTAGGGGCACTGCACCAAATCTACACATAGAATTGTACATGTCTGATGTATGTTGTTGTTAACCATGTTGATGTAATTGGGGGAATTTCAGCTTACACAAGCTGTGTAAAAGACAATAATGATAAGAAAACGACAAAGAAAAAGAAAATACAGAAAAAAGAGACACAACATGATAAGATACAATAATAATTTCATAATAATGCAAAAAAACGTAAGAAATGCAATTAACAAAATAGTAGAGAATTATCAATAATGATGTCCTACCTCATGAGTTGAGAATAAAAAGGATCTCATGATGAACACAATGACTTTAACATTTCTTTTTCATGACCAGGTATGGCCGACGACCGCTGCTATTGGCGTCTTATATGTCCTCCTTGATGTTTGCGGTCCTGAGTGCATTCTCCCCATCGTACGTGGTGTTTGTCATCATGAGGTTCTTTACCGGAATGGCACTCTCAGGAATGAGCATAATCTCCATTGCTCTAAGTAAGTAGGCTTTTAAAACAATAATATAAGGAAAATATAATATATTGAGATTTAATTTCAAGAAAACATTTCATTTTGACTTCTCATCCGTGCTGAAATTCCTCCAGATGTTGAATGGTGTGGAATTGCACATAGGACCTTCTCTGGTGTAATCATAAGCCTGGATTGGACACTTGGAAACATGCTTCTGGTTGGAATTGCATACAATGTCAATCATTGGAGGATGCTCATTGTAGCAGTGACCTCACCTTTGATACTGTCCATCATTACTTGGAGGTTATCAAGTTTCAGGTTTTACACATATTTCCTATTAGAAGACACTGAACTCAAGACTGATCTCACCACAATTGCTTCAGGTGGCTTCCAGAGTCTGCAAGGTGGCTCTTGGCAAACGGGAAGGCAGATGCTGCACATAAGTACTTAATGCAATGTGCCAAGATGAACAACAGAATGAAGTATATGGCCACCATCACACCAACGGTACATTTTAACATCGGTTAACTGCTAATCTCACATTGATAGACTAGTCACTAGTGCGGAAAATGTGGTCAATAAACATTTTTTTAATAGGAATTATTGGAAACTGCACAAGATGAAACTGAGGATAAGAAGTACACCTTTTGGGATCTTTTCAAGACCCCAAATATGAGGAAAATTTCAATATGCTCAGGAATAGTATGGTAAGTTATGCTACCAAATAATCAGACTTTAACCCTGTATTAAATGGGATGAATGATCTCATGCAACCCTTAATCAAAAAGTAAATGTTAAATACTGATCATTTGCACTGATAATGAAGATATCAATATTGAATGTTATACATTTCATATCATGCATTGTGGTATATAATAAAAGGATGATTGGTGATACCATAATATGAATGCATTGTAATTGCGAAGCTCAGATCACTGCTGTTTGTTTGCAATTCAACTGAAAATCAGGTATGTTTTTATTAGTCATGGTTAAAATGATCATATCAGTAGAAAAAATGTCAATAGTTTGTTCTATTTTCTAGGTACGGAGTAGCGTTGACATATTATGGGATAAGTCTGAATATCACCGGGTTCGGACTAAACCCGTACCTCACACAGGTCATATTTGCATCCATCGAAATGCCAATAAAGATCGGTGTGTATTTCTTCCTGGAGAAAGTTGGTCGACGGTCTGGTGAGACGGGATCCCTGCTGTCAACCGGTCTCTGTCTCTTCATCAACATCTTTGTTGCAAAAGGTTTGTTTTAGTGAGATGCAAGTACAGGAATTCTCAACGTGTTTGAGAATATTCTCAATTAAACACATTTTCCCTCAGAAAAATGGATCTTCCGTACTGTTGTGGCAGTCATTGGAAAATCCATGTCAGAAGCCTCGTTCACGATCATCTTCCTCTACACAACTGAACTCTTTCCCACAGTCATACGGCGAGTTAACAACCAACTTGTTACCACAACAACAAACACAGATCTGCTACTAATTTGACCGCATTTAACTTAGTGAAGGTTTACATTTAACCTGGGTGCATTGATTTTACAGACAGAATGGTTTAGGCTACACTTCCTTTGTGGCGCGTCTGGGCGTGTCCATCTCTCCACTCATCGTGCTATTGGAGGACGTTTGGCATCTCCTCCCTGCAATCATTTATTGTGCGGTGGCGGTCGGATCCGGTTTAGTGTCTTGGCTCCTGCCTGAAACACTAAACACCCGACTGCCGGAAAACATCGAGGATATTGAGAAACCAAGGTAATAAGGAGAGGAAGATTACACGTGTTACAATATTAAAGCTACTGTAAATGGTTAGCCATGCACCACACTGAGCTTACTAAAGAATTTTCCAAACAATCATTGGTCATTCTTGGACTTATGCATCTTCCTAAAAGATTTTGATCAATTGCAGGTGTCAAAAATGGTACTTTCCTGAACTGAAAACTAATTCATGATATAATGACTAAATTAAGTTGTATCTATTTTGCAGGGGACATTCCACGAGGAACAAGGATTTTCAAAAAGAATCTAATTTATTGATAATGACAGATACCCTGCCAGTCAAAATGAATACTTAAACCAACAGTCTGTCAGGATTCAACATATCCAAAGACATACTGATTAAATGGTGTCCTGCACTGAATAATGTCGAAGAAACAGAAAATGTGCATGTAGTTCTCAATGACAACACCACTAAAAATCTGTACTGAGCAGCTCTGTTGCATCCTTGATTTTTAATGCTGTCTTTGTGTATGCTGACCAATAATGAGCCAACATTTTCATTGAATCAAGACATTAAACCTTTTACCTCACCGATGATTTCTGGCTATACTTTTGCGTTCCAGTGCAATGAAAATGTGCTATTTCATAAATGAAAAGTGCTAAGGTGACAACTCATTTCCCCACATACTCAAGTTCCCGCTCAGCTGTTAACACAAATGCTAATTTAGCTTGACACTCAGACAGAGTGTCTATAATGAGTCTATAGAGAGTGAGTTAAATATCAACACATTTTGTCTGTTAGAAAAATGCCAAAGGTTGCCCTGTTCAGGTGTTTCAGGTGAAAAAAACTTTTTTTTTTCCACGCATTCCGCCTCAACACGTGCGCACGTGGCGCTCGAAGCAGATTGAGAGCACCAGCGGTGTCCAGACACTCCTCCCTTTACGACCCTCGGCCGCTCCACCTCCCTGAAGTTGTAAACCTATGGGAGGAACACTGAGACAACTTGCCTTTAATCTCTTTGGTGTGAAGACATATGAGTCTTTTTTTCTCTCCTCTCACTTTCGAAAGGATTTCGCACACAGTGGGAGGTCACAATGAAGTTCGAGAACATTTTAGCCGACATTAATGGATTTGGAAGATTTCAAAAAATGATGCTTGCGATCAATTTCATTGGCCGCTTCACATTGCCTTGCCACTTCGTGCTAAACAACTTCATAGCGGCTGTTCCTTCTCACCACTGCGACATCAGCTCTCTGGACGAAGATTTCTTTTTACGGAACTTATCCCAGGCAGAAAGGCTTTCTGTGAGTATTCCGCTCCAGGAGGACGGGAGCCTGAGCTCCTGTCAGATGTTTGCGGAGCCTCAGTACGATCTGCTGCTCAACTCCTCCAGCACCACTGATGCAGCCACAGTGCCGTGCCAGAACGGCTGGGTGTACGACACCACCACCTTCAAGTCCACTCTGACCTCACAGGTGACCTTCATTTCCTTCATGTATTCATTCAAAACATATCCGAAAAAAAAGATAAAAACATACTTTTTGGGGAGAAATAACTCACGTCAGCAAGTCTCTTCATTTGTTTGTGTGAAGTGGGACCTGGTGTGTGACAGCAGAGGGAAAAACAAAGCGACTGCTTCCATCTTCTTTATCGGAGTGATGTTTGGAGCCCTGACCTTTGGCAGTCTGAGTGACAGGTATTTGCAGTTTGGCTCCTTTGATTTTCAAGTGTTTCAAAGAATCAGTTAGATTTCAAATTTGGAAACTGTCCTTCTGCAGGTTCGGCCGTAGGATCATGCTGCTGGTGTCCTACGTGTCCGGAATGCTCACTGCTGTTGCAAGTGCCTTTTCTACGTCCTACGTAATGTTCGCCGTGCTGAGGTTCTTCACTGGGTTTTGCATCACTGGCATCATCATTGTCTCAGCAGTCCTCAGTATGATATATTTAATATTCTGTTGTGAGCTGTTACACGTATTCTGTATCATGTCATGTCTTGCCTCATGCTAGCAAATTTGCGTGTAGGTCTACACACAATAAAACCACATTAGTTTCTCTGAATGTTGATGCCGGAAATGTGGTGAGGTGTTTGTTTTCCCTGCAGATTTGGAGTGGGTGGACGTGGAGCACAGGAAACTGGTGGGAGTCATCGACAGTTTATCCTGGACATTCGGAAGCGCAGTTTTTGCAGCTATTGCTTATTTTGTGACCGATTGGCGGTGGCTAATAGTTAGTGTCACCTCACCTTTGGCCTTGGCCATTATCACATGGAGGTAGGACTGAATAGCTCAAAACTTTTAATCAAACAGGTTCAGTGCAAAAATCAAGAGCAATAATGCACCTACATGTGAATGTAAATAATTGTTATATCCTACAATTTATATTAGAAGGTAAAAAAATGTTTGATCCAATTCCTGGTTGGATTAGAATACAAAAGTGTTGCTTTATTTTTCTCAGATGTCTACCCTCTATCAAAGCTGAATTCTGCTTGGTACAGCTTTGGTGTTTGGGGTCAAAGATAAATTAAATCAGACCTGTTGGAAATTAACGTGACATGACCCGAGTCCATTTTAGTTGCGATGTTGACTTGCAGTATTCAGTGTTGGGACTATTTCTCTTTTGCTCTTTGCTTTTGTATGCTGTGCTGTGCATGCAATGAAATAATGCCATGCATTAGAGGTAAACAAATCTTCTTTTAACATCAGGTGGATTCCAGAGTCGGCCAGGTGGCTCATTGCCAACGGAAAGCTGGAGCAAGCTCAGGTGTATTTGAAAGAATGTGCCAGAATGAATGGAACAACGGAGCTAATTGACACATTTAAAACAGAGGTTGGCATATTCCAGATGACCGTTTAGCAAAAGAACAATCAACAACATAGTCTTGGGCCTGTGATCTTCAGATTCCACTTAGTTTGAGTTTTTGCATTCTTGCAGACACTATCGACTATTGTCATGGCTGAGAAGAGAGATCGGCCTTATTCGTACTCTGATCTGATACGAACACCCAACATGAGGAAACTGGCACTATGTACTGGTATAGTGTGGTCTGTATTCCAAGCGCCAATGTGCTCATGTAAAAATGTATTGTGACATAAACAGTCCTTTTTTTTATTTTAAACAATCCAAGTGAATCATTCTGAATTGAAGTTGGTTTAAGGAGTCTCCACTCTCTCTCTCTGCCATTAGGTTTTGTGTGGCAAGCGCATTTTATGGCATCAGCTTCAACATCACAGGCTTTGGGCTCAACATCTACCTCACCCAGTTTACATTTGCTTTAATCGAGCTCCCGGCCAAAGGATCCGTTTACTACTTGCTGGATAAGATCGGCAGAAGAAGAACTGAGGTGGGCGCTCTGCTGATGGCTGGCATCTCTCTTGGAATCAATATTGTAATACCGAACGGTGAGCATTCATTGACGTAACACACCAAGGATCTACAGTCTATTTATTAAAACGTAACCGTGATAAGATGTACGTATGATGATTACCGTCATTATACATGAGCGTTGGAGGGCTCATTCAAACCAACGACTGCAGTGACAAAAACACGTCCCTCAATTAATGGCATCTTGTTTTCAGGCATGTGTACTATCAGAACAGTGGTGGCAATCATTGGAAAAGGGTTTTCTTCAGCTTCCTTTGCAACTATTATCCTCTACAGTTCAGAGCTCTATCCCACTGTAATAAGGTAACGATATCAACAGTGCAGTACATTGAATATGAATAAATAGAAGTGTCATTCAGAACCTAAAAGTACTTTACTTTTGTTTTTTAGACAGAACAGCATGGGTTACAACTCCTTCATGGCTCGGATTGGTGTAGCAGTGGCTCCTCTGATTCTCATGCTGGATGAGGTGTGGGAGGACCTGCCTCAGGTGGTCCTGTGCTTTGTAGCTTTACTGGGGGCAATAGTGGCCAGTATGCTATCAGAGACACGCGGCAGGTGCCTGCCAGAGACCATAGAGGATATAGAACGGAAGTGATAGTGAATACGGTCCCTGGTGTCACAGCATATTCAAGTTGTTATTTTTCATTTTAAAAAAGACGAGCTGACGAGGTCCTACAGAAGACTTCCCTTTCAGTTTATACTCAAAATGGAAATGCATTCAGTTATACAGGATGATCTAAAGTATATCTATGGTGGTCTGTGCTCCTTTAACACTTAACTTAGCAGCAGTATAGTTACTGTAATTTGGAAAGGCGATTTGCTGATGTTCCTTCAGAACCCTGTTTTGCTTCACAAGTCATTGAGTTAAAATTATGTTACATCAGATTTTTTTCATTTGTAATGTTTTTCTCTGAAAAATGTGAAGCGCTTATGAGTTTTAAAAATGCAAGATTTGGAAAAATTAAAGAGCTTTGTCAGGCAGTTTTTTTCCACTTATTTTCTTTAAATCTAGTTATTCCTTTTGTTTATCTTTGGTTTTCCACTGTGCGTCCCCCGTAACAAAGGATTGGTTTCAGCACCTTTCACCAGCTCGGTCATTCACTCACAGGAAATAAACTGGGAGACATTTAGAAAGTTTACGAGTAATACTGTAAAAATACTAATTGTTTAGTTGGGAACTCAACATACCGTTAAGATATTAAACATACTAAAATAGTATTGTGTAACAAGGGTTAGTACTACACTGTGTTTTAATTAATTATAAACCAGTCTGAAGAATTGCTTACATATTTACATCAAGCAAACTTTAACTACCAAATCAATATCCCAACACACACACACACACACACACACACACACCACGATAACAGGCGTTAAAATATACGCTTGAATTAAGTCAAAGCTCCTTTATTAAAGAAACAAAGCAAGCGATTTTTTTTATGACTAAACAATCCCTAAAGGAAGGTCAACCACATCTAATTGACATGTTTCCGATACTCCTTTTGAAAATATTTATAGCCAGGTCTAATAATTGCTGCTGATATTTAATCTGACATTACACTTAGTTACATAATAAACATTGATGGGGAAAAAGAAACAAAAGAAAACAAAATATAAAAATCTAAATGTCAAATTTCGAACATTAAGATCTAAAACTAAAGAACCAAGTTGTTTCCAGGACACGTCTTGGCTATTGTTCAGTACTGGGAATACTCCTTGCTCTCTAGTTTGGCAACGATTCGTTCCAGCTGTCTTTTTGCCTCACATTGTGGGAAGTTACTCATTTCATAGTACTGGGGTGCAATCTTCACCAGCCTGGAAAAGAGGAGAGGAGAACATGAATACATCTGGCAGCAGATCATCTGAAGTAAGAGCAAGTACAAAACATAACTGTTCGGAACAGACGGAACGCTCGGCCTGCGGTGTCTCACACACAGGTTAAACAGAAAAAAGAAAACTTTGCACACGTACCACTCCGGTTTGATGTCTGTGCAGGTTCGGATGTAGTTTTTGGTGGTGAGCACAAATTCATTGTAGAGAACCCACTCGGGCTTGTGGTCCAGAACGGTAGACGGGTGCAGTTGAACCACTTGGTTGTCTTTGACCGTGAGGTAATGACCCGTGCGCTCCAAATGAGCCACCTGGGGGATTAAAATAAATAATATAATACATTTTAAAACGCATACAGGGATGTTACTCTACAAACATACGCGTTGTAAACCATTGTGAATGACGCCTTTGGATCAGCTTACCAAAAAAGGACCATTTCAACACTGGCTGTTGTGTGATTACCTGCATGAAGAAGCCGGTGCAGAGCGCTCTGCGGATGTTGGTGTAGTAATCTCTGCTAGTGAACTCTGTGCTACGGCGGGGCAGGTTGAAGCGGTCCATGATCCTCGACAGCTGCTGCCGCACGTTATCGGCGGACATCAGTGAGCGGTAGTTGACAAAGTTGTCGTAGCACCACTGGTTAGCCTCGTGGTCTGGAGAAAGTGTGACGGGAAGTCAGATATTTGTATATGAAGGCATTCCTCATTTTTCATCTTTGTCCAGATACAAGCGGAGTAATAGTGAGCAAGTGTGATGTAGAACCTCCAAAACCAGACATCTCAAATCCAGCATTTAAACTTGCATGAAATGCCAGTTTCTTTCCGGACGCTGAAACCCGCCTTTTTTTTTTTTTTAAATCCATCCCAATTTTCCTTCTAGGCTTTCTAAGCAAGGCTTCAGACAAAAATAAAATTCAACATTAAACCTACTTTGTTTGAAGGCGTGGTAGACGTTGAGCAGCGTCAAGTGGTCTCCGTCGATGTGAGCAAACCTCATCTTGGACTCGTCTGCTGCCTTCTTGGCCTCCGTGGGCCGGACAAAACACTGTGGGACTAAACAAGGTTGGTATGGGCCCCAACAAAGCCGCCCATGGGGATGAGTCAAATATTCAGAGAAAAATGGAGCAAAGCCTATGATGCTACGGCACTCGACACTGCGTTGGGACAGGGCAGGACCACAAGCTCTATCAAAGGGGGGGGCTGCAGTCTTTCCCAACTGTTTTGGCTATTAGCTCGTAGAGAGGGGGGTTCATTTAACCACATCTGTAAAACAAGAGTTTTCACACAACTACAAAATGTTAGGGACACCAGCAATGTTTGTACTTTTCAAGAAAGAAAGGCCTCTAAAAGAGCAGATACTTAAAACACTTTCACGACTACATAAGGTAACCGCACATATTTGATAATGGGTACAATTCACAATGTATTTAAATCAAAAAGGAACATTTTGATTAACACAATGAATGTGACAAACACCAAGTGGCGCCTGCCCTATCTAGTGAATAAAATACGTTGCTTGTCAATAAATATACTAGACTATCATATCCTTAAAAAAATACAACGTAAGTTTAAATATCAATTTAAAATTAAAGAACTGGATAACAATGTTAATGAATCTGTCCAGAGCAAAAGGCATCGCCTTCAAAAAGGGACCTTTTGTGGACAAAAGACGCTTTTCTGTGATGACAAAAGTGTTCATGGTAAATAAAAAAAAATGGCAAGCAGGTTTTGCTACTCTAATAATAGTGATTATCGTACACACGCTAATCCCTACACAGCACAATATAAGAAATATCAAAATCTTTGTTTTAAACTTTGGTCTGCACTGCACTCAGTTCAGCAATCCAATTTTTACCGCTTTCCCACATCTGGATGTAACTATGTAACTTTATGCTGTGCGATCTGTGTAGTTAACCACTGGTTTAAACTGTTGCTTCATATCTACTAAATCTGCAATCATTTTTTTTCCCCCTGAAGTTCTTTTAAGGACATCCGTCGTCATACAACACTATTCAAGTATTAATAACAGCAGTCCGGCAATCACATTTTTCAAAACTCCCAGTGAGTATTATTGTGATTAACAGCAAGCGCCTTGGCCGAGAGGAGGCAAGGAGGATGACAGCCCAGTCCTGGGCATTACCTGACAGCATGGCAGTAATGGAAAGGATCTCGTTAGAGCAGTTAAACTCGCAGCTGGCAATGACCATCTTAGCCAGCTGAGGGTCCAAGGGGAACTCTGCCATCATGGAGCCCAGCTCGGTCAGGTCACCGTCATCATTGAGCGCTGCTAAGTAATTCAGAAGCTCAAGGGCTCTCATCAGTGTCTCGGGAGCTGCAGGAAGGGAGGAGGCCCATAGAAACAATGTCAGCGTTCTCCCAACGTGGAGATTAATAAAAACTAAATCAAGACCAACTCACCGGGTGGATCCATGAAGTCAAAGTGCACGAGGTCATCAATACCCAGCTTTTTCAGCTGCAGCACAACCGATCCCAAGTTAGACCGAAGAATCTCGGGGTATGTGTTATCCTTGGGTGGAGGTTGATAGTGTTAAAAAAAAACATTTTAACGTTACAAGGTGCACAACATGTATGTATTAATTCTAAGAACGAGCTAAACTAACTACGTGTTGGTTATTTTCCACCACTGAATTGTAAAAAGTGACAACAATGGGTTTGTAACTTTCAGTACCTGCATCTCGGTCTTGTAGGCCTTCTCTGTGTAGAGGCGGAAACATTTCCCTGGACGCGTTCTGCCGGCTCGTCCTGCCCTCTGCTGAGCAGAAGCTTTACTGATGGCCGTGACCAGCAAAGACTCAACTCGGATTCGGGGATTGTAAACCTTGACACACAATTTAAAGCACGTTTAGACAAAATTGTTGACCTGAGCAGTGGAGGGACCACCAGTCCCAAAGAAAGCATTCTGTATCTGCATTGAAATTAAGAATATTTAAGTATCATTTGAACGTTTATGTAGCACCACATTACAAAACAGGATTCAATGCACTAAAAACCCCAGCGAGGTCAGCCCACCTTTTGTTTAGCAAATCCTGGATCAATAACAAACACCACGCCATCAATTGTCAGAGAGGTCTCTGCAATGTTCGTCGAAACCACAACCTGTGAATGAAGGGAAAGGCTCGTAGATATTAATTATCAAATTCTGGGGTAGGAAGAAATGGACACATAATGCAAAGCCACCCATAGAGTACGATGCATGAATTTATCTGGTGCAATACATAATTCATTAAAATGCCTCTCTTGTAAAAATGTACCTTTCTTCCTATAGCACCATTGGGCTTCCTCGGAGGAGGCGGCTCAAAGATCCTTTGCTGCTGCTGTGGCGGCAATGTGGAATACAGTGGAATGATTTTGATGTCTCCGACATCAGGTCCAAGGTCATCTACCTCACGCTTGATCCGTTTACAGGCCTCATCAATTTCCTGAGGGGGAATTACAATTGAACTTTTTGAGTTAAGGGACAATAACAGCGTTTGTATAAAGACAATTGGACACATGGACCAGAGTAATGTGTCACAAATCCTACCTCTTGGCCAGTGAGAAAGAGAAGGCAGTCGCCTTCATCTTCCTCACACATATGAATCTGGATGACGGTCCGGATCGCTGCCTCGAGGTAATCTCGCTCTGGTTCGGGAGTGTAGAAAATCTCTACAGGGTGGGTACGGCCTGGGATGGTCAGGAGAGGACAGTTGTCGAAATACACTTGGAACTTCCCAGCATCTAGAGTGGCACTCATGACGATCACCTGTGCATGATAGAAAAACGTTGCTGTCAATGTTGTGTTTACAACTATTTGATACATTTATAAATTTGAGGCTGAAAGGATAGATTAAGATTAGGGCCAACAACAACAACAGCTCCATACGGCTATTAATCCCACCAGTAAAATAAAACAGACCGGAAATTTGACCAAATAAAGGGAGACCTACAAGAAACGGAGATCTACGAAGAAATTTGTCTTTGTATATTTTAATAGACTTCTGTGTGGAAGGACGGATCCGAACTCTTTTTCTATAATTAGAGACAGGAAATCAATGCAGACGTCAGAGGGAGACAATTAAATGATAGAGATGTACAGAGAGGGCAGCATTTATACAAGTCGGCGCACACAGTTCAAGTTTAGTTGGATAAGAGTTCTGTGGGACTTTCCATTATACGAGGTGATTTGGCGGAACTCCGCATAACTAATTAACTGATAAGCCTTTTCATCAAAAGGCAAAAAGTCAGATAGGAGGCAGTTCAGTTGTGTAGCTGTGCATCGTGTGCCCCAGATGACATGGGAACAGGTCCAATAGTGGTGCAGTTCACGTTCCTCTACAGATATCTTTGTTCTTATTTAGCCTAACTACCACACTCCCCTTATCTGATAAGAGTGTTCAATAGTTGTACAGCTTGTACTTTCAATTAAATGTACTATACAGAGTCTCTTAAAAAAAAAAAAAGATTAAATGTCTGCGTCTACCCATTCGTATTGTAGTGTAATGTAATTGGCACACTTGCTGGTTGGTTTATTGTGCTTCCCTTTGATATTTCTATTTCATTAAACTAGAAAATGCCTGAGGTAGCTCTTCATTAGTTACAGAAATTTGATTCATTTAAAGAAATGGGGATGTACAACAGTGATGTAAACCCTTGGGAAGTTGGTCGACAGTGTTTCGGAGTCTGGACCAGAGTTAATAAAAAGGTGAGCGAGTACCTTCAGATCGCCTCTTTGACGCACTACCTCCTTCAGTACTCCCATTAGTATATCTGTGGCCAGAGTTCGTTCGTGGGCCTCGTCCAGAATGATCACACCATATCGCTCCAGCAACGGGTCGTTCATAGCCTCTCGTAGCAACATGCCATCTGTCATGTACCTAAAGACATGCTTTGTTAGATTGAGATGCTCTGGATAAAACATGCTTTTTAAACTAAGACCAGGTGCTCTGTGCATGCTAAATAGCTCAATCCATTACTTAAGTATCGTCTTTGCAGAGCTGCAGTCCTCGAATCGAATGGAGTAGCCAACTTCCTGTCCAAGCATGACGTCCATTTCGTCGGCCACCCTTTGAGCAACGCTCATAGCCGCCACTCTCCTTGGCTGAGTACAGGCTACTGCCCGCTTAGGCCCAGGCAAGCCCCTCACCATGTCCACACACCACTGTGGGATCTAAAGATTGAAAAGTTGCAATAAATTTGCAGAAAGAATTTCAAAGGATATCACTGTGACAACCTACTGGTTAAGCTTGAAATTTTAAAAAAGCATTCATCAAGCACTGCAGGTACTTAGTGTCCGGCAGTTAAGGTACTCACGGACTCTTTGCACGACAGACCTGTGTTGTCTTTCCAGAGCCAGTTTCTCCGACAAGGACAAAGCTCTGATGACGTGTGATGATGTCGCCGAATCTTTCCTTGTACTCCCACACCGGGAGCTGTAACCTCTTCTTAAGAATCTCGTAGAAGCGCGGCGTGTGCGGCAGGTTGGTGAACGGGTTGATCTGCTGCTGCATAGCCAACTGCTTGATGGGTGCTAAGCACGGCAAGGGCACGGTGCTGTTCGACGGGACATTAGTGGGCTTCGGGTCTCTGTCCCGATCTCTGTCCCTTTCTCGATCCCTGGAGCGGTCCTCGCGGTCTCTGTCACGGTCTCTCCTGTACACATCAGGGCAGGGCAGATTAAGAAATACCACAATGCAACGGAAATCAAGAAGGTATACTGATTTGCTGCCTATACTGCTGTCAACATTAGAGGGTCGATATTAATGTGGTCCTGCTCACATCACATCAACAGCAGAAATTAGTCACTTTTAAGTTGTTCTAGATGAAACATGTTGATGTAGCAACACAATTTTAACAGTATCTTAGAAGCAGTTTCCAATAAAGTTAAGCAGTGAAGCTACTTCAAATAATGTAGGTAAAACGTTACAGTGAGTGAGTGAAATTGGTAAATGAGTCCCTTACTACAGGTAATAGTATGATAACGGTTAACTTAAGGTGTTTGCCCCGGGTGAGAAGAGACGACAAAGTTTGTGTTAGCAGATATGCTAACACATGACCGGTTTATTGGGAGGTCTCAAGATGATCCATTCTTACAGTAGATTACTATTCGAAGAAACAATTCGCATGGTTTTCAATTTGTAGCTAGGCTTAGGCAGCTAGTTAGCTGCGGTTTTTAGCAACACGCTAAGTGAGCGCTTACACACACACACACACACACACACACACACGTGCCTCGATGGTGATGGAAACGACTAATAGCAACGGCTAACAGCTAGCATAGCCCTCATTAGCCAGCCAACACGACGTTATTACACAACGCGATACGTTCACAATCATATATCTGAAGAACAGCAGATGCCCCATCGAGCGGCGGCTGAATAACAGAGCGAAAACAGGAACAACTGTGGTTATGTGGTCTCTTTTTCATCACACATCAAGTGTGGCTACTAGCCAAGTCAACTCCCATCGGCTAACAGTTAGCCGCTAGCCGGCTGGTTGAAGTGGACATGTTAACGGGGGAGCTTCACGTACCCTTCCGACCTCTTCTTGGTTGAGTAGTCTTCACCCAAATCAAGGCGATGTCTTTTGGACATATTTGGCAAATTGTTTGTTTATTTTAAATCTAGTAACGCTGACCCAATTATACTGGGTAAAATGGTACTTAGCTACCCAGGAGCTAACTTCTTCTTCTTCTCCTTTAAGCTTTAAAGAGTAGCTGCATCCTCCACATTGCACTACTGCCACCTTCTGGTGTCCGGGATGTCAGAAGATGCTGACCGAGCATCTTCTTCACACACCACACTCCACTAAGCTCTTTACTCCTTCCTATCATACATATTTTTATTTTGCCCCAAAATAGATCAAAGCAGTAACAATTTGAAAATATTCAGCAAAATCTTGAAGATAATTTTGTCTTTTAATTGTTTTCCACTAGTTCGCACTTTCCCTAAAGTTTCTCTCACGATTGCCTCCCCTTCCTCCGTTCAACAATTTGGTTACAGAAATTTGTACGGTCGTGCAGCTGTTTCGAGGTGCTTAATTTGAAGGGAGAAGGGTTTCTAATCTGACTGAATTTTTGCGTTTGCAGAAAACGATAAAAGAAAGTCGACACATGCGTTTTAAATAACAAAAAACAGCTGTAGGCCTCCTTTGCTCCACCCTCTGCAAACCACGCCCATCGCCACTTACGTAAGACCCTTACGCAAGTTTGCATCTTTCCCCAGTTAAAACAACATTAAACGGCGAATCATCAGCGGTAAAGTCGCAGTTTGTGTGTCCTCGCCATGCGTGTCGGGTAAGTGTCCTTACCCGTCGGAACCGCGACGTCTGCGCGTTGTGACCCATTAATTAAGTTATTTTTCGACGGGGCAGAAACGTACTTCGACATATGTGGTTTTGTACGCGTCCTGTAGCTTTTCTTTTCGCTGCAGTCCATAATAAAGAGTCTGTAGTTCTGTTGACTACAGTCATGCAATTGCGAAACCGGGTACATTGCACAGTATTAGTAAAACCGTGCTGTACATTTCTTTACTGGATTTTATTTGTTGTGCTAATTGTTTTTAGGGGAAATTAGTGAATTATTGTCGAGCTTACTTTTTCACTAAACATTTACAGTGGAAGAAACTGCGTTAGGCTTTCACGTGTGCATACACGTGCACATTTGCTGCACTTCTCTATTTGAATAATTCCCTTTTCGTTGTTGCATCACAACATTTGAGGAGGAAATTCCTAGTCGACTAACACTCATACGATTAAGTGGACTTTAGGTGAAACGCTCTGTTAAACTGAATATATAAATACCACCTTCCATTCTGTTTTAACATCGACTTTCTCTTAAGTTTCTTGGAGAGAAAAAAAAGCCCATCACCATGTAAAAGAGTTTAAAAAGTCTCACTAAATAAATCAACCAATGCGTTTTTTCCAGGCTGTTTGTATTTCTACTTTAACACACTAATGCATTTGCACGTCTTTCAGCTCCACATTTCCGTTGGGATCAGCTCTGCTGGTTCTGCTGGCAGGCTGTCAACCGTGTGTCTCGGCTGACAGTGAGACTTTGGCTCCACCAGAGGTCTCTCAGTACAATGGTACTCTGTATGCAGCCTGCAAAATGAGACCCAGCACTTCCCTGGCTGATGGTCTGCCCAAAGTGTACGGTCAGGTGCTGTTAAAGCAAGATTATCCTCTGGGGAAACTCAATGCCCTTCTTCGGTTCAATGGCTTCCCCTCAGAGGGCGATCCGCAGCCCAGGGCGGTGCACATCCATCAGTACGGAGACTTGAGCCGGGGGTGTGCCTCCACTGGTGGCCACTACAATCCACATGGTGCACATCATCCCAACCACCCGGGGGACTTTGGGAACTTTGAGCCCCAGGAGGGAAAAATAAATGCAATGATAGAGTCTGAGGCGACGGTGTTTGGAGCGCTGTCTGTGATTGGAAGAGCAGTGGTGGTCCACGAAAAGATGGACGACTTGGGGAGCGGTGGAGACGCTGGGAGCCTGCTGCATGGAAACGCAGGCCGGAGGCTCGGCTGTTGCATTATTGGAATTGCCTCCCCAGAGCCCTGGAATATGCACTATAAGCTGTATAACAGGCGGCTGAGGAGAATTTAGTTTTACAGGGAATCGAATATACCACAAGTGAAATTAACCAAAAACGAGGATGAATCACTTAGACATACGTGGCCCTACAGTTTGTTCAATACTTGTGTTAAATGGGGTCAGATCAGTCTCAATGATCTCAAATCCACACCCAAGGATTTACAATTACATTTCAATGCACACATAAATAAATTACCATTTTATATTTGTTTTGTTTTGTGGATTAAATCAGCTTCTAACGTACTTTGTGATAACATACAAAACAAAGATGTATCAAAATTCAAGCTTTTCCATTATAAAATATGAAAAACGTAACCCACTCATGCATTTGTGTGTCAACATCGTCATTGCGTATGTGTTGGCGTGTTGACAGCGTTTAGCTTAAAGAACCTGCATTACATCCTCAAATTGAAGCTTACCCGTGAGGGCTCATTTAGATCATATTTAATACACTTTCCAACAAACCAGTGGTTTGAAAATCTCTTTATTCAGAAATAAATCCAGCTTTCGTTCACATTTTTGCAAACACTGATTACGTATGGCTTCATGAACTTTCTAGCTGGTGAGTTTGTTGCACCACAAAAACAGGACAAAGACGATAGTGCTGGTTATATAGATCTTGTAGCTTAGTCGAACTGACATTCTTGTCTCCAAATATTTGCTAACAGAAGCCCGATATGGAAATAAATAAAAGCATATGTTAAAGAAATTGCAATTGTCTTTAATCAACATCTAGAAACACTCATGCAGCATTTTATAGTTGTTTCCAAGTTAAAAACGTGTAAATATGTCAAAACTGAGTCTCAGTAAAATGTAGGACAATGCAGACAAGCATTGTTTGAAAAAGTAAAATAAAGCTGCTGCTTCACTTCAACTGTGTTAATATTAGAAGGATGAGCATTTGCTGACATGGCGAAAGCATCTGGTAGGTTTCTTCAGCGCAGTGGAGGACGTGTCAGCAGAGGTAGAAGCAACAGACATTGTTTCTTTAGAGTCCACAGCAATGGTCCCTCATAATTAAGTGAATGTCTGTGTGAAACCTGAATTGGTGTCTACTACAGTTACCGGTTTTAAAGATTACATCATTACAGTTTGGTTCAAATTAAATTAATCGGAGCAGCAAATTCCACGACAGGAAAACCGAAATCATCAACCATTATTTGCTACCTTTGTCAACATTTTTTTGCTGTGGAAAAACTATTCCATTACTTTTATAGCAGAATATATGTACAACAATCGCAAATGGTTTCAGACATTCTTTAGACGTAAATTACATAACCAGTCCCTGACAGATGATGGGCTTATATTGTTTTAGGTTTGTCATGACGAATGTATGTTAATTAAAAAAAGAAAAATCATGTGTGCTAATAATTGGTTTGGATAATACTTGTGGTAAATATCTGTCGGCATCCGGTATTAACACCGTCTGCCAATCGCAACAACTCAACAGGCAAAATCGACATTGATTTTCCCCCGATGCTGTGCAACAATTGACCTGACTAACACACAACATCTGTCCCATCTGGAAGCTGCTCCTCCTGGTTTGATTGGACGTCCTTCTGCTCTTCATCAGAACCTGCGGAGGCAACAATGTCCATTGTGCCGTTCACGTTGGCCTCTGTTAGAATAATCTCGGCTCCCCCCCCTTCATTGCAATCATCCGTCTGTTCCCCTCCTCCCCCGGCAGGCTGGGTGTCCTCTGAAGTTTGCTCTACGTGGCCCCGGTCCGATGGACGCTCTTTGGAGGACCAATCACTTGCACACTCCCCCTCTTCGGACCGGCGACTCGTTGGATCAGTTGCGGCCTGTGATTGGCCGCCGTCCCGAACCTCCTCGCCGTCCGGCGTTTCTGTTTGAGGGCGGACTGCCTCTTCCTCCGCCGACTGGTACGAGAGATCCGGCCGGCACGTCTCCTCGCTGGACGGTGACGGCGTCTCCTCGAGAAGCCTCCCTCGCTCACTCGACCCGGCTGGCGGGCCGCTCTCTTGGACCGGGACCCCTGGGGAGCTCTGCTGAACGACGACTATTTTTTCTGACAGTTCGTCACCTGTAAGGATGGAAGTTTGGAGAAAGAATATCTCATCGACACACGTAGACGTGTGGTAGACGGCGCAGAGAGAAGAAAAAGGTCCCATCCCATATTTACCGTCCTGCCCAAGACCCTCCCTCGTCTCAGCCTGCTGAGTATTCAGGACGATGGTGTCTTTTCCTCCTGTAACGACGGGAAATTATCCAAGGTAAGCCTTTATTAAAGTGTTAGAAATTCATGAATCTCTGTTGGATTGGATAAAAACAAGTAAATGTCAAGGGGGCAGAAAAGAAATGAAAGAAGTTTAAAGGTTAAAAATTAGGTGAAGGAAAGGAGAGGAACATACTTCCAAATATTCCCAGAGACACATTATAAGTCAGGCCTCCAGGGAGCAAGAAGCAAAAGGGACAGAAGAGAGGAAAAGGAAGGGAAATTATTGTTAACACGAAGTACAATACAAGCTTCCATAAAACTCTGTATGAGACAATAATCACCTGGCAGGCTCCATAATCCAGACATTTCTAACGTTTTTAGTTTCTTCTCCAACTCTCCTACTCGATTTCCAAGAATCCTGGTAGGAAAGGAATATGAAGCAATTATATTTGCAGCGTTTTGTGTGGTACCCGAGTGATCAATACATACTAGTTAGAGCGCACGCAGCGAGAGGGAAGGATGAAAAGTGAGTACTTGTTGATTTGGCGTTGGTGCTGGATCACCATGTTCTTCTCATGGATGGTTTCCAGCAGAGCCGTGGCGAGCGACTTGAGGTCCGAAATGGACTGAGGAGTCACCGGCAAACTGCAGCTGTTTTCCTCAGACAGCAACAACTCCTTCACTGCACACAGATCATTGAAGCACAGACCCGACGTGTCGCCATTCGAATTAGTAACTCGTTGCATTTTACACAGCATTATTGTGACATTGAAAATACTCAATTCAGTATGTTTAAAAACAAACAAGAAATATCCCTCTGACCTTGTTTAGCGGAGAGCACCCCAGTCAGTGCACTGCTGTTGGGTTTCCCACAGAATTTAGAGGTTTTCCTGCAGTCCAGAGCACTCTAAAATCAGGCGAAGCAAAGCGCGGCACGTTTGTGGTGTTGAAATAAATATTTTACATTCCCAAAAAGTTACATTGCTATGTTTAAATGGAAAACGGAAACAACTCAAAACGTAATTCAATCCATTATTGAAGGATGATAAAAGAAATGAACTACCTTGTACTTCACCAGGTTTGCTTTGAGCAAGCTGACTTCTTCTTGAAGTTGACAGAACCGTTCATGCAAATACCTAAATGATTAAAGAGGTTGGACGGTCATCATTAAATTATCAGACCTCATCCTCAGTTCTCCTCAATTTAAAACTTTCTTGTTTTAAATTATAGACTAATCACTGCAGATGCTCGAATATTTCAGGGCAGTGCCAGTAAAATTCCGTTTGACAAACCTGTTCTCCATGCAGAGCGCATCTACGTCCAACATGCGGATCTCATCGTTGCCGAGGATGTGGTTCATTTCCACGTTGAGTCGATGAGCCTTCTGCTGAAACACGTCCCGCTCTGCTCGTACGTCCTGAAGCTCGTCCGTGAGCGACTTTGCGCTTTGCTCCAAGACCTCGTTCTGCAGCAACGCAAAACACACGGTGTAAATACAGGAGTTATGATGTCATCTGCATCATAACTCCTCCCACTACTCCAGAACTCCTCCCACAACGGAGGCTCTGTTCCCGGGCTCCCCCGTTTTTTAATGCGAGTACTTCCTCCACCACTAATTACCTTTGAGTCTTAACGGTTTGAAATGAATTTGACAGGATGATGTTAACTATCGGGATGCTGTCTCACTTTAAATCGGTTCTCACCTGCTCTCCGGCTCGTTCCAACTGCTTGACCAGATCCTCCCGTTCATGAGCGGGAAAGTGTCGGGTGCCGACCTCCTCGTCGCCCAGCCTCTGTTTGGTGATTGTCATTCGTAGAAGCTGTTGGGACGGAGAGAACGCAGCTTTACTATTTGTCATTTGTCCGCTTTATTTCTTTTGATGATGGAGTCGTACTCACCAGACCACAAAAAAAATATATTATATGTTCCAATATGTCGCTTAAACCTTTGGCATATAGCGCACAGTACGTCACGGTACCTTATTGTCCCCTTGAGCTTCCACCAGTCGTTGTTTCAGCTCCTTCACCTCGTCAGAAAGTTGACAGCTTTTCTCTCTAGAGTCTCTCAGCAACTGTGCTAAATTTACCTGAGGACATTAAGGTTGTGAGTGAGCGGGCGAAGAGCACAACAGTCACCTCGATATACGCGTCCTTCTTGTACGGATACGACTGTAACATTGCTTTAACCAAAGGGAGCGATCAGTTAGCGATTAAACATTGTTGGTTTATCAAACTGTGTACAAAGCATCGTTACTCCACCTGGAGACATCTGGGTTTATTTTGTTTGACCATATTATGCATTTTTGTTAGCCAGTGATGTACAAAGAATATCTGAAGGATAAAATGTCTTACTTGATTCCTTTTCTCAGGAGGCAGTGAGGGATCTCCATCCTATTAGTCATTAAAACAAGTAAAATGTTGTTGTTTTTTAAAAACAGCATCAAAGGCAACGTAGCACAAATTCAACAGAATTCAACACATTCAATAATGAGAATACTAATGCACTAAATTAGCTTACTATGAGCTCCCTGTATTTCTTCTTAAGTCCTTGGTGTCGCTCACGTAGCTGGTTGGCCATCAGCTTGTACTGATCCCTCTCCTGCTGGCACGTGTCCAGCTCTTTGGACAGAATGAGGAGCGCTTCTTTTTTACTCTCCAACTTACGCTTACAAATCAGGAACTACAGAGAGAAAAAAAAAGATGAAGGCATTATACACCAGAGTTTTGAATAATACTTTTATTAATGAAGCAGTGCGAACCAATATGGAGCAGTTTATATCATAATAACCACATATTATTTTTTCATGTTAAAAACGGATGATAGAAAATCGGCCTTTTCAAGTCTGCAAATTGTCCTTGTGTCTACGTCAATTAACCGTAAAAGAGTGGTGTTTGAGAATCACTGATTAGAAAAACGGCTTATAATTCACAGTTTTATTTCATACTTACCAATATGTAACACAATATGACAGTGGTGCTAGTTATAATACAAGGACACATCTGCTTTTACTGCATTGTGGATGCCCGAAAATAAGATGGGACAAAGTGATCATAAAGTCATAAGCACTCATCTAGATGCGTCCAGGTAACCAGTCTGCTGCACACAGTCTCACAGTTTTACTGCTTTATCTTTGTGTGGCACTTCGACTCTGCAGGTAAAAGGAAGTCACCCCTACTTCCTCGTCTCAAGCCTGAGAGACACCAGCTGACATGTAATAATAATAATAATAATCCTCTTCAGGCCTCAGCTGTCCATTGGTGACGACATTTAAAAGACACACACGCCCCTCGCCAGAGTGCTTAGTTTGGTTGTGCGGAAACAACACATGAGAGGAGGTTAGAGAGTATATTTACATGCACGCTTCCCTCTGCGTCTTTCCGGTCTCACCTCGTTGACCAGCCCCTGCCAGTCACTCTCGCTCCTCCGGGACGGATCCATGTCTCTGTGCACTGCGGGGACAAATATTAACGACGACGCAAGGGGAGTTTCACGCGGGCGTCACCGTGGCGTGATCAGGTTCAGAGACAATTTGCATCATCGAGACGGATTTAAGGGGATCAACGGACGCGAGCCGCATCGCTTCCGTCCGTCCTCGTCGTCAGAGGCGCGTCACGACGCATTCGGTGACCCTCGTAAATTTGGTAACTTACTCCGGTGCGCTGTGTCTCCATCAGGGGACTCGCCTTTTTCAAAAATAATTATTCTTTTATGAAATGATCAAGTAGGAAAATATGAAGTTAGTCATTACATAGTGAATAAACAAGGTCCAAAATGTGATTTTGCGTTTTTTAACTAAATAATTAACCGTAAGTCTAAAATATAATGCATGGTAGTTCACGGTGAGCTGTCAGTGTGAAAAAAAGAAAAAAGCAGAATACAAAAATGCTATTCTAATTTGCTTGGTTTAAAAAAAATGGACTATTTTTACAACTCTGTTTTGTTTACTGAGGTGATTATTTTTTATCTATCTATTTATTTAATATTTCACACACATTGGGTTGTGCATTTTGTGGCTGAAGTATGTTACTTGATTTCAATGTATGTTTAATGCAAAACAATGAATTATTTTAAGTCATATTTAAAATGGAACAAAAGTTATATTTTATATATAATATTTTTCTAAATCAAAAGATTGGGGGACTCTTGTAGTTGATTTATTATTATTAATAATAATATTAATATTATCTATCGCCAAAACTGACTTTCATATGCAAACATTTAAAATAAATAAACACCACACAAACTGTAGCTGTACCTGTCTTTACCTGTGAATACATCTGAGGGTTAACTTTGCATACTAGAATACTATTGCCAGAAACATTTTTGTATGTCTTAATATATCAATACGTCAATTCATGTCAAATACAGTGGGCTTACAATTCCAGGATGTCCAACAGCATCCTGTTGTATTTTCACAATGCAAGCCAGCATGCTTTTCTGGGTATTCTTGACCCACAGTGAGCAAAAAGGTCAAAGTTCAAGGTGCGATGTAGAATGTGTCTCTCAATTGAATGCATAGTACAATACATGAAAAAGTTTGCAGGCACAATTGCAGAATTTATTAAAACGAAAATGCAATTGGGACTCAGCTTCCATTATTGGTTTGATTAGTGTCTTCCGTGCGAGCTTCCACCACTTACTTTGTGACATCAGTGATTGGGCCGAGTCCGGAGGTTTCTTTGCCTCATTTCAGTGTGACTACACATTTCACTGTGAAGAGCAATGATCCTGTCTCATAGTGTGAACAAGAGTGAACAACAGGCTGAAACATTCAGCTATTTAAGTAAAGAAATTGCTGTCTTTGATGCCCGATGATGACAACTAGCAATTTCAAACATGCAGTCTGGCAACTTTGTCTTTAATTTATGGGCACATTTAACAGTCTGTGCATCCACTAAGAACGGAGGACACATATACTTTAATTGAGATTGTATGTTCTTTAAAGCATTTACAAAAACTCATTCATACATAAGAATGTTAGTGTAGCTATAGTTTATTGGAACATACATATTATTGCTCGGAAGCACATGAGGATGAATAAGTGTGGGCAATCTTTTTTTTTTTTTTTTTTCAAGATTCAGCTAACAAAATCACCATGTTTATGTTAGATCTTCTTAAGATTCTGGGACTGAGATGTCCGACAGTCTGTAGAGACCAATGCCTAATTGTTGTGTGAGAAAGAGTAAGCTGACACACTACTACTATTTCTGTATAATACAGGAAACATATCAAAAAAACCCTGAAAGAAAACACATTTGTGTCCTTGGACAACGTATAGCAATGCATAGGAATAAAGATAAAATTAGTTGTGACACTAATTAGGCACCTTGTTAGTACAGTAGCTCGTTATATGCTATGCAGTTTGGCTCAAGCTCATTATATGTAGTGAATACATTCAGAAGAAACCCTCTATTCCATGCACATCCAAATCATGGAAGTTACTGGGGTGAGTGGCTTTAAAATTTCGACAGCTGCTCCAATTGTACAAAACAAATCATTTAAGAGCGTTTTAGCCCACTCCTCTACTTTTTTACAACCAAAGATTTCTGTAATGTTCTGCAAAACATACAATCCAACAACATCACACCCACTCAACAAGCAATTTTGCCAGTTAAGAGGAAGTGAGAACGTGAGGAGGGTTTTAGCTCTTTTTTTTTTCTCCATTTAACACCAACCCTTATGTTATTTGTTGAGTGTACTACTGAGTGCAACACCATGAATATCTTCCAGAAATCTGAAAGTGTGGGAAATCATCTCAATTTCTAAACGATTACAGCATCTTGCCTGCCTCTATGACTGACGGCTCTTCACCTCGCCCTCAAGTGTGGCTTTAAACAGCGTTTTGACACCTTTAGTGCTCACTTTGAGGTGGCTTAAAAAAATCTGTATTTTGTTCTTTGTAGAGTAGTGACGAGCGTCAACCCATAGTCACTTTTGAATGAGCACCAACCTTACTTAGTATTTGAATTCTATCCAACACTTAATGGTTTCTTTTAAAAGCTGTGTGGTCTGACATCGGCTTTTGTTTGCGTGAAAGAGTTACGATCAAAACCAACACCTCTTAAGACGATACGACGTATGCCATAACATTATATTCGTGCTTTTTTCACTTCAAATGGTTGCAATTTCTTTTTCTTTATAGCCTTCAGTTTATTTATTTGGACCTGTACCTTCATAATTCCCGGAAATGCCTATGAACTTGCCGAAGACGGTTTTCTTAAATAAAGATACGTCTACTCGCAGAAGGAAGACTCACTTGTAGCATAAACGCAAATATTGCTCTGAGTGACAACTGATACTGCGAAAAATTATTATTTTGCTGGGCATTATAAGCTTAAATCAACAATAACATTCTCAAAAACCATCGATTTGCCCTTGAAGCTGGAGGAGAATATGAAATTCCTCCGGTCGGTGGTCACTGCTGTGAAGGACCGGGGCGACTGCACATAAATATCCTTGAACTTGTGGAACATTTTGGTCTCCACATCCCAGAGGTAGATTTGTGTGAAAGAATAATCACTGCCAAGAGCCAGGTAGTGCTTGTCTGTAAAGGTGAAAGGTTGGAGTATCATCGCTCCTCTGGAAGGTAGGGCCTGCACCTCAGTGAACTGCTTGTTGGTCCACTTGAGGACTTTGGAGTCACCGATGTAGCAAGTCATGGCCAGATACAACTCGTCCCCCAACCGGAAAGCTTTTACTGCCACCACGTCTGCCACATTTGGGATTTCACCGTGGAATACGAACTTCAGGGTGCTCTTGTTCCACAGGTAGATGACGGGGGACTGAGAGCGACAGGTCAAGATGAGATAGGATTTCCCGTCCAACTCAACAAACTCGGCATCTGTGTCACGAAACCACTCGTGCAGAAACTGGTAGGAGTAGAAACCAGTTGCATTGCGCTCTGGTTGGTCCTGCCACTTGTATAGAGTAGATAAACCGGCCTTGGAGCTGTCCACAATCACAAAGTACCACTCACGGTTTATTTGGAAAACCTCAATATCATTGGGCTTAGAGATGTTGAAGACCTCAATGGTCTGAAACTTAGTGAACTTGTTCTGCCGGCTGTCAAACTTGTAGATGTGGGAGCCACCAAAGAGCTGAGTAACGATTATCAAGACATGGTCGTCTATCAGAACCGACTTGCAGCCAACAACAGACTTTCCTGTGAGGATAAAAAAGATGAGTGGAAATACAATACAGACAATTTAGTGAAAGTTCATCATTCATTTACAATAAAATGATCATTCACTTTAATAGTTTCCTAATAAACTATCTATCTATTAAATAACCACATATACATAAATATAATTTGTACATTTTTCAATGAATTACTGCTTTTTTACAGTAAACTGACAGTAGACTTTCAGTAGACTGAAAACTACAGTCAAACCTGTTATGTTGTCAAATTTTCGGAAATTCATTTCAATGTGATCCCACTCCATGACCACACAGCTGTTGGAGATGGGGGCAGCCATCGCAACGAAGATGTCCTCTTTAAAGGCAAAGATGTCCGCCGACATGGACTGAATGGGAATGGACTGATGGCGCACAAAGTCTGTGAGATGGAGACAATAACATTTAAAAATTAATTTAATATTAAAAAGATAATTTCTTTATTATTAAATGTATTTCATATTTTATTTAGACATAGCATGCTTTATGTTATCATGTAGTTTTGTGGTTTATAGACACTTTTAAATGTTAAGTCAGTGTTATGCAATGATTTAATCTGTGTTCATGTCGGTTTACAATTGCCCTGCCTGACCACAGTGCATTGATTGTAATTGATTATTAAATAACCAGAGAAATTACAATTAAGATGATTAATGTGAAAATAACACTTTAAGCATTAAGAAAAACAGAAATATCAGGGGGAAAAAGCAGAAGTTATTCAGAATCATATCCAGAGTATCCATGCAAATCCTAATGACTTTGGGGATCCGCTGACTTTACCTACAGAAATATTGATTGTAACTAAACTACAAGCCATGTATCTCATAGGATGAATTTAAATAACTTTCGTGACTGACTTCACTTTCACTTCAAGTTATCATTGGGGCTATCATCAGCCTCAGCTTTGTTTTCTCTTTAGTGCGAATTAGCAAATGTTATCATGCACTCACTGAACTAAGAGGAACAGTATACGCATCATCAGCCTTTTAATTGCTGATGTAAGCATTTCTTTCAAAGCACTGGCGTTAAAATGCAGCTGTGGAAGTGTGTGTCCTTGGGTTTGTACCTACACAAGTGTTTTCATAGACGCTAGCAGAAGGAGCAAGCATGTTTGTTTTTGCAGTGTATGGTTGTTTCTTGTTGAATTATGTACCAGTTTTGTTGTTTTCGTTCTTTAAGTGTTTAATATTGCGTCTTTAGCTGCGCTTGTGGATGCTTCGCAGTGCCCTCAGCAATGCACTCGTCATTTTACCTGTGGAGATACACTCGCCCGGTGGAATAGGAAGGTCATTGAGCCGCTTGCCCTTCATGTCACTGGGGCCTGCGCAGAAGACATCTGATACTGTGGCATTTGTGTTTTTCAGCCACACCATCAGCCACTTGTTCTCACAAATGCACTGGAAAGAGTTGCCTCTCAGATCCCTAATGTGTATGACACGATGAAATCAGCCCGGGCACATTCGTTAACAACAAAAAATGTAACTTTGTATGGAGACGCCTGAGCGGCTCAAGACGTTGTGGGTAAAGTAAAAAACGTATATCTACTCCACGATAGACCCAATAATAAAGCTGCAGGATAACAACTTCGTATGGTTTGGCTGATAAAGAATTTTAGAAGTCTTAGCTGACACTATGTGACAGTTTGATGCATACATTAATCATTTTATTTTAAGTTACACATTACAACAACGCAACATATGTGGCAGCATTTTTGCATCTTTGTAAGAAAAATATTTTATAAAAATGTTCTTATAAATAAATAATTATAAAGATAGCAACATATGAAAGGCAACCTGAAACTGTAATGCACATAAGAGGAGGACACAGACTGAACACACACATTTAAGCTTTCAACATCATTCATTGCAGCCAAACAGAAGACAAAACCTGAGTCAGCTTCACTTAAGAGGGCAGTATGGAAAAAGACAACACACACACACACACGCGCGCGCACATGCACACACACATACACACATACACACTGCTGACACCACAACTGCTTACTCACAGTTCCAGCAAGGAATCCAAGTCAAAAAACAGATTTCTTGGCAGAAACCTCATCTTGTTATTGGCAAGCGATCTAAATCAGAAACACAGTGTTACCAGAACAACGTGCATTGTTTTAATTTGTCAGTCACTCTAGTGAGACGTTATAGTGCTGCAGATGCTGCACGGTGATGAGAATGCCAGTAGACTTACAGATGAGTGAGATCTCGCAGGCCGCGAAAGGCATTTTTGCTGATCAATTCAATCTTGTTTCCTTCAATGAATCTGTTAAGAGGGGTAAATTAGATTAGAGGGTGGGGCCAGGTTTTTCAGTTCCCATTTTGAACATGCAGTTTTTATCAATTAATACTCACAAATATTCTAGATGTGGAAGGCCGGAGAACGCATCATCTTTGATTGTTGTCAAAGAATTTGCATTCAGAAGTCTGCGGAGGGCAAAAAAAAAACGGTCTACTTTTTCATTTGTGTGCACTACAATTAGCTTAAAGTGTCAATTGCTGACTTTGCTTTTACAAAATAGCACTTACAGCAGCTGCAGAGAAGGCATGAGTGAAAACATCCCTTCTGTAATTTCAGAAATAGATCCATTCACCACGCTCCTGTTTCAAGAAAACACATACAAAACAAAGTCTCAGTGAACGATCAGATCTAGACAGGCCAGCAGACGAGCCTTCAGGGACACACCTGGGCACCAAGCGATTTGTCCCCCTTGGACGCAGCATCGTGTTTACCTCGTGCTTTACTCAAGATGCACAAACCTCCAACACGGCGCGTTACTCACAGTGAGTTGATCTCGTTCGGTATAGTGCGTGGGATCTGCGCCGTGCCCACGCAGATGATGGTCTCTTTGGTGCAGGAGCATCCTGAAGGACATTTGACGCTCCTTTTAGATTCGGCGTCTCCACAAGCACACAGAAGCGCAAAACCGGCCAGTAGCCACCGCCGCGTGGATGTCATGTTGCCTTCTCGGACATTAATATTGTACAACGAGGAGGTAGTTGGTGCAAGCAGCAGTAGTCAGCCTCGGCGTCATCCAATGCTGCACTAGTGGAAACTCCTGACACAGGCTGATACGGCTGCGGTAGCGTCCCTGAAGGCTGCCTCGGGATCGGTTGGTGGAGTGAGTGGTGTGGGGGGTGAGGGAGGGGGGATTGGCGTGGACAATTGTTTTCCTAAGCAGTGGTATATTAAAACTTTAAAGAGAGCAGATAATATAGATGCAGCTGAAGGTTGTTTCAGCACCATGGAGCGCATTATTACGCTTTAGAGGCAGACTTTATCACGTGATGCGTTATGCGTATACTGGATCACTTCAACTTCATTTGCACAGAAAGTCCCATGAAGAGGGCAATGCATCAACACGTAATCTAGATTGGAGGCAATACATGCATTAAGAAGGATTCAAATGTTGTCCTCTAAATCAGTGGTCCCCAACCACCGGTCCGTGGGCCGTTTGGTCCCGGGCCGCACCACGGAAAGCTTTTTTTTCTGAAAAATGTTTTATTTTGAAAATTGACCGGATTTCCTCGTAATTATGTGCGCTCGTCCTCTGACATATTCCCCACCCGTCACAAGGCGTTTTTCTTCACGTTTACACGGTAGTTTCGCCCAGGTTCCCCCGCCTCCTCCCCCGTCGGACCTTCTCGACCGGTCCGCGAAATATTGTCTGACATGAAAACGGTCCGTGAGGTAAAACAGGTTGGGGACCACTGCTCTAAGTGATACCTGCTGGTGTCCCAGCTCGTTTTAGATGGGATAGACATAACCAAAGAGCTTTGGACTGGAGCAACAGCTGCACACACATGCAGTTACACGCTCCTACCGCTAGAGGGAAGCTGTCGTTTACCAACCCGCAGATCTGAAAATAATCCTGGTTAGTTAACTAAATTGAGAGTAATCCAATGGCTTGTCTGGAGTTTCCAGGAAGACGGTCTGAGTCAGAATTTTCCTTCTTTTTCTTTCAGTTTTTTCCCCCACCTTAATATTTGCTTTTAGTATCTGTACTATTCTAACTGCGAATTAGTGATACATAACATATTACATATGTAATGTAACGTTCATTTCAATTCAATTTCAAAAGTACAACAATTACAAACCAATACATAATAAAGGTTTTTTTATTGAATGATGTGAAAATAAATTCTGAAGACACAGTGGGATGCACTTTGTTTCACTAGATACTCTGGTTTTGACATCCACGAGGCCTTATCGGTAGGGATATGACACATATAACATTGCCTTTGAATGCCACATAGCACGATCATTCTTAGAAAGACCTTTTCACTGCACAATGGGGTCGTTAGTTGTTGCAGCAGGTCCTAACAAGGTGCTGACCTTTGCCGGACGACTAGTAGTTTATGAGCGCGAGTGAAACCAAATACCCATTGCCAGAAGGGGGCAACCGTACGTGCCTGCCATTGCTGGCATTGCTCATGAAAGCTCTGCGTCTAGCATTGCTGTTTTTAGGCTAGAGTATCCGTGAAACACTCGCGACACGTGCATGCTGAAACCAGAAGACGCTACAGCGAGCCCTTTGCTATTTCTTTCTAGACAACCATCACTATAATATGCATTTTGCTCATGTTCTGGATGTCTGTGATACTTAATGAACTGGGTTTTGTGTCAGATGAAACAGGGCTACTTGGGTGGAAACACGGCCCCTGATTCTTGGCTGTAGTTCTTAAGGTTTCGGGCTACATACAACACCTCCAGCTTGCTGGATATGTTTTATTCGGGACTATCACTGTTACTTATTTTTTATTACTGTATCAGTCCTCTAGCAACATTCAGATTGCACATCTCACACATCTCATCTGCTCCTCTATTTCAGAAACTTCAGATGGTTTCTATGACATTAATATTTCTCTAACAGGTGAAGGGAATATTTCTGAACATGTAAAGTCCGTCTAAAGCAAATTCACAGGTTCATTCTCTTACAACGTGTCAATCTTCAGATCTTCATCCGCTTAAGGCTTGCTCACTTTTATACCTTTAGTTGTTTCCTGCATTGCTATTAATATTATTTAGGAGTTTATGCAGTTAGGCCCACGCTTACTGTCACATACACACACTCATACATACTGGATATCTGATTTATTTCCATTAATATATAAACACTGTGTTTTGTGAACACATGTTATTAAGCAAAAGATCAACAATGAAATGAACAATGCAGATTTAGTTCAAAGTAGATACCTTCCTTTAAAAATGTTTTTTTATTGCTGATATCAAATATCATATTTGATATCATTATCATTCATTATCATTATGATGAACCAGTGTTTCATTATATAAACGAATACAAATGGAATAAAGCAAAAAGCAAACAAACTAAACAGAAAATAGAATTTATAAATATGAAACATTTTTTGCATACAATTAAAATACAGTATAAAGAAGTAAATAATAATAAGACCATGGGTTTAGTGTGTGGGCATTCTGGGATTTAATCATTATTATTGCACCAATACCATTTGATTTGTTAGTATAACAAACCAAATGGTACTCAGACTCAATGGTAGGTGCAGTAACAGTTAACTTGTATTTCTGCAGTAGATTAAAGTTTGTATTTGTAGGAATGGGTTGGCCTTTAAATATGTGATGTTTAATAATTAATAAAATTCATTTAATCTTGCAGCAGTAATTCAGTGAAAAGGACCGAAACACTCACAGTGATTATCTAACCTCCATAAGTGTATTGTCATTGTCCGGTTTAGGGTAACACTCTAATCCCTTACATCCAGTAAACCAGCTCACACATGACACTTTCAAATCCGAAAATGACCTTTTACCCTTTGAACCATGCGACCTTTGAGGGTCAGGAGGGGAGACCTGGAGAAGTGCGCTGTCTGGCTGCTGGTGACTGCTTCACAGCAGGTGGTCAAGCTCTCAAACCTCTCCGGTTCCCACTCTGAAGCTGCAGAAGCTCCAGAAGGCCCAGCAGTCGATATCACAGAGTCACCAACACTTCTCGTTGGCCTCGTCCTGCAGAACACAAACGTATCAAACTAGGATTATGAATATGAATATAACAAGTCTGTGTTCACAGTATATTCAAAATAATTATAATAATCAAAAGCGAGCCATCATAATACAAATTGAGTTTGTATTGACAGTTTTGACAAGACACTTTTCAGATTTCACACATTATTGTCTACACATTTAGATACAGTATATTTCAGCTTATTCCAAATCCTTATTGAAGCTGTATGATGTCTTAAGGCTATTACATTCCAAAAAATGGAAATATTATGAACATTTAGAGTATCCACAGACCGTAGCTAGTTTTTCACTTCTTTAAAAACAAAAAAAATAGACATCTTTTGTAATTTTTGTGATCATATGAACTATTTAAACTCTAAAGCATTATACAAACATAGTTTCTGAGAGACTGGGTTGCATCTTCCATCGAGGATGATACCGTTTCTATTTCGTTATCAATCACAGAGGCAAAGATGTCTGTGCCCACAGTTTCTCAAACATTTTGAAGCAGCCCGTATTGACCCACGCACGCCCTGATCGGCGGATAAACAGCTGCCTGACCGACGCTCGTCAACTCTGGAAATCTGTCACTGTAAAATCAACACTTGTTAACGCCGGAAGATTTGCTGTGTTCAAACCAATCCTTCACACTCAACCGGTTATTCTTAGCGCAGGTAAATGTTATGTGTTCTGTCACAACACGTGATGTGTTTCAGGGTGGAAGCGAGGATTGAAATGGTCTACACGCGGAGCGTTCGTGGCGTTGATAAATGGCGCCCATGATTTAACACCTGCTGTTTTAATGTCGCCTCTGTAAGAAACTGATCTCGACATGCTTGCGTGACTGAGTGGCGTCCCCATTTTAAATAGCTGCCTAAATTTATCAGCTTTGTAGAGGTCAGTTCAACCTGCATGTGTGTGTCCATGTTTTGGAATAAGTGAAAATCAAATCTTCTCACTTCGAGGAAATGCTGTATTTATTATAACGTGAGATTCATTATGAAAGGATATCCACTTACATTATCTATAAAACATGCTGTTGTACAATAAGTACAGCACATGTTGTTTGTGGAATTACAATTTATTTGAATTATTTGAAACATATTACTGCTGTAACTAGTTTTAACTACATTATATATGAGAATCTGTGAGTTGAGCCCCTAAGGGTGCAACCTCTCAGATGCACCATCTGAGAGGTTGAGGGATGATTGATGGGAGAAGAAAGAACAAAAAACATGTACTGCACACATTTCTATTTCTTATAACTTTTCTTTAATCTTTGCATTTTTTATGAAATACTGGATCATTTCTTCAATGAGTCATTGTTGTACGAAAGTTGATTGGACGTGCCGGAAACTGGATTATTACTGTCAACAATACGCAGGGTAAAAGTGGTATTTGGGGGTGACAAAGGCTTCACAGTGGTGGCCTTTGTCCTTGATATTGCTGTCAGTGTACCCTCCACACGGAGCAACTGTTGGCCTGACCCCTCCCTGCTGCATACCACCCATCTGGGGCCCGGTCCAGAAACAACACTTCTGTCTTCGACACTTAGAAATACCTCTAATGAATAGATCATTACTGAGCAAAATTACATTATTCAACCCTGTCCACAATAGCGGCATTAATCATTATCGAACAATCGGTCATTAACTCACTTTTGGCCGTTAATCCCTCAGGACTCAGTGGTGGGAGGGCCGAAAACGTTCTCGACAGATTAGACACGACTCTCGAACTGCATTTACACATGACTGGATGAACTTGTAGTAAATTCTTTTAGCTGACTGGCACCAGCTGGCGGGGAATATTTTTCTACATTGAGACAAGGCAGCTGTTTGAGGGAGAAGGATCAGCACTGGTGGCATTCTCCGCTTCACAAATATTATTAGTGACAATATTAAGTAGTTTGGTGCATTTTAAAATGGAGTGTTTATTCCTGCGTCCTTTGTACGCCTTAAAATCAGTGGCTCGCAATACAGTAACGATTTGACCTCTGTGTATATCACCGCCCATACGTCCTTGGCCCCATGTAGGAGAACGGGAGGGGAATGCGAGAAGTCAGCAGCTAAAGATCTGTAAAATGCACATTTGATGACAGAAATCAACTGGGGGCAGTTTCACAGTGACATGTTATTTCCCCAATAGTGCATTGCCAAATTAACAATACAAGGCATCGCAAGGATTTACATACAACAAACTTTTCACTTTCATTTGTATCTATATTTTGAAGATTTCTATGTAATACATTCTTCAAAACATGGTGACAATTTAATTTGTTTATGGCTGTTTACAGTATTTTCTGTTGTATTTAAAGACAACAAGGGGCATTCAAAACTCTCTCGGTACAAGCCTGAGTAAGTATTTTGAAGATTATTATTTTAGGGGGAAATGTGTGTAAATTCGCACATTTCTGGTACACCAATGCCTCATTTAAAAGGAAAAAAACGTCTTAAAGTTTCAGGACGATGTATAATAACAAAATGTTTTATATTCACCCTGTTTTGTGCCGCAAACTCGTGGTAGTTTCCAGTGTCTCGGAATAATTACTTAAGCAATTCAGAGAACCTCTTGGAGGGGAGCTGTTCATCCGTGAAAGGTGCTGAATCTTGGCACTTTATGGAGGTTGGTTTCACGAGTTAAAGTTCTCCTTCGGACTCCCCACCTATCGTTCTCTCCCTCCCTCTCTCCCCCCTCACCCTCTCTCTCTCTCTCTCTCTCTCGCTCTCCCTCTCTCTCCCCCCACCTACCCTCGGGGCTCTCCGTCCTCCCCGTCCCACCAGCCTGCGCACAGTTTCCGTCGTGTGTCGGGACACCATCGTAAACGAGGACCACCACCTGACGGGGGAGGGGGGGCGGGGGGGAGCAGACTGCACTAAATGGAAGCGGCGGAGGAGACTCTCACTTGCCCAGCTTTCACGTTACTTCACAGGAAGCTGCTCCCGGAGGACACGCGGAAGGACGAGGCGCACGGCGAGGACCGCGGATCCAACTATGTGGAACTGGACATGAAACCCAACGGCGCAAAAACGGCGAAAGTGACTTTCCCCGGCGCGGGGAACCAGCCGCCGGTTATCAAATGCAACGCGTCCGAGCCGGGAGACTGCGGCGAGGAGGGTTCAGTCCCCGCGGGGGGGGATCGTCCCGAAGAGCAGTTAGAGGACACGCGGGGCGGCTCCCCCGGGCCGGTTTCGGGAGAGCCGCCTTTGGAAACTCCGACCAAACTTCCCAACGCCGGTGGCGGCGACTCGGACGGCGAGGAGCAGCGCCGGGCGGAGCTCGACCGCGGGGGACGCGCGCGCAGCGGGGACGGCGAGCTCCGGTACACCGACATGTATCTGAACAGCAGGGCGGAATCGGACGACGGTGCCAGTGCCGCGACCTCCGACCACTGCGGCTCCGACGCCGCCGCGGAGGACGAGTCCCACTACATCACGACGCACGAAATCCAGTTGACCGAGCTCGACCACGACGTGGATTACGAAGTGGGCCGCGGGACCGGTTGGGATTTTGAAGACGACAACCTGGTTTTTTCCTTTGTGGATTACGCTTCTTTTGAGAGCAACGAAACGCAGGGGAGGACTTTGATACTGAGGGGAAGGGGCCAGGCGAAAGTGCGCGCAAATCCTGGCGGAGAGGTCGTCACCACCGAGCTGGAGGATAGTGATCTTTGCGACTCGGACAAATGCGCCAGCTCAGACGAAAGCCTGTGCAAAAACGCGGGGAAGATTCACGTGTCGATAAAGACGTCCTCCAGAGCGGTGAACAACGCCATCAGTACCTCCGACAACAGCGCACGTGGGTACACGAAACACTTTGGAGACGGGAGCCATTTCTCCTTTGTGAGCTCTGGCCCCAGGGTGGGGCCTCTCGGCGACAGAGCCCAATATTTCATCCCCGCTCCGGGCCGTCAGCACCTTGCATCCAAACTGAGACGGAAGGATATTAATGAGTATTCCAGCGGAGCGTCCAGCTCCATCAGCGAGCTGGACGACGCTGACAAAGAGGTGCGTAATTTGACCGCCAAGTCTTTCCGGAGCCTGGGGTGTCCATACTTCGATGCCATTAATCTCAGCACCTCCAGTGAGTCTTCCATGTCGGAATATGGAATGAATAACTGGTCGGCTTATGTGGACTTGAAATATGGAAACATATCTCAGGGTAGAGAGGGGAGTGTAATTGAGACGTCAAGCTCAACTTTGGAAATGAATAGGACTGTGGGTGGTAGGAGGCCCGGTAAGTCAGTCACCGGTATGAAAGCTCCACAAACCAAAATGTACGCGTTGAACAAGAGAGCAACTTCTCAACAATCATCATCTACCAAAAAGATACAACTCAACGATCCCGATCAGCCGAAGCAGCGGGGAGTCACGTTGAATTTCCGGTGTAACGTTGAAGCGCCCGAAGGCGCCAGACTTCCCAAATGCTCCAAGAAAGCACGACCCGATGAGCTAACTGGGACTGTCTCGGCCGGGTCAGGGTGTGAGATGCGATATCTCTCCTCAGATTGCACGGGGGGTACGCACCAAAGAGCAGTATTTGCATCAAGTCTTTTAAAAAATGTGATTTCCAAAAAGATGCAGTTTGAACAGGAGCGTAAAATGGAGAGGGGCGAGAAGTGTGACGCCTACCCAGCATTGTCCTCGGGTTTTCAATGTAAAGATTATGACGGAGTGAAAGATAGGGGGCAAGGAATGGGCCTTCAGAGACAGACGTCAGAATCAGGCTCAGGTTTTACTGTTAACTCTGCTGATGATGATCGATATCTGGAGGGCAGCAGAGCCAGCTCCTGTGAGCTCGTAGAGGAGCATAACATCTCCAAAGCACCAGATGATCTAGGAAAGGGGGAACCGAAGCCTCCAAAATCTTCTCTCAGCCACAGCCAAAATAGTGCGTTTAATTCCCTGAAGGAGGAAGAGCCAAAACCCACATCTTTAACCGCCACACAAACAAAACAAAAGGCATTAGACACAAGCAGCATGCTGACAAAACTGCTGTTTGTCCCGAGCTGCCAGCTCCTATCGAAAGAGAAGACCTGTCGAGAAGACGTTCCAATCCGTGCAACAGTCACAGGTGCACCTGCCTTAAAAACAGGCAACAATGGAAACACAGGCAAAGAGGAGAATGCGGAAGGGGGTAAACCCCCTGGGATAAAAATATGCCTGCGGAGTGTGAAGGAAAACAAAGGCTGCACACTGAATATTGCCAACCTGTTAACCCCTAAAATAAGTTTAAACACCGGGAACACATTCAAGGTAGCAGATGATGCCAAATGCCACGCTTCAGATAAAATCCCAAACTTCACTGTTAGAGACATCAGAGACACCAAATGCAAGTTTCAAACACCAATATATCAAGTCAGAGATGTCCGTAAATTGGTAAAAAGTTCGTACCGATTTGTTTCCCTGGATAACAGCGAGGGTAAATGTTCCACAGCAGCTGAAAAACTGGAGGTGACAAAGGCGCCGACGAAGCATGTTCTACCGTCTCCTATTGTGATTAAGTGTCACTCTGTAAAAACAAATGCTAAACAACAGCCGCCCGAGGCAGCCGCCTCATCTGAAACTGCTCAAAGTGAAAACACGCCATCTTACTGCACAGCCAGCAGGGTGCCGCTTGTTGCGTCGAAGCAGCAGCACCATGACCAGTCAGATGTTCAGCCAAATATTGAAGCCAAATTAACCAAACAGAGGCAGGAAAGGTTTGCATGTGAGACTTCTGAGAGGAGAAATGAGCCCAAAATACCGAAACAGGCTGCTTTAGAGAAGCTTAAAGCTGCGGTCAAAACAATGGAGCAGCTTTATGTTTTTGACAGAAACGAATGGAAGCGTAAAAGCCAAGCTCCGCAGCCAATCACAGACAGCCACGTGTTATCGCTTATTGCCAGGGAGGAGCAGGGAGCCGAGGAGCTGGAGACAACAATCACCGACCGGTCTCCTCAGCCACAGGATGCTAAAGGAGCTCTGAATATTATACGCGTCCCGTACGACGACGACGCGTTTCAAACGCAATCACAGCAGAGTAAAACGTTTAGTAACAAACGCGTGCTTCATTTTGGCTCCGTTAGTGATCCTATTGCCCAAAACCCCTCGCTGCTAACATCATCGACTATGAAAAGCTCCAGAACACCCGTAGCTCCACTGTCGGTGAAAATAGTGCCTCCGAAAGAAAGCCAGGTGGAGCAGGGGAAGGTCAAAATGATTCCCACTAATCCCACTTTTGCACAGGCCTGCTCAGACTCTGGGAACTACTTAACCATACCGGGGTATACGAATGAAGTCAAACTGCTTAATCGAGATCTCGTTTCCAGGCAGCTGAGTTCAAATGTTAGCGAAATCCAAGCAGTTGACAGGATGACGCCTGAGCAGAAAAGGTCTCCGTTAATCACGGAGTACCCAGCTTCAAGCGTCTACCATCAGACACAGCAACAGGTGTTGTGTTTCTCTCCATCAGTCCCCAATGTGTCACCTACACCTTCTAGCGGGGAGGCCGTCCCACAAACACAGCGCAAGATGCTTTTAGATCCCACCACAGGACACTATTACCTGGTGGACACTCCTATCCAGCCAACCAAAAAGAGACTATTTGACCCTGAGACAGGCCAGTATGTGGATGTACCTATGTCCGGTTCTCACGTGGCACCTGTCACCCCCGTCCCTCTCTCGTTGTCCCCACTGGCCATGAGCCCAGCAGCTTACGCCCCCACTTACGTGATCTACCCGGGCTTCATCCCCTCACCCACTCTGCCGGCCCAGGCGGTGTTGTGTCATTCGCCGTGTCACTCCGAGGGTGCAGAAAAGGTCAAAAGGGCCAGAAGTCCTAAGCTGGACGCCAGTGCAACAGGTGCAGAGAGTGCGTATTACAGTGCGACAGGTGAGGCGACACGAGGGCCAATGCAGCTTCCTGTCAGCTTGGGACATGTGAGCGCCAGAGGAGGTGCAGCGAGCTCTGACAGGAAACCGGTCATCAGCATCACAACGCAACAAGGGCCAAGGATCATCGCACCGCCTTCCTTCGATGGCACAACAATGAGCTTCGTGGTGGAGCACCGGTGACCAAGGAAACACCTCATTGTGCATGTAAGTCTGCGCATCTCCCCATCACTCCTACAACTCTTTTTCTTTGTGTCTGAGTATAAATGTGTTTTCATTTATTTACCATTCCAATGTATTTGATTGAATCCAGATCAAATATGTAAAACAATGTTCTTTTGACACGCTGCATAAAGCTCAGTATCAACTTTATTGAATTCATTAAAACTTAAGGGGAGTAATTTGACATCAACATCGTCACTAATCTTGGAACTTCATTTTGTCATACTAAACTGGAGTAAAGTGTGCAGAATTAATGTTTTGTTCATTCAAATCGAAATATAATAATTATTGGTGGAGCTCTAATCACAAGTGAAGGATCCTCAACAGTGCCACACGTTGCTTTCAATGCTTTATTTAATATTAGGTCAACAGGAGAAAATGCACTTGATTACGTTCTTTCAGGGAACAGCAGCGCAGAAAACCACCCAGCATGACAGAGTTAGGGCGGACATAGATGACAAAAGTTCCCGAGTAACACAAGCTCCATTCATTGGGTGGTCCAGTCAGAGAGACTGAAGGGAGATGACACAGAGAATGAATTATCTCTTTCCTTACCCTCCCCTCGGGATACTTCAGAGTTTACCGACGCTACCACCAGCAGTGCAACACTCACATTGTCATGTCAACGTGTGCAGAGGTCCCGATGTACGTCGTATGTTTTTCTTGGGTTGTAAATGTTAGAGCTGCAGTCCAGCCGCGCCGCACGGGCAGAAGCATGTCAGTGTTAATAGACATGCAGTAGCTCCATGACAGGTAACATGACTCCGCTGGGCATGCTGGATTTTTTAGGCCTCGCTCCGCAAGTCGGTTGAGTTCCCTTTTCTCCACATTACACATCGTCGGGCTATTTTGATAGGTTGAGACGAGTTTGTTTACATGGTTTATTCTTAGGGCGGGAAAGTGTCACAGGAAAGAATTCCAGTCAGAAAAACCTTACAACCAGTTATTCTTATTCAGTGTCAGAAATGCTTTAGAGTTCATTAATGTCTCTGGTTCTGGTTTGTTGCATTTCAATGGAAATTCCCCCCTTGCTTAATTGGTTGGAACAATCCTTCTTGAATTGTTGTATTATGAAACTACAAAGAAAAAGGCTAAATATAGCTTAAATGTTCAGTTCACACAAATAATTAAAGACGAACGTTTCAACTGATTACGCTGACTGTTCAATTTGCATAATTCCTGTGACGCACAGACAGGTCCGTTGATTATATCGGCAGAGAAACTGTTTCTCACACGACAGCTTGCAATAAGTAAAGTGAGTAAATGATAAATGAATAAATAATGCAATTCAATTGAACTTGAAATTAGCATACATTTTAGTGTGAGATCACAAAACCCAAAACAATGTGTGCACCGTGGTCAAGCTCATGTTGTAAAGTCTAAGCTGGTTTAACATGCATGTGCTCTAGCTTGACCTTTAGCTGCAGTGTGTCGACCACAGACTGGGACGTGAACCCTAGCTGGGATTTGGGCTCGCTGCAAGCTTGTTAGCCGGCGATGCGTACCAGCATTTGCACATCCAAGCTAGCTTCAGCATGTACCACATCAAAACAGCAACTCATTTAGCTGTCAAATATAGGCAAAATAAATGAAAGGGTAACATTATGTTTAAATATCCATTCACTAGTATTCTGCATGCATAGTGCAGCTGAAACATCAAGGTTGATGTAAAAAACATTTTAAATGTCATTAATTAGTGACTTTATATAGAAATGTACACAATTATCAAATACATGTACTTTTCCCAAAAATAAAAACACATTAAGTCGTTTTATTAAGAAGTGCAGTGGAGAGAGTGAATCAATCCTGTAGACAAAGGGCCCAGAATCATAAGAAAACACATTGTATTGAGAGGTTACACAACATTAGTCTGAAGTGTTAATATGTTGTTTGGCTATTGTTTGACTCTAGGTTGTATTAGATGACAGCATAATTAAGGCAGCAATAAATAATAAATGAGAGTAAATAAATCAATGAATAATGTTCTCCTGCCTCCTAATTTGCTACCTAGTAGACATTTCTGAGAACGTTTGACAGGAGACAACTTTGTTTAATGCATTGAGTTGAAGATTAACACATAAATTAGGTTCAACTTCATAAAAAGTAATGAATTACTACAACATTACAGTAATTCCATATGTGTGTCCTGCTGTTGAATGCTGTACCCCCCCCCCAAAAAAAAGAATATCAACTAAATAAAAAGTGTATCATTCACTCAAATAGACTAGTCACAGTCCATTCCTAGCTAATGTATCAGAGCAATAATACAACTGCATGAGCGGATACATATCAGCTTGGTGCGTGTCCGGCAGGGGCCTAGCATGGGGTTGGGTAGTGGTGTGAAGAGGAACGCCGGGTGTGTGTGTGTGTGTGTGTGTGTGTGTGTGTGTGTGTTTGTAACGTGTGGTGGTGGAAGGCGTGTGTGCTCCGGGGGGGACGTGGGACATGGCTTGGATAGTGATGCAGGAGGAAAAGGTCAGGCAACGTAAAGTATTTGTTGTGCTGATGCAGAGGACAGCTGCTCGGAGAGATCAGATGCAGGCTGCAGCTCCAGCTTGGAGGCGAGTCTTTAGGGCTGAGACGGGGTCAACTTTTTATAGCCCCCCTCCCCCTCTGCTTTTTCCTAAACGGGGAGAAGGAAGCGGATAGCGCAGCTGACCTCCACTCGTCATATGTAAACAAATCGAGCGATGTTCCCTCGGCAGTGATTCGGCTGAATCTGGTCAGCTGGTTCTGAACCAGAAGCTACAGTCAGAAAAGTTCCCACTACAGAGGCTTGTGTCCAAAGCTATTGAAATGTGACTCAAGCTTTGGGACAACGATGTCTATCCTAACGTGGGCTGAAACTAAATCGTGTTTTCTCCTCATTTATCACATCTTATTTTCACAGTGTAACTTTTTATGTCTTCTTTTCTGTCTAGACATCTCCACCAAAGAACGTGGCTTCATTCACCCCTCTTGCAGTTTTCAACCCCCCCCCACCCGTGATCTACTCCCCATGACAAAGTTCCACCACCAACAATTTGATCCCCTCTTGTTTATCCTTGCAGAAGACCTTACTGTAATATGGATGCATTGCAGCACTTTGTAGGGTAAAAACTTTGAGCCACACTCTCTGGCTAATGCTTTGCCATGTTGCTATACGAATCTGCTTTGTAATACTTTCCAGTCACCTGCTGTTTAGAACTTTTGAAATTTGGTTTTGGTCCCTGCAACATGTCTATTCAAAAGGAAACAAGGCAGGGAATTGAGTTTTATTAGCCGCTCCACAAATGTATTAGTATCAATCCAATGTTACCGTTTCTTTAAAGTGAGACTTTGTAACTTTTGTGCTGATGAAAAACTGATGATGTCACGATAAACATTTCAATGGTTTTACCACGAAGCCAAAAAAGTTGCTGCCAATTTATCCCAATGAGGTAGTTCAACCAAAAACATGCCAAAATCCCCCAAGTGTGTCATGCATAATCGTGTTGTTACGGGTTTGAAGTCTCAGTTGCAGAACTGACTGCACAAAATTGTGCCCAAAAGGTTGACTGGTCCTGATGCAGATGTAAGGAGGGGGGAGGGGAGGGGGGCGGAGCTTCTGTGGTCACAGATGCTTAAACTGTACGAGAAGAGTTTCAGGAGGCCATTAGAACGACTATTAGTAAGCCTCAAAGAGATGCTGCCAACTGTCAGATGGCGCTGGAGGCCGAGGCAAGGCTCAGCTCAGGCTGCTTTCAGCCAACAGTGCTCAAATATGAAGGGAAAACTTATACCACGGAACTGGAAAGACAACTCCAACTTCCAGGAGAAAAACCGGGCAGAATCCATCCTCGTTGTGGAACATTGGACTTGCTCTCTACCATTGCAGAAACACAGGGTCTGCCCCTCTAGTCTATTGATGTTGTGTGGATTTGGAGAAGCCCGCTGGCCATTTCCACTGGGATGTCAGGCGTCCTGCATGTTGGCCTCAAGATTGCATCTCAAGGAGTAAGTGGTTCTGCTGGCTTTATCGGACCATGACTTGGGTTAGCACTTTTAAATTGGAGACCATGTTTCTCAACTGGAAAATGGTGGTTATTGCCCAAATTGAAGTATATTGGAATCCTTCAAATCAGTGAAAATACATAGTATCAGATTGTTGTGGGGAAGAGATTGCTGTAAAACAATTATCAAAACACAAATGCATCTGCCATTCTCCTGTAGTTGATGCTTGTGGCCGTAGGGGTCATTGTTCTTCAAAAGTTACACAGTCTTGCCTTATTTCACTCAATAAGATCATTACTTAAAGTGATTACAATCTACAATATTTCATACTGTTTCTGGAAGACAGGGACCATTTGTCTGCACTGATCATATAAATAAATGCAGATTAAGGGGTAATTTTGAATCGCCTCAAATTCAGCCACAGGATTAAAATTATGATTACTGTATTTCAAAATAATGTGTTTTTAAACATGTCCTAAGGAAATGTTAAATATAAGACATTGCTATGTATGATATCGCTACCCTCCATCAACAATGTTCCACATTCACAATAACATTTCCATCTTTTTTAGGATGTTCTACTTAAAGTACTGTAGGTGTATGACTCACGACATGCTGCTAATACCTGCACAACTGATATGCTGTATAAAGTAGTGTATGTTTCTATTTTAATTAAGTTTAAAGTTTAAATATTTAGTTTTATGTTTTGCTGCGTGAGAAAAAAAAGAGCAATCAGAGGAAGTGGCGTTGTGGTCTAACTGTGTACTTGAATCAGTATTTTCTAAGTACCGTTGGGCCTAATGAGTCAGAGCCAGCTGAGACATTTACGGGATAACTTCCTCTGTGATGGTTTATTTTACACTTTTTAGTGTAATGAGATGCGAGTTAGTGCGCGCGTGTTCCGTGGCAGTGAGTTATGTTCGGCAGTTCAGTATTCTGTGAGTGTACAACAAGGAGTCGTGTTACTTCTCTGTAGACAGCAATGTACAGATTACATGTGTTGGAAGTGTCGCCACATGTACACACAGCAAGCAGTTTCTCTTTTTTTAACCCACTTGACCTCTTAGTTTAACAATATGAATGAATTTGAGTTCTCATCAAATGGACATATATCGACTGATGACATTTATGTGACTGCTTCCTGTGTTGAGAAGTTCAGAGGATCATGTTTTTTTCCTGTTTTGTTTCCTTTTGAATAAACAACGTGGGGCATCATAGGTCTTTATGCTTTTATACTTGACTCAGTTATACCAGCATCCCATGTAGAACTAAATCAATTTGTAGAGCATGTTTCAAACCTAAACCCACATTAAAGGTATTTGGAGCTGCTGGTCAGTCTAAGTACCCTAATTTTGTAAAATAAATGTGATGATGTGTCTCTGTGAAAACAGACTTTATACAAATTGCTCTAAGTTGATTTCATTTCAAGTGAAATGCAGCAAAGATAAGACATGATTTGGCTCTTTAGAGCAAGTTGATTCTAGAGCATTTAATGCATTGGAGAAGAAATCTTTACTTAAATGTATACATTTAATTCAAAACACTTATTTATGATATACAACAACATTATTTAATAATACTTTATAATTGTTGGACATATGTTTCCTCGAGGTAGTTGTGAAATTATTTATTCAGAGATAATGAGTCGGTTCGTTTCCGAAGGAAAGAAAACTACTATGAACAAGTTAGAATTGAGAGGTATGATTTTCTATAAATGAATAAATCAGATAAATACTGTAAGTTGTAAACCAGCTCTTCTTATTTTGTCCTAAACATAAAACTCTAAAAACATAAAAACCTTTAAAAACCCATCTCCCAAATGCTTTTCATTAGTTTCTTGAAAGACTTTTATCTATAAATAAAAATGCACTTATGGATTGTTACTCAGCAACAAATGCCTGTAAACATCGGTAAAAGAGTACTACATGGACTTGTTAATTGTAAAATGAATAATTGTTTGTTTTTCCTGATGAATTTCACAGATGCACTGTACATGTTTTATTTTAGAAATTATTCCACGTCCCTCAACAAACCTGCTGACTTTGAGGTTGAATGTATGAAACTAACTGTATCAAAGCTTGCTTTTGTATAAGGAAAGAGGTTAAACAGAGGGTGAGATGGTCTGAGATAAGTGTATTTATGAACGTTCAAAGAAAAGGGGCATATGTTTTGAATAAAAAGGCTATACTGGCTGTACTATCATATATATATATATATATATATATATATATATATATATATATATATATATATATATATATATATATATATTTCATGCCTAATGTCAACTGTGACTGCCCCAAAAAAAGACAGCGGTCAGAATAACGGAGAGACGCCTTGAAAAGAGAAGAGTGAGTGCTGCGCTTGAAAGTAATAAAATGACGAATGAGTGTGTTGTAGTCGATCAGCCTTCCTACAGTATGTTTGCAATAGATTCAGTATCAAGCTACCGAACACGTATGTATCCATGAATTTAAATCACTTTAAGGTCTAGTTGTGTTTGAATGAAGTGCATTTTCTGCTCTTAAAGAAGGGCTTTGTTAAAGATTTGGTCATTTCTCAGGGCACTGAACGAACACCTTTGGGATGCCAGGTTGTGAACATTACCTTTTGCTGGTCAGTGCTTGATGAATTAAAGAGCCAAAGTATTTCTCCTCACAACCTGGCACACTAAACGTTCTTGTTAATTGCCTCAAACTGGTTTTTGACATATTATAAAATGCTTTATTAATTATTAATACAACCATTAGTTGCAACATGCTAATTGTAAACCTCTTATGAAAATGTAAATGTATAAGAAAACGTTACCAAAAACTGAATACATTTTAATACATTTTAATTGCAATGGCCTGCCTGCCATAACTGGTCAACATAATAAACAACCTTCTTCCTTAAACATGTTTTTGCATTTTTACTTTTTTATTTTTATTTTTATTATTTCTCAACACTAGCAGCGACTTTTACTTTGTAATATTCTGCATTAACTGCACTTTATTTCCTTCTCTCTACCGGTCATGATTATTGTGACTTTGTGCAGTGTCGTACTTTCAATAAATGGTCTCCATTAAAAACCTGGAGGAAAAATAAAAAACAGCCAAAGTGAATCAAATTGATTAATGCCAACAGAAGAGCACTCGTGGCATCTGCCAGCGTGCAAGGTTGGCTTTCTGGTGACACTGTAACATCACCCGGGCCGAGGCTTAAGTTCAACCTGACAGTTTGCTGCTGTGTTTACTCGGTTGCCGTGGATGCAGTGAGACTGGCAGACACTGGTTTACCCCCAGCTGCTCTTGTGGTTTCTAAAGAATCTACATTAAGGCCCAGTTGTTGTGTTTGGATGCCAGCAGGGCCTCTGATGTCACGGCTTCGACTCAAGAAAAGGCCAGATTTATTGCCTCACCTGGATCAACACGTGAGTCAGTCTGCTGGACATTTTAGTCAATATAACTGTTTTCATATGCTAATGACCTTGACTTCTAAACGTGGAGGACTGCACCTCTAAAAAGACAAAAATAACAAAGTCCCACAGCTTAATTTTAAACCCGGTGCCCCCATAGCGTTATTCCAGTTCTACATTATTGCACGACACATAAACTTTGTTTTTGTTGTATCCATAAACCAAGCCAAAAAGTGTTTCCACTAAACATTTATTGTCAGCCAATTACAAATCTAACACACTGATCTCTTAGTATGAAAACTTGATGTCTTAAAACTACCGCAATGTTTTAAGACCAAGGCAATTACAGCCAAGTAAAAAAAAAATATATTCAAGTGTAGATGGATTCACGATTGGAGCTTCGATTTTACCCTAAAATCTTGCAAGTACAAAGTAAAGATAAAGCACACACGTTATCGCTGCAGGAAAAATTAAGAAGCGCCATCAGAATTATAGACATGGAATTGATTCTTTTTACTCTGCTAATAAGTTAATTCAGGCGGGTGACAGTGATTGACACAAAACAATAAACAAATTGACATGTACATTTATACTGTAACTGTGTTGGGATGATTACAGTCGTATAGTTCATGCTGAGTATTATTACCCATCAAAGAAAACATGCATCCTGAGTGTGCCCATCATAAATACATTTTTCAGGAAATCCATAAAAAAGACAATTCAAGAATTCCTGATTTCAAACAAAATGTCAAATGAAGATGACTTAAATACACAGGAATGTAAACATTGCATGTTTTGTTACAAAGATAAAAACATTTGCATTCGCTCTTGCATGCTTTCAATGCACGAGGCAGAGGTGTGACAGCTGTCCCTGAATGCAATAAGCCCTCTTTGAGTGACAATATTCGTCCCTGGATAGTTCATGGCATCTCTTCTACCAACTGGAGTCAAAAACCTTCTTGCACATGTTTGAGTTCTCCTGGTGAAGAGGGAATTCGGAGCCGGGGACGAGCTGCTTCTTGCTGTTATGCGACACAACGCTTTTCCCCGATGACAAGCTCTCATACTTGGTCAGATATTCACTGGAAGCAGAACATCAAGAATTAGACCATTAGGTATTTGAAAGAGATGATTGAACGATAAAACCGTGAATAGTAGAGACATTTTCCCTAAAAAAAAGAGGGTCTCTCTATACCTGACGGGGAAGGTAGTTTTGTCCATCTGCATGCACACCAGGAAGGGATATTCGGAAAACTGGACAGTGGTGATGAAGTCCAGCGATGCTTCTGTTTCAAAGCTGACCTCCACACCGGCTCTCATGAAGTCCATGTCCACTGTAACGTTGCCAGTGACCACTAACGCTCCCCTGGAACCATCCACGACAAAACATATGAAAACGTGCCTTTGAAACCAAACAATCAGAAACTTTTTTTTTCTTCCCTCATTTAGCTTTGTCACAACTACATTGGAATGGTTCTTGTTTGTGACCATTTATTTGTATAATACAGTTTGTATGCTGTAGACACTAACGAGCAGAGTTTGACTATCATGTAACAACTTCCTTTTATGTTTCAAACCAAAGTGCGTGCCAACCAGTTGAACATCCGACCTCCGCAACGATGCCAGTGGAGACATTCCCCTTGGTTCGTTCTGCTTCTATAGATAGACTACCAGTCTATTATCACGGTGGAGGAGCTACAACTATTCTGATCCATTCACCTGGCTCTGCTCTTGGCCTGCACGCATGGGTCAAATCCTCAAAAGTTCATCCCCAAGATGTGACCCCCAAACCGTGGTTAGAAAGTGGGACAGAAAACACTTTTTTTTCCCTCTGGAACATGCGTTTTGTTTTGGTACTTACTAACGTGTATATGCAGAACCGTCTGTCTGCCGAGGAAAACCCACCCATTTGAATGTTAAAAATCCGCGGCATTGACCTTTAAATCCTGTTTCATCACCAGATGCCGCGAGCTAAACAATACCAGCGCAATTTAAATGCGTCGACCGCGAAGTTCTAAAATAGAGAAGCAGACAGCGCTGACATCATATCCACACAGACCCAGAAATGAGACGGACGTGGAGCACAATGCTGGAGCGGGTCCAACATGCTGGTGGAACAAATGAATCAGACAACAATTATAGACCATCTGAAGTTACATGAATCCAACATTAACAGAACTCTATTCGCAGGGCTTCGACGCGGCTCGACCGTAAACTCTAAAACAAGCTTCCTCGCGGCCGCGTAGGTTGTTTCTATCACAACGGCCTTTGCCCTGCGTCTGCCTTACCTCATACTGTACACACAGGACTTTACAAAGCTACCCGGTGAGATAATGTATCACCCCAAGGCTGTGACCTGTAAACAGGGGGCCCTGCTTTGATTACAGGACGGGAAAAAAAAAAAAACACTCCTCCCGCAGTAGTGTGATTGTTGTGTCTCCGGACTGTACCTGTTGTTGACGCTGGTCTTGGACTCCCTGTACCACAGGCTGATCTCCATGCCTCCAGAGATGTCAATGGCTAACCCTCCTTGGAACTCGGCACTCGCCTTCAGACCGGACTGCAGCTGGATCACCTGGAGGACCGAAGGGGGATGGGATTCATGCCCTGCTCGTCCGTTGGGTCATTCTGAATGAAACGGCGGCGGAGTGCTGGCGAGTGACGGGACGCAAACCGCACCACAAAGTCTATGCTTTGGATTCCCCACCATTCACGTGTTCTCTATCTGCCAATATGATTTGGCAACATACGGTTACTTCTGTGTAGCAACTGAAGAGTTTAAAATTCTGTTTAAAAAAGTACAAACAATGCAGTCGTTTTTCTCAAGCAAGCTTGAAGAAAACCAAAAACAAATAAGTGTCTGTATTTAAACAGAAGTAAGATCTGTGGAAAGCATTTCATAGGTCAAAACAGGCCATCAAACACAGGCAATTCACCGAGACGGGTCCACTACCTACCGATCACTATCAGCTGCATGGATGACTCATTACTACTGAATGTCACCCTGCTTATAACCTAATTGCATGTTAACTAAACACTGAAATCGTTCAACTACTACTGCTACTATTATGTACTATTCTCAGCGTTTCCTCTAGGTTTACAACTTCAGGGGGGAGCTTAGTAGTCGGGCAACTACTTTTTTTTAAATGATACAAATTTCAACTTTTTTTTACTTTCTATTACACACTTTTTCAGGGGGGGTGGAGGGGGTTGCCCTCCTGTCATAATGGTAGGGGGAACACTGATTCTGTTGTCTGGTGTAAACGGGGCATCGATGCAGTAGAAAGATGCGGCTTCTTACCTCAGAGTGATCAGTGAGCAGGATGAGACCCTTCACCACATTCATGGGCTCCCCGGACATGGAGAACATTTTGGACATGAGGTCACTGTAACCCTTGAAGAAGGTGACGGGCCGCAGCTGGACGTCGAACAGCAGAGCCGACATCCCAGCGAACGACTCCAGGTCCTCCTCTCCCTCGTCGGGCGTGGCAGCAATCAGGGTCTCCAGGCCCTGGGCCTCAATTGCCACCTGGGAAAAATGTCCAAATCAAAACAAAAGAAAGGTGGGGGATTTGTGTATGAAACCGTGGGTCAAAATGGGTTTGACGAGCCAGCGTTAAATGCCCTGAAGAAGACCTACATGGGTTTCTTTTAGTAATTTTGTCATCATAATAACGGCAATGAAATAATTTGTTTTCTGTTGGTCTTTGATTTTAGAATGCCAGGATAGGCTTCTTATTTACACATTATTATTTAAACATTTTCAAATGAGATTTTTTTTCTTTTAAAATGTTGTATATTTCGGGAAGACGGGAATATTATATATATATAATATTTAAATATAATCTAATCTTTAAAAAATAAATATATATATATATACACATATACACACACACACACATATATATATATATATATATATATGTATATTATTTTTAAAAAAACGTGCAAGGCTATATTTACAATTCTTGACCCTGCAACAGAGCTCCTGCTGTTCATGCCCAGTGGGTTTTCTACATATTCATGTAATCATCTAGTTTTATAGGGGTTTCCTTACCTGTAGTCCATGTAGCATCGCTCCTTTGCTAGCACCGTAAATGTTCATGTTGCTTCTCCTCAGGATCCCAGAGCCTGAATACAGGATATCCAAACTATATGTGGAGGTCACATCAGCAGATTCTGAAGAAAGAGGATTTTAAAGCATACAGTCAGCAATACACATACCGGTTGTGATGTTTCCTCAAAACTACGAGTTTCAAGGAGACGTCAAGCGTATCAAGCGTAAATGTTTAACCACCTCTACTCCTCTAATCTTACTTGATTGACCTGTGTTTGTACTGCATTCCTTCACTGTTAGATTGTGTTAGCATCTTTTCATTCATTTCAAATTGAATATCTTAGAACACTGCATTTTGTACATTTTATTAATCATACAGATGGGGGTTAATTACTTACGTGCCATGAATCCTGAGAATGCAGATGATGATCCAACTTTTGCAAAACGGTCGTAGTTATGAGACACCATGTCCTTCATAGCTTGTTGCAAAACTTTGCTAAAAAAATAAAATAGATATATATTATACCACGAGTGCCTGCAATGTGCATCAATAAGATATTGTCTGTTAAACAAAATAATTGTTTTGGTCTGTGTTTTTTTGCTGTTGGACCATTGGATTGCCAATAACACACCTGGCTGGCATCTGGAAGCGGATGATGTCCTGGATCTTGGAGAGCATGTACTTGTTCATTTCATGAGGCAGGTTTCCGATAGACAGAAGCAGATTCTTGACCTCCATGTATGACGGGTTGCTGCTGAGGATGACGTCGGCAGCGGCAGCTCTCACGTTTTTCTCGTAGATCCGTTGATTCTGGTGGTAAACTCTGCCAACTGTGCGCTTCACCTGCGAACGAGAGGGAGCGCTTGGTTTCAGTCTCGGTTACATGCTGAGTAAATCCCCATGACACTCACAAAAAAACAAAAAAGAAAACAGGAGTGCTGCGTGCATCGCGTCTCACCTCATCGGTGATGAGGTTGACGTCGTATCTCTGCAGGGCAGTGAGCGCTATGGTGCTGTAGGCTCCCACCTCGGACTCTGCATATTTGGTAAAGATGGGGATGGCCTCGGGCAGCAGAGAGTTCTTCAGGGCCAGAAGATACATCTGGATCTCAGACTCCGCCTGCGCGCTGCCGGCACCGTCTAAAATCGTCTTCTTCACCTGCACCACTGTCTGAGAGGCACATGCACCGCAGGACATCATCAGGCAGTTGTGGGATTCTTTCGAATTTTGGTTTATGTTCGGGACGATTACGCAAAAAAAAATGTTTATTTGTGTCTCTGTGAAAATACAGTTTGCCAGTTTTTACGTTATCATTCAGTATATTGTCGGAAGCTCACCGGTAAGTTGCACCCTCCTTTCTCACAGAGTCGATGGACCAGTGCTCCCATAATGATCACCACTGACTCTTTAATGTCTGAGCTGCCGATCTTCCCCTTTGAAATATCCTAAAAGGAAAACAATTCTGTTAAACTTCACAAAAGTATAATATGACTTGGTTTTGAAAATTCCTTGTCAGGACTACATTTTAAAAGACTTAAAATAGTCTATTTTTCATTTTGATATGTTCCCTTCCCTGATATGTACCAGATGACAGCCGGTCTCATTCTGTCCTCATACGAGCAACAAGAAACGGTGTCAATTCTGTTAGTAAAAACATGACTCTCACCAACAGAACCTTGAGCATCCTCTCGTTGGGATGTGACGCGAAGCCACATGCGTAGAGAAACCTCTCCTGCAGAACAAAACCTTTGGCATCGGTGAAATTAAGGAATTCCAGCATTGCGTCCAACGAAGCAACGGTCTGGGAGGAGGTCACAGCATCCACCACCTGAGGCCTGAGCAGGAGGAAAGGAAACACAACGATGATCGGTGGACAAAGTTAAGAGTAATTCAAAGAAACGGCCCATCGATGCGGTCAGCCAGCTAACTAGGAGGTAGGGGGAAGGAGGAGCCTGTTTACAGAGATGTCTTGCTGGCACTCTTCAGCACTTTGAGGATCTCGTCCTTGGACGCCTTCCTGATGCTCTGGATGAAGGCGAGGAAGCTGCGAGGAGCCGTGGCTTTGGACAGGCTCGCTGGCTCCAGCTGCTTCTGTTGAGTTTGCCAATGTTCAAAAAGCTAAAAGGAGAGGGGAGTAGAAGAGAGGTCACCGTCAGTCAGTTAGGCGGGTCATTGTTCCCGTCATACAAGTTTCACAACAGACACAACAACGACACTGCAAACAGGACAATGGCTAGGAATAATTAACATCCTAATCATCCTAGTTTAGTATGTTAGAATGCTAAAATATTTGCTAATCCGTAATGTAAAGCTGATGGAAAACGCCGTGGGGTTTTGCAGTATTTCGTATTTAGTAATAGACCAAAAGAATTCGGACATACTGGCCCACATTGCCATCCGCCGGGCCGTATTTGTGTAGTAAGTAAAAGTAAAGTTTTGCACTCACTGATGGACAGCCCTTGCACTGGGATTTGACCTTTTCCGCAATGATACCAACGGCTGCCAGTTTGCCATCGATTGACTTCACCACCCCGGCCACATCTTTCCCAGCAGCCTCTAGTGGTCCAGCCTCTGTCCCCACCAACGCGAGGGTTTGCCTGGGAAGCAACCAATTCGAACGTTTTAAACCTCCTGTATTTGAAATGGCAGCTCCTCGCTTAATTCTCTGTTGCGGGGGCTCACCTGGACAGGACTTTAGCCGCGGCAGACCGGCGGGCGTTGACGGCCAGCGAGTGCGTTTCTTCAGCCACAGCCGAGCGGATGAAACCGTCTTCAAGTGTGAAAGTCGTAACTGAGCTGGACTTTCTACTCACGCCGAAGACCTGAGGAGGGACACGCCGAGGGGGGGGGTCGTTCATCAGCGACTCAACGCCGTTTGTATTTTTAACACGGCGATCAGGCCCGGGGGTGCAGACGTACCTGACTGTGAGTGGTGAATCCCGTCTCCTCCGTCTGACACGTATCCAGGATTTTTGTTCTCGTCACTTGGCCTTTTACTGCCACGTACTCAACCGTGCACCTTCCAGACACGTCGTTCTATTCCCGGACATTGAGTTTGTTCATATCAGTCACATATATTGAAATAAGAAGCACGTGAATCAATGGAATGGGAGCATTATCGCGCAGTTTACCTCGATGACCTTCCCAGTGTTGAGCTGCACTTGCAGTAAGCTGGCAAGCCCTCTTTTTAGGTTCTTGATGGTTGATGGTTCGGTCCAGTAGGAATAAAATGCTTTTGCCTGTAAAAGAAAGAAACACATTGAACCAAATTGTGTGGTTTGGAACAATGCACACAAAATGTATTCTGTCAAGCAAATAAAGAGGAAAGTGACCTACAGCGCCATACGTGCTGCCCTTCACAGCGGCTTACAGGGTGTCAGTTTTCCTTTTCACACTTGTGCATAGAAACGCATGCTCATGACATCAGCGACTATTTGCATTACATGCCGAAATAACATGTTCTTTGAAGTGCAGATCAAAAACAATACGTTGGTGTTAGCAGTTTAAACTTTTAAAAAGGAGTCTATCTCAACCTCTAATTATATTCTGCATGCACGTCGTCAGACGACATTGAGAATTCTGAAGGATTAGGAAATCTTTGGCTATGTTGCTGATGTCCTTTTAAAATAAGGGAACCAAAGCGAAGATAAAAAAGGGAAATGTTAATCTTGGGAAACATCATTTCACAACACACAAGTTAAGCTTTCCAAAGACGGTTCAGTGGAGAAAGCGGCCCATTACGTCATCATCCTACAGTGTCTCCTACACCATTTGGGATTCATTTGTGGTGCTGCATTACGACATCAGCCAGTGAACACCGTAAATAGATTGTCCACTGCTACTCGGTGTGTCTTTCCTGTCACACTCCGCCGTGAGCGTCAACGAAATTAACAATACCACGGTACACACAGATTCTCAGTCGTCACACCACACTGGACCAGCTTTAATCCTGATGGTTAAAACAGCTGAAGACGGTCACAGAACTGTGAGTGTGCAGTTTATAGAATAAGATACAAAACATACAGAATGCTGACGTATCTTTTCTATATTTACTCTGCTTCACACTAAAAGTGGTATTACTTAATAAATGGCTCATAAACTGGAACCAATTGTTTTATTCACGGCGAGAGCATTTTACTAATGACCATTAGATCAGTTAAAATCCATTAATAAATAATTAATGTTCTTCTCTATTTGGTAATATATAATAGCATTATAATAAATGTCCACCTTAAAAGCTTGTTAATACACTGATATTGAGGGAATTCTCTGCAGAACTTCCCATTTTAACATTCCAATTAGTCATAGGGATTAATTATCAATGATCAACAAAAAATAAAAAGGAATTTAGCATTAATAAAGTCCTTACAGTTTATAAAACCTGAATTCGTATTGAAGGTTTACTGTAAGGCCCAAAATCTGCTGTCATTATTAGTAGTAGTCACACTACTATTGCTGACACCATTATTTCCTTTGTTATCACTGACAGTGTACTACATCCACTACAGCTGGTATAACGAGTAGTCATTTTAAATAATTGTGCGCCTTACTAGTGTCAATATTTGAATCATTTCTGTCGTATGCATTGAATGTGTTCAGCACACATGGCATCCATTGCACTTTTTCTTGTGAGGGTTTCGGGACGCAGGATGTCGCATGTGGACAGATTACAAAGCCCCATGAGGAACATTTGTGACCATCTAAAACTACTGAGTTGAATGATCTTAATAAATCCGACGAATGGACCGTTATCCTCCCTTTGTTTAGGTGTTAGGTGTGTAGGTGTTCTACAGCGTGGAGTATTTGACCAAACAAGTGGCATGTGATTTTCCTCCTGCAGCTTTAAATGACATATCAACCATTCAACGTGGCACAATTCCTTGTGTAGCAATTATCCTTCGTAGGATACGGCTCATTGAGATAATGACTTGATAAGAGTTTGGCTTGAGCTCAAGCATCTCGCAGCCAGTGAGATGACAGCATGAAACGTATCCTCCAACGGGAGACTAGTCAGATGAGGCTGGCTCATTACTCCTTTGACCCTCGGAACCTGCAGACCTTTGCACACAAGGACACGCAAACATGCACACCCACACACACACCTGCTTGTCGTTTCCCCTGCCAGCATCATCACTGCAGCGCAATGAAAGTGGAGTGCGTAATGATTCATGTATAAGATCATAAACCTGCCCTAAACAACTATTTATATAATATCCATAAATTACTCTCACTTAAATGATAAAAACTTTTCAACTTTGACATAAATATTCACTCTTTATACTAAAAGATGTTTAATTGCAGCAATATGCAGAAAAAAGATTAAAGCCGGGTAAATTACAATTACATCTGCAATGTGAACTGTTAAAACTAAATCCTTGACAAAGCAGCAATTAGAGGCTCTCTTACCTTTCCATTTCTTAGATGTAGTAAGAACGGTTTAGTGAGAGCGGCCAGGTTGGTCTTCCCTAGAACGCTTTCTGCAGTGGATCCATGGAGGACATTCTTCTTCTCTGATCGCCGGGACGCAGGACCGATCCTCACGTTTGAGATCTAAGAACCATCTAAGAAAGATTAATTCATCTCAACCAAAGCAGCTTCTCCGGATTTTTCCGGAGCTGGTGAAGGTCTGCCTTCACCAGTTAATTCAAAAAGTCTGTCTGTCGGGAGAAATAAATGGACGGTTCGTACTCTCAAAACGACATTGCGTCTCACGCCTTAACATATGACTTGACGGACATACCGCCAATTGAATCAGCTGGTCGTCTTTGCTGCCGGGGTCTCTCCACACCAGGTTGACGTCCACATCGCTCGAGATCTTGTAGCCAGTGCCGCCCTCTTTCGACCCCCTGGTCCTGTCCAGCAGCACATCAGTGGTGTAGCTGAATTTGTACAGCTGGTTGTTGTTCAGCCGGGGTCCGGCAGCCCCTGGAGGAAAACAACAGGAAACACAGCTGGTGAGCAAACATCTGTGAAGAAAGTGGGGTTGATCTTCTATACGAACACGGTCGTATTGGAGGGGAGTGAAGATCGGTCTTGTAGACTAAAAAGGTCTTTCTACATGAAATTTTCTTAACATTGTCAACGGTGTGTCTGTCCATTGGTTTGATTTGATGTATGTACCTTATGGACATCAGTTGAAACCTGAAATAGAAATCTAATACCAACTACATGTGGTCAGTTTGCTTGTTGCTGTAGCGGTTTCCAAAACTCTTTTGGGAAAAACAGACAATAAGTACACATTGGATATTGGGTGAAGCGCAGTGTTATTTTTGTAGTTTCTTACAATTCCAAAAATTGCTGTTTAGTAGACAATGTTCAAATGTATCAGGTTGAAAGAGGAGACTTTTTAAACAAGCCCTACTTTGGACGCTCTTAATGAAAATGTAACTTTGACAACAATGTTCGCTCTGATGAATGGACTCAAAAAACTATTTTGTTACATTTAATAATAAAAGTTTCTAAAACTCTGTTGAAAGGGCTGTTCTAGCTGAATTATCAAATGTGATTGTGATTGTTGATTTCATTAAGGTCACTTCCATAACAAAAACAGCTCTGTTTCTTTCATTTTTTTTGTGTTTCTTTTACAGAAACATCTGCTGATAGCGTTGGGATGATTCCATCAGGCGCCATTAACAAGGTGCGTTCAAGCCGAGAGCAGATAAAAATCGCTGACGGGCTTTTCCAATAGATACAACGATTAGGCCACGAGGGGAGGCAGACTGACGTGTCAGTATTTCATTCCATCACTAGTCAGTCAGGAGCGCGGAGCTATAGTTCAACAAATAACACACATGTTCTGTCTTTCATCAACAGCTGACGGAGATTCTTGGACTTCAGAAGCGTAACAAACAGAAATGAGGTGTTTTGTTGTGTTTTATCTTTCTTATCAATCAGTCATGTCCCAAAGCAGCACAGTGTGAATGAAGACAGTCCTGAATAGGAGATTGACATTGTGGCCTCTGTAAGATCTTCTTTGAGGATTGATTCATTTTGGAGATAGATCAGAGGTAGAATAAAATGAAGCTTGTCACTTTGTATCATCAATGACTTTCACCAAAAGCACAATTGTGTCATTTTGAGCTTAAAATAAACCCTTTTGGAGTCACGTCCACTAACTGAGCATTAAGAAGAAATATCCTGTCCCCAAATTCACGCATTCAACCTGTATTAAATAATCGATTAACAGCTACTTTCGCCCCCCAAAAAACACACTACTTCCCACTGAAACCCCCCCTTAAAACTCACCTTTGACAGAAGCTGAGACAGAAGAAGCTGCACAAAGCAAGAACACAACGTGAGTTAACATTGTGTGTCCTCTCGCTGTGGCCGAAGGAAAACGAACCGGGAGTCAGTGTCCAACTAAAGGGCCAAAGAGGAAGGCGAAGCAAGTCCGAGCGTCTCCTATCATGTTTTATCGGAAGGGAGGGCAGACTCCAAACTCCACGCTCAAGTACTAAGTACGAGATAACCAGCAAATCATTAACCGGGGGAGCACAGATTTGGACAGGAACTTCTGCAATTGATAGACGCGGCCATGGGGCTGCTGCTGCGCATGCGCGCGCCGCCGCGTGATTGATTGATTCAATCAATACAAACGGGATTATCGGATTTTTTTTCTTTTTTTTTTCTCCTGTTGGTTAAGTTTCCGCCGCAAGCTCTGCTCCCCCCCAAAAAACAAACCATACAGTTATTACTTATTTCTAATAAATGTCGATTTTAACAAAAAAATATCCGCTTCCGCACATAAAGAGCATAAAGAGACCTGGAGAGGTCCGAGAGACGTCCTTGTGTTGGACACCTTTCACCTATTTCGTTTCTCCACAAGATGAACAGTTGGTACTTTGTGTGTGTGTCTTCGTCGGTGGAGGAAATGGGCAGTCTGTAAGTGAAACCAGCCCTCCAGCTCAAATTACAACTTCTCAGTGGACCCAAAACTCTGGGGTAAGCTTTTAAGTAGGGGAAGGATCCTGTTGATTTGTCCAATTTGAGACTTGATTACTCCATAAAAAGTGTTACAGGTCATTTGGGTTCTAGCCTCTATCTTGAGGGCAATTTCCCACAATGTGTTTATTTGAGATTCCATCAGCATTAACAGGTTATCCTTAAGTTCTCGCTATCATATAATATCATACTATACATTGCTTTATTATTATATTGTCATGGAATTCAAAGAGCTGTGCTTCACTTCATTTGAGGGTTTAAGTTCCTCTTTGTCTTCATTCACGTTCATATATTCACATAATCATCCCGCATTAATCATCTTACTTACATAAAAAGAGAGGAATGGTTCTACTGCTCTGTACCATCGTAATGAGATGTTTAGTTCTTCATCTCAAGTTTTCAGGTTCGTACTCGACCACTCAAGTAAATGCACTTGAATTCCATTGTTGAACTCTTGTTGAAAATAAAGATAATTGTGTTGACAGTGGATGCATTATTCTTTTAGTTTTTGGCTTGCAATCCACATCCTTCAATACCCTTATTGTAAAATGTCTTGCTTACAAAAGTCAGCTTTATAACTGTAATGTAATGCAAAAATACTTCTTCATTAGAAACACAAAGAATGCTTCTGTCGATCAAATATCCAGATCATAAGAAGATCAGATTGAGGGAATTTAGTTGACCGTTAATCCACGTGTGAATGTGTCCGGGATTGATTACTTCAGGCCTTGTTCCCTACTGAGCGTAGAAAAGGGCCGGAAGTAACACTCAGGCATCTGGTCAAAGGTCAGATCATAGCTTTGCAATAAATGTTCTGATAACACCGCAAACTAATAAGTGCATCAAAGCGGAGTATCTAAACTATAAATGATCATGGTTGTGTTGAAAGAAAAGTGTGTGTGTAATCTATGTTGCTCTTTGTGTGAATCTTTGAGGTTTATTTTAAGCGAAAAACAGAAAGATGAACAGCAACATGACGCCACGTCGAAGACGATGCCGCACTCTGAACAAAACAATAGCTGTTGCGTGCATTTACCATGTTGGTCATTTATAGATTAGATTGCTACTAGTTTTATTCGAGTTTGACCATCTCCTCTTATAGTAGGATAATTCTAATATAATTAGAATGAAGTGGCAGTGCCTTAATTTTTTTTCAAAGTGATTTCAAAGCAGGTCTCCATTTCTACTTAAAATTTGTATCGAAATAAGTATTTTGTATGTTTTAAAGATTTGTGTTTGTTTCTCGTAAAGTCCAACAAGAGTATAAGCTGTACTAATCTTTTGGTATGTTTAAAACGGTGCTTGTAACAGTGGCCAAACTCAATAAACCTCAATTCATGCAGGATCTGTTTGTTTAGGCTAAACACAGACACAAATGTACAAAGACCCACATTTATTTAGATATATATTTACAACCAGCTATTTACAAGAATCAGAAGTACACATGAAACAAAAGATATAATCAGGGGAATGTAGAAATCTCAAATATGGCACTGAGTGGTAGGAAAAGGTGTAGTCAGTCAACAACAATCATATGAAGCTTTTAGTGGAAAACAGGATATTAAATCCCATTGCAGCTATATTACATTTAGATTTTAAAATGCAGGAAGGCATTCTTTCATATATTTTGTGTAAGGATGTCCAGTTAAAATCCTTAAGGCTGCAGAAGCAAAAGCTCTGTGTAACATACTGCAGGCTTATAGCGCCTTTACATAAAGATGTCTGCTTTTACTTTTCATGCTGTGCAGTTCTATTAAAGCTCGACATGACGTGATGTCTAGAAAGAAAAACATGTAGTTGCATCTCAGTTTGCATTTAAAATAATGCTGATGAAAGAGCTTCTGTCACACTATTACTACGTTCAGTTCCACCGAGCAGCATCCCATTCACGCCGAGCATTGTAAATAGCTTGCATCCTAGTTTTCCAGTGAAAACTTACAGATCAAAAACTCAAAACACAACAAGCAAAAAGGTATCTAATCAATTAGGCGGATTGCAATAAAGAAATACATCAGCAACAATAAAAACAGAGAGGAGTGTGACTGAACACTGACAGCAACCTAATGTGCAAGGAACACTCATAATGTGCTGTAAAAACATTTTTTTAGTCAAACTGCTTCTGGGAAAAATGGAGCACCATGAGTAACAGATACAGTTTGCAAGTGTTTAAGGAAAAGTGCCCCCTCCAGTGGCTGCTGCTGAAAAGAAACAGCCCTTGACAGAAATCTCTTATATGAAGATTAAAGTGCTTAAGGCTGAGATCTAGTTGGGAGTTTCATTTTCTTTATGTTGCCGCCTAAATTTCTCAGCAAACTGCAACTTAGCAAAGCTATCAATCACATCCCTTCACGATGCTTCATATCCACCTCGGCTCCACAAAACGCTGCTTACAAACTGTATCTGTAGAATACAAGCATAATGTCACACAAGTTATTTCTCTGTTGCTTAAAGAAGAGTCCAATACACATTCAACAGTGTTAAGTGCTAACCGGCCGATTCACCCTCAACTATAGTGACTATTTACAGATATTTTTAAAATACTTAACATTAATGAAATACATTTAGGAAAGCCGATGTCCTACCAGTAGACAATAGGCATGCAGTGCATTTCCAGACCCACTTCTATCTTTGTACACAACCCTTACAGGCAGTGCTATGGACTGCAGCTGAGCGCCTTCGCTGAATGAACCCTAGACTGATGAAAACATTCAATCTAACAGTTCATCTTGGTTTTTCCCCCCTGCGCTCTTCATTTGCAGGCCTTCCAACTAAATCGTTCTCACCTGGGACTTGTCTTTTGAGCCGATTCAGCCTCACATCTGCTTATATTGTAAAACATTTGACATTGCATTTGCTTAATTTGTACTGTATGAGAGCTACAATGCAATTTAGAAGGTTGTGCTTCATTCAGAAATAGGCTAACAGATAACTCTAAAAATAACTCTACATGTACTATTTACATGTCAACGAGACTCTTTGCTCTGGACACGTTAGCTGATTCAATTATTTCCTTTACTGCTGGCGTCCAAACTGCAGAGTCCTGTGAAAACAAGAACAATATTTCAGTGCAAAGAGACATGGGAAAATCAATCGAATCAATCAATATGAATGGAAATATTTTTTAACAGTAATGATGCATCCAATAGTGCTTACCCGGTACATCCTTCTTGCCTTTTGGAGATTCTGTGGAGGTCTTAGGTAAACAAACTGCACAAAATCAAGAGGAACATTTAAGTACAGTGAGAATGAACATATATACAGTTACCTTTTTAGTTAATAAGCGCCGGATGCTGATGATGTCATTAGTTTGCAGGAACCACAAATGTTAACCTCATGGTGGTGCTATAGGTAAAGCCAGAGGATAACCGAAGTGAAACCATAAATGTCTACACAAAATGTTGTGCTAATCCATCAGGTAGATGTCACAATTTCTCTCAGGATGAATGAAAACTCCCCATTATGATGGTTATTCATGGGGGCAAACATGTATATTGGTATCTTCTGTATTATCAAATAGTATTAAGTTATTATTTCAATGTCAATTTAAAATTGTGTGTGAATGGACACGAAGCTGCCACCTACCAACTCTCTCTCACGGCGTCAATGTCGCTCACGAGATTCTGCGCTAAACAGATGCCAAAAATCTAAAACGTAAAAAAAACGATTTTGTTTTCATCGGGTACGTTTAACGTCAACAGAGATGCGATAATGTCGTAAACCGTCCACATTGTGTCTCACCTGTAGTAGAGCAATCCCAATAAAGATGCCCGCCACCACTGTCAAGTTGTCTTGAAGCCACTTCTCAAACTGAGGAACGCATCCTTTGATATAGATGAAGGTCCTCTGCTCAGAGTCCTGACACAAGATATAAACCAGGGTTTGAGTGCATGTGAAGGGTTTGGCTTTGACTTTGTTTATCCTTCTAAGAGTTTGAAATCTTGCGAGGAAGCCAAGAAAATTAATAATAAAACCCTTCCAAACTAACGTTGCCCGGTTGTTAACACACACTCAGTCTTTCCAGTCAATAAAACAGACACAGATGATGCTGCTGTGGAGTAAAGCCAGAGCTAATGATGGGAGAGGTTCATTTAATTCCCAGGGCATTGTTGGAGCATGAGTAACATCACAGGGATCCAAAGCGCTGATGGAGACAGCTGCTACATTGTGCAAACTGTGCAGTTGGGAAACCTACTGAAAGAGTAATATCATACCCAGGGTGGAGTACCTGACCTATGACCTCAAACTGCGTGTTGCCGCACAAGCACTGGCTTTTTTGTAAGTGAAGACACTCACCGTCTTTGCTCGAATGTCGTAGCCACACTGAGTGTTGATGACGTCCTCCTGCGAAGAGAAGATGGTTCGTGCTTAAACATTCTGAAGTTTAAAATGAGGAGGGATAAGACGCTGCTTGCTTTCAAGCCGTACTTCATTTTCCTATTTGTTACGGGCGAGATGAACACGCTGTACTAGTGTGTTATCAGGAAGAGACCTGAGTGCAATCCAGCAATTTTACCTTTTTAACAAATATTGTGTGTGGCCAAAGGAAGATGTGTGTTAATATTCTGTCTCACAGAGCTGTTTCTACTATTGTGCACATGCACTCATCATTCCTGATTAAGTAAGCTAAGAACGACATAACGCAACTTTCTCAGAAAGAGAAACACTAACTCCTCCCAGTCGCTTTCAGGCTCTGCTGTGCTGGCAGGGCACGAGGGGACTAAACACCGAGGCCTTGACGTCCTGTTGGAAGCAAGCCATGATAGCTGACAGCACCGGCCGGCCTTCTGCAGGACGCAGATAACCGAGTTGTGAGTCACAGGGAGGACCTCGTAAATGTGCGCCCAAACTATAAAAAGTTCAACATGTTAGTTTGTAACTCTTGACCAAAAGAAAAAGAAAAGAATCAACTGTGGATTAGAAAGGCTGAAGCATGTTGGGTTTATGTGTGAGTGGGGGGGGGGGGGGGGGACAAACCGCGGGATCTTTGGGGCCGCAGGGAAAGGGCACGCCGCATTTCTCCCCGCTCGGGTTTGAATCGGTGCAGTTGAAGTAAATGTTCAAGGTTCAGTCGTCGGCTCCCAAAGCTCCCCAACACTTCCACTATGAGGTTACACAGACACAGAGAAAACCTCACAAACAGGTCGACTACGTTCTACCGTGGATGAAGAAGCACAGCACTCACGTATTCCTGGGTGAAGTCTATCAGGTTCTGGAGATCAATGTCGTCTCTATAGGCCCGGATGTTGTTGTTGATGAAGAAGTTTAGCTGGTCCTTGATCCAGTCTTTGAAGACAAAGGCCAGGATCCCTGCAGTCAGCTCCAGGAAGAAGATGATTCCCAGGAAGACGGAGAACTGAAATATATTGGACCAATATTATCATAAGCGAAAATGAGGGGGGGGGGGGGTGTCACAAGTTGTTTGACGAGCGAACGTACAAATTTGAGCAAGAAAGAGTTTTCTCGCAGTGCTCCGATGCAGCCAGCGAATCCGAGGATGAACATCACGCCGCCCACCACCAGGAAGAGCCAGACTGGGTCGAAGCCGCCCAGGTCCGTGATGGAGGAGATGTTGGAGAGAACACCCTGGAGGAACAGAGTGAGGGGTTAGACGCCATTGGACTAGAAGTCATGGAGGCCACCATGGGCTTAGTTGTAGTCTCCACAGTCCAAAAAACAACTTGTTGTTTTTACACTTCAGTTTGTGTACGGATAGTTGGGAGCTTCATAGGCGCCTCTGGGTTGTTTCCTTTGGACACAGCCAGACTATTACAACAGTTTCCAGGACTCGGGTTTAACTGAGTTAACCAACTGCTGGTTCCATCTTTATACGTAAAACAGACATGAGAGAAGTATAGATCTCGTCATTTAAGAACATTGGCCTCTCTTCATATAATGGAAAACCTAATTAACCTAATTAAATCATTTAAGTTATTAAATATAGAATATTCTCTGGTTGGAGTCATAAGTGAAGGACAACATACTAATCTAAGAAATGATTTGGAACTTTAAAACGCTCTTGAGTCAAGAAAACTCACTAGACTGCCTGTCCCCCTTTCAGACCCTCAGTGAATGAATGTGTTGTGCATCAGATCTTCCAGAGGAGCACGACATTCCTTTCTGACTCACTAAGAGCCAATGCTCTGGGTTGTTTTTCTTCTCCCAAATTTGATTGATCTGCTTAGTCTATGGATTATTTACAGATGCCCATTGGTGAAAGAAACACAAACCACACATGTATTCATTTTATTGATCGATTAAGCCGTGAAAGTCACCTTCTCGCTCCATGCCCACAACCCGACGCCAAGGAACGCCACTCCGAGGAACTGAGAGACGGACGGAAGAAAGAGAGGAGACAAGGGGGCCGGTTTATTTTTGCCGGGACTGCAACACGTAGTCGTCAGATGGAGGAGGAACCACAGGGAGAGATTTTTCCTGGCTGGGATCCAGTAACTTATCATTTCTGGTGCCAGTCGGCTCTGCAGTGTCATTAAGACTCCCACGTTCGAAAGCATCTGCTAACAGCCTGAAAGCTTCCTAAAGTTTCTGGCTGTAAAAGTTAGAAAACTAAATTTCAGGATAAAAAAAGTTAGGAATAAAAGCATCGACGGCATTGTACAAAGTTGGTATCATAACTGCAATTAAAATGTAAAATCTAAATGTATTAGTAATTCTGGTAAAATATTAAATCTCATTTACACAAATGGTTGTTTGTTTTCATTAAATTTATATTTTTTTATCTTATGTTCTGGCTATTATTGTTATTGATAAAAAACAGAAAATAGAAAATAGAATGTAGAAACATATTCACATGAAACAGCAGAAACAACTTTAAGTGCTCATGACAATCATCCGATCTGGTTAGAAACTGCAGAATTACACCTTGGGTTAAATATTCTCAGGCATGTACAATTTGGGGATCTAAAATGAGTCATAATGGGACTCTTATTCATCCATGATGTGTTATTTCTCTCCATATAAAAGATATAAAGCACTTTGCAAATTAGCTTGTTATGGATTTTTTGTGTGAAATATAGTGTTTTTTTGGCCTTAAGGCTGCTGATTATTATCATTGGCTTTAGCATCATTTGTGGGGATGATGGGATTCTAAAATAATTTCAGGAAAGGTGCTAAATGTCCTTAACGGTTCGGTATGTGCACGGTGAAAAGATCCCAGAGGTCACTGCAGCCTGAAACCCTCTGCAGAGCTCCAACAGGCTCCGTCCTCTCCATCACTCTATTCTTCTCTCAAGTAGCGCATACATAATTAACACTTTAATTAACACGGCATTTATATTTTTCAATGATGTATCGGTGTTTTTATTTTAGCATTATTTACATAATTTACATGTTATCTTGCATGGCCCTTTATTTATGTTTCTTTGATCACACTTCTCTATAAGAGCAACTGCAACAACACATCAATAAAGTATCCTAATCTGATTTGGATCAATAATGTCTGACATTACATTAAATGCTATCTATTATCCCGGTAACAAGAAGGCATATACCTTAAGGCACTTATTGCTGCACCCAGACAGGTTCTGTTACCTGGAGGCCCAAAGTTTAATTGTGGGTCACTCTTGGCTCTAAATGCATTTCTCCTTCTGATTCCAGATGATGCAAACAAAAGAAGTGGCCTCAGAGGAGTCAGGCCAAGGGGGAAGAAGAAGAAGAAGAAGAAGCAGAAGAAGAAGCCCTCACACGGATGCTCTGTGCACACAAAACAACAAAGGCTGAGCAGCAGCGCGCTTATAGGCGCGGATAAAAAAAACGAGCCAATTCTCCCCACAAACAACAACAACAACAACGACAACGGGGAGAACAGAAACGGGCCAGCTGCAGCTGTTTTTGTTTTTTTCGCGGGACAAGATGTACTGTCAGTGTGTTTTAAGCCGAGGGATGAACCGGGCCTGACGGTCCGCACACAACAAAAACAACGGGACTCACCCAGAATATGATGTTGAATCCGAAGATGAAATACTTGATGCAGCAGCTCACTTCGTGAGCCTTGAAATGCTTCCCGGACATCATTTGGAGAAATTAAGTGTGTATTAAACGCCGCCAAACTGTGCTAATCACATCTATCGCCTTGTGTTTGACAGCCTGGCCTGTAGAGACACCTTTTATTTCTATTTATTTTTTTAAAGGGAAAATTTTGTTTTAGCGTCTGACGGCGAACATCCTTCCTGTTTCTCCGCTGACGGAAGACGCAGCAGAAGCAGCAGAGATGTCACTTTAATCCCGATATGGAGCTCGAGCGGTACGACTGAAAAATAAATCCACTGAAGTCAACCATGTTAAAGCCAATGGTCTTCTAGCTGACCCATAAATGTAGACATGGCTGTTGTTTGTTAGACGCCTGTGGGAGCCAATGAGGTGGTCATGGGAGGCGGGACTTCCGGCGGAGGAGGGCGCCGCTTGCTTGCAGGACAATGAAATACAGTGTGCTGTGATATTAATCCATTCAGAGTAGAATTTATTAATCTGTTCATACATCAATTTAATCATTTGCCTCATAACATACAATGATTTTTTTGCCAATTTGATATATTTAGGCCACTTTTTCAGTCGTATTTGTCTGCCAATCAAGACCGAAAGAGGGACATTTAAAAACATCTGGAGGAAAATACATGTACACACAAAATGCATAGAATTGTCTGTTCGGTAATACAATTTCATAATGGTGTAGTTAGTAAATTGATATTGAACTCTTGATATACATATAAGTATACCTAAGGAGTTGAAATTGTGAGGGATCATGTTTTTAAAGTGATATTTTTTTGCCTTCTGACATGAATTCTAAAATACACGTAAACCCTTTTATGCTTTGCAACTAGTGTATTGCTAAAAATATTCATCCCCTCGATATTCAGATGGAATATTTACACATACGCGAATAAATAGCTTTGATTGTTCTTTTTTTAAAAGGTTGAGCTTTTTGTTATTGGGTCCCTCTCTTCAGAACTAGAACTGCCTGACAAATCATCAAATGTGTGTAGTCATTAAAATGATATTTCAGGCTTGAGCGGTTTCCAAACCTGCAGTTTGTGGCTCTCTGGTGGAAAATAGGTTATGAATTCCTTTTGGAAGGTGTGTGTTGATTTGTTTAAGAATACATGTATGTCTACTGTGTATCCAGACATACAATATGTTAATAATCTGTATATTTGAATGTACAGTCAATCCATTGATTAGGTTGCTGATGCTCTAGTTGTTTGCCTATTCTAGTTGTCTTAGTAATAAGTAATGGTTGTTCAGGAGTTATCGACCGTAACTAATGAAATAAAGTAGATGTGGAGCAACGTTGCCCCCTGGTGGCAGAAGGTCTCACCTGGGTCATCTCGAGTTATCCAAAGAACAGCTCGATTCATGTCAGAGACATAAAGCTACAAAGGGTATGATTGGATTCTAGCCACATTTTTGATTCATGTGTAAAGGCAACATATGTATGTAAAATGTCAAATAAAAACCAGCATTCATTTTGAGTATTAGTTTATCGCATACAATAAAATGCACTGATAACATATAGTCTATTACAAATATTTGTCTACAAAACAGGATAAATTATGAAAATAAATATTTCTGTGCAATTTGTCTTGTCAATGAACGCGGAAATAAACTGAGAATCTATACACTGGTTATTTCATAAAAATGGCAACTCATTGTTATGCGATCATAATCATACCTCATGCGAAGCGGCGGGCAGCATTTTGCAGGCTGTGCTGTTCACATAACCTCTTTTATCCGAGCGGGATTTACACAAACGATCCACCATCGTGGGTCGGATGTATGATTCAATACCTTTTACAGCACAGTGAAAGTGTGACAGTGTCCCTGGGCACGACAACATTGTCAATATTATCCACAAAATTAAACACAATTAAAAAAAATAAAACTTGCCAGTTTGGCAATACAAAGGTCGTAATTATGCATAAGAAAAATCATTCACCCTCAAAATTTGGCTACACATCACTTTGAAAATATATATATATATACACACACACCATATATTTTTTGGGGATTTAACAAAATAGTAACATAACTTTTCACGAGTTTCTAGACTAAGTCATGATTATTTACTTGACCCTTCATGTATGCACTAGATATTTTAGTAGATTGAGTCTCCAGAAGCCTCTGCAGGAGGACAGGAGTAAAACAATACCAGTTAACGCAGCTTGAGGCAGTTTGCAAGTACATTTAAAACAATGGTTTGTGGTGAAAAGCTTTGGTGAAACTTGTTTTTTTAGGGTTAGCGTTTAGCTGCACAACACCTAATATTCTTCCCTTTTATATTCTACACACAATTTCTATTCATTTTTATAAAAATAAAAAATCAAACCACGGAAGACGTGGTGAAAAAAAAAAGTTCTCCTGCTACGACCGAGGCCTAATTTCCTTTTGTTATCCAACACATTCATCACACTGCATATCCCCGGAGGACAAACAGCTTCAGATACATTACACAACAACACCGTGTACCTTTGTTTGCTTCTGTAGTTCGTTATCCGGTTTGATTAAGGCCTTTTGCACAGTTTTCAGAGTTCTGATTATTTTTAGCACAACATCTAAAATACGGATCCTGAAATACATAACACTGAGTTGAAATGTTTGGATGTAAAAAGAAATAAGTTGGGAAAACTTTACCGTTAAAAGCTCTAGGGTGGAAGCAAAGTTTTAAGTACATAATCATCATTGCGGTACGCATTGAGAACCATTCTTAATTTTGTGCAAAATATGTCATCATTTCCTTGAAAAGTCCATTTTTTTCCAATACATTTTTAACATTCAGTTCTGTTTATTTCTACTTTGGGTTTTGGCCAATATTAAAAAGGTACCTATTAATTCAATAATATACAAACTATATGATTCTCCAATGAAAATAGCGGCATATATATATATATATATATATATATATATATATATATATATATATATATATATACACTCAGAGTACATTAAACACATTTCTTATATACTATCTTGAAAAAGCACATTGGCATGCTGGCAGCAAAACATAGCACACCCATTTCAGAAAGAAGCTCGCGATTCCGGCGTTTTAAGCAAAAATGACTTTCCACAAAGGGGGCGGGTCTAACAGCCTGAATCCAACATGTATCCAGAACACATAAGGCTTCATGTGTAACACTTCGGTAACATTGTGTAAACCGACTTGTTGATTCATTGAGTATAGAATGATGAGCTAAGCAGGGTAACATGAAGCTGTAATGCATTATGCATTAATCACAGTTAATGGATCCAGTGACTTATTGTTTTTAAACATGCTTTAATGGTGACCAGACTGCACCGATGAGATGCTATACTTGTCTTTATATAGGCAATACAATACTCTATAATCTTTTTGTTTTTAACTTACTATAAAATGTACAAAATCTTCCACTTAAAATAAGCCAGAAGTGCATAATACTTACATGGTATCATAACGCAAAGCCTGAGATTAGGTTTGGAACACTGTACAGGTTTCCTGGCTTTGATACTGTGGCGTTTGAAAAGTCCCTCTTTTGGCATCATGTTGGGACTCATTTCGAACACCTTTTGATTTTTTTGACAGAGTTGCATAAACACTGACGTGTAATGAAACCGGGAAGAAAGTAGGAAGAGAGAAATCCTCCCCGTTGGCCTAAATGTGCATCACGTCCATCGCCCAGACACGTGAGCCGCGCGCTCGTTTGAACCCACCGTGACGAGAAAGAGTTAGAAAGTGCAACCAGCAGAGTCGGGGGCGCCTTAAGTCACCTTGACCGCAGACTTCTTATGGACACAGAGAAAGGAAATGTAGGGCACGCCGATGAAGGCCCACTTCTCGTTGGGCCAGAACATGATGACGGGCCCTCGCTCTGGGGCCTCGGTCGCAACGTCAAAGTAGGCGAAGCAGACGCAGCCCAAGTAGGAAGCCAGACAAATGAGGATGTGCCTGTAGAAGCAAAGGTTTAGTTAATCAAACTGCCTGTTGCAAAAATGTATTTCCAAGCAAATTAGTGTTTCACGTTCCGCTTTTACACTTGTACCAAGACCCCCAGCGTCCGTCTTTTTCACTTTTTAAAAAGGATCTTAACTCGATTATAGACAGAAAAGGACATGAGATCTTTTGTAAAAATATATTTTAAATTAGTGTGCATGGACTAAATAGATTGTATGACCTTACTAAAAGTCCTAATTACACCAACTTTTTGAGCTTACCAAGCACAGTGCAAGTAGGGGAAATTGACAGATGACCACATCTCACAGAATATCCTGTCACTGATCCAACAAAGCAGAGCCAGTGCCCACCAGATCCCCGAGACCAGACCCAGCTTGAACACTCGTAGGTTTTCACACCTGCAAGGAGCAAAGAGAGCACTGTGAAATGTGCATTACTGTGAAAACGAACAGCAATATGCACTTTGTTTGGGGGATGCAATACTTGGAGCGCACAGTCTGTCATTACTTGAAGGCCTTTTCATTTGATGTGGTGATTTTGTTTGCAAACAGCTGCCTCATTACACGTCCGCAGCAACAATAGCATCTAGTTAGACGCCAGGTAAAATGAATAAGTCAAAAAGTTGTGTATATTTCTACTTGTTGAGTGCAAGTTTCCCCCTCCAATGACTTCATTGACCAAATATGTGAGCCTTTGCTGCTACATACTCCACTGTGTTCACCAGCTACTTGTTCACCTTCTCTTCCATTTGGCGCTCAGCATTGAGGGAAAGTAAAAAAAACATATTATTATTTATTATATTTATATTCAGAAGAATTCTGGTCTCTGCGTATGGAACAGACCACTGACCTGCAGAGACGGCTTGCAATGCAGAGCGGCACTTCTACGACTATTCTTAGTCTCGCCCTGGCTGAGCAAAAATAAAGACAGAGGACGCCTGTTTTTAACTGTGTTGACGATGCAACTATTTAGTCAGTATGACGCAGTTCTTCCCCTTGAGACGGAGCACTGAGGAGCTCAAATCATTTCGCAAGCCCTAAATTCAAGTAACCCTCAAGGGATGAAAAGAGAAGAATGACGGGGCGACCCAAAGGCTTTCAGAAAGGTTAACAGCGCGATAAGATTTGAATAAACAACAAGCCACCGAAAAATGTGCTCGTCTTAAGTTAACTCAGCAGCCACGGCACCAATGGAGAGAGAAGTAATGCTCAAATGCAGTAAAAAATCTTTGCAAACTTTTGAAAGATATTTCCATTGAAGCAACCAAACGAGCTGCAGGTCATACCAGTTGAAGTCAGGCTGAAGCCACTTTGGGAATTTGCGGAATTGAGGAAGGGTGCGTTGGTGTCATGGCTACTCACCAGCAACAGGATGTACAGAAATAGATGGCAATTGCTACCTTCCAAAGGGAAATAGGCCGTTAAATTGTCATCAATATGATGTTTTATTGCTTCGGAGACGGTACTCAGCGAGTACGAGGCTCAGTAAGTGGATTACATACTGAATATAAAAGGTACACTGGCCATAAGTACGCAAACATTCCTTCCTGCCTACAAAACATTGACGAAACCCCCCCCAGCTGGATATCAGGAATAATGTGCCCATCGGCTGGAGCACTGCTCCGAGACGTGAGCATCAGCGGGTGTGAGGGGAAGTTTCAGTCTTTGGCAATTTACGTTTACATTTATGTTTTTTTTTAAATCAAAAATAGCAAATATCTGGTATCATACCACACACCTGTCATGTTGACAATTTGAATGAACTAAGCGTCACAAGGCAAAAACCTTCCTCCACACAGGCATTTTTGTTTGATTTGTAACGTTCTTTACGAATGACTCCGCTATTATCACAAAACTATGACTGGTGTTGTTGCTTCAACACTACAATATTGCAGAGGATGTCCTATACATTGCACAAGCTGTTCTTGTCCAACTGGAAGTGACTTGAACAGAAGCCAACGGTGTTACTGTAAAACAAGCAAACAACCACTGAACTATCTGCCGTTTCTGAGGGCAAAGGTCCATCAGCCGGCACCACAGGAATTCTGTCCCACTTAGCAGAACAAAGATAAGCAGCCTCCACAGATGACTGGCACTTGCCGCAATGCACAACAAGCAACAGGTTGAACAATTGATGACTTAAGGTTAGACTATTGACGTGGTGAGTAAAGGATGCAGGAAACGGAAACAGGGCAACTCCACATTGCTCTGACGGAGAGAAGCAACACAAACACACATTAAAGGGCCTGTTGTGCGTTCTCAGGGACATTCTTTCACATCTTAATGTCCCGACAACACGCCGTCTGACAATGTCAGTACAAAAGGCCAGGGGTCACGTGTTAGCAGACGGCAGAAACTCCATCTTGAGACTGTTTCCCTTTGGTCTACTTATCTCATTTCCATTGCTTCTGAACACTGCTGCTGTGTTCCTCCAAATTCAATTTAGTGTAAACTCTGGGAAGTGAGCTAAATGATTTAATGTGTCGGGGCTGCACGTCCTCTTTGCCTCACTCTGGGGTTCAAGGAATAACTAATCTTTAAATAACTTTTACTAAGAAGACCTTTTTACCAACCTTTTGAGCTCAGTGATGAGGAGAACGGTGCAGGGGATGCCCAGCGTCATGAGGGACACCGAGTTGACGACCGGTTTCACGAAGGCCAGCCCCGTGGTGATCCCCGACAAGATGCCGATGACCACTTTGAACCGCGACCTGAACGCCAGAGCAAAACCAGTGAGAACAACAAAAGTTGCAGAAACTTTGCTCTCTATGGAAAACATTGTGGAATTCAGAGGCGAAATCTCTTTCCTGGCACCGTGGCGCACTGACAACCATTACACCAGAATCACGCAGCTATGGGAGGGACATTTTGAAGTGGCTGAGCAGCCACGATGGCCGCCGGGACAACGGAACGCCAAGTAGAGACGTGATGCTGCCTTTGCTGGTGTCGGCTATCTCGGACCGGCCTATTATTAAACTGGGAGTCAATAACAGAGTGGAAACATCGTGTGACGGTGAGCTGCACCCAAAATATGAAACAAAAGTGACCGCCGCCTCATTGTGGAACTGTGTTAGGACGTATGTAGCAGAAGGAATACTCTGTTGGACACCGTCCTCTGCGTGCGCACAAAAATAAGTAGAGAAGCCAACATACCGATCCCTCCTGAACATCCTGGGTAGATATCTCTTGGGGAACCACATGGCGATGGCGCACATGAGCACCCATAAGATGGCCAGCTCGTCCAGCATCTGGCCCAGGAAGCTGAGCGTGGCGTGGAAGTACGTCGATCCGATGCCTGAGGAGAGACGGCACAGCGAAACGCACAAATGTTAAATCAGAAGAGAGACGTCACCTGGAGATGGATGCGATTGTGTGTCTCTTCAAAAGCACTTGGATTGGACCTCGTAACGTAAAGAAGGACACGTCAAAGAGATCTACGAGTTAAGACTAAACTGGATAATTCATGGGGTCACAAGAAAATATTTAAAATATCTATTTAAAAGACTGATACAACATTGAAAATGTGACCTCTAACAGAGCCCACTTTAAACAGATTACACGGCTAGAGAAAATAATTATAGTGACATTCATCGTTTCAGCGACGGGAACAAACAGAGAAATAAACAAGTTAATTGGAAAGAGCAACTTGAAAACAAGTGTTGATGTTAACAGGAGTGGAAGGATGGATGAGTCAGTGCCTCTTTGTTATCGCGTCCCAACAGACCTTCTACTATCAGAACAATCTGTTTTCATTACAGGAGATTCCTCCAGCTCAACGTACTTCTGTCAGAAGCTGCTAATCGTGACAAACTGTCACTTCTCTTGGATAGAAAGCGTTGACAAAACAAGATCATTTACTTATTACTTTGGACTGGATATGGAAATTGTGCATTTTATGGACCAAACAAACAATCAATCGAGAAACAAAGTCATCAGATTAACCAATAACGCAAATAATCCAATACTAATGTTTTAGTAGCAGACAATGCGGCCATCCAAAAAAACACATGCGACGGCCAAAACCACAGAAGAGTATCTGACCGTAACCTATAGCGGTGTTTTTTGGGGTCAAAGCATTTCTGGTATGGAACAATACGTGTATGAAGAAAGAAAATAAATAAACTGCAAGTAACACCATCTCTTGAACACAAGGCCCGTAGTTTAAGTTCAGTTACGCGAACACTGGGTTCTTCGGTTATCGGCCCGCAGAGCCGAGCCTCGGGAACACTGGGACGTCTGTCGGCTTGTCTTTTGCTGAGCAGGCAGCAAAGGAGTGTTTTCAGAACAGCTGGAAGGGAACTAGAGCCGCTCATCCCCTTCGGGCTGTTACGCACATACAGTGGCAGCATTTACTACTGAAATACTGTGTGTCAAATGAAATGGAAGCAGTAGGTTTATTCACCCCAGCGATGAACGAGCCCAGTCACAGTAAAGTGGTTGTCTGAGGACGGTGAAATTATTCAGGATAAACGGAGTCTGTAAACGTGGTCTGTGACAGAAGGAGCAGCTTCCATAACAGTGAGGTTGTTGCAGTTCAACAATGTGGGTCCCTACATACAACGTGTCGTATAACACGTGCACTTTATTTATGCACTGGTAATGTTCGTGTATTCTGCGGCAGCCATTACAGATTATTTATCAATCTGCAGGTGATTCTCTCCATGAACTCTTTTGGTTTTCTATTATTATTTGAAAACACTTCTCAACTTCACAACCTCAAGAGCCTGATGGGAATAAATATTTTAGTTTTATATTTCGTAAATCTTCTGTCTATCAAGCAGTTTATCACATCACTTTCATTTTTGGTTTATCTGTTGATTTTCTTCTTGATCAATCATTCGGCCAATAAAATGTCAGAAAGTAGCAGGAACGCAGACCCTAGTTTCCCAGTTCATTCCATTGCAATACCTTGATGTGACATTTAGTCCAACTGACGCTCTAAAACCTTCCAGTTGCTATAATAAAAGAGATACTTTTAGTGCTCACAATAGCTGAGCGGTAACCGCTGACCTTTGCTTATTTGGGAAAATTGTTAACTTTCTGTCTACTTAGTTAAGTACCTAATTGTTTCAAAGGGGCTGAATTCCCTCTTCTATGAAAATTACAGACCACAATAAAAAATGTAAAAACTAGATTGCTTTGGTGTGAGTAGCCTAGTTTGAGATATTGTTGTTTGTGTGAATACTTCCACAATAAGGCAACTCAAGCCAGAACAATCAAAATGGACAAAACACAGACATTTCTTAAATGGGTAACTTAAGCATCACCTTTAGAAGATTTAAATCAACATAGCAAGTATAGAAACAAGATAGTTGTATGATTTGTTATCCGTGTGCAGCTGAAGTCTAATTAAGATGATTGGAGGTTTTCCACAAAGATGAAGAGAGACATGAAAAGGTTAAAAGGTCATCACAGACATTAATGTCAGCCAGCCAACTTACCGACCACAACCAGTAGAATCCATATGAGGTAAATCCCACTGTTGAAATGTGTTGCATATTGGCGGAACAAGCACATTAATATGGGCGGCAAAACAAAAAACAAAATGTTGCTGATCTGAAATGATAAACAAAAAAAGAAAAGCTATGAGCCAAATGAAAATAAATAAATAAACAGTAAAACAGTCGCACCAAACCGTGTAGCTCAATGTCAACATGCGTGTTATAAGTTAACACACTTGACAGCCGGTGGAAATGAGAAAAAGGGAACATTTTTAAGACCCGATGCGAACAGTAAACTAACATGGTGCCCAATGTGACAAAGCTGCGCCCAAACGTGCAGCGATCTAAAGCGAACCTGAGGATAACATTGAAAAGAAAAGCAGCGCGATTTAAATAAAACAACAGAAAGGCAGAGCAGCTGTGATCTGGCGTTAGTTTGCTGCGCCTGTAACTTTACATACAACTGTAATATGCACAGACGAAAACACACAAAAACACACACATCGTTAGCTAACGTTAAAAACCGACCGTGTTGTAAAATTCGGCGATGCTGGGGTAAATTAGGTAATTGCCTTCGCACCAGTCCACGTCGGAGCTGCCAGCCTGCAACTGGTCCCAAAAAATCAGATTGACGGTACTCATGTCTGGACTAGTTCTGTCTGACAGTAACCGAGCAGAAACACTCAGCCGACAGTAATGGACCAAAAAAAAACGTTGTTCAGCGATATATTTTGACGTTCAGAGAGCTGACTCGACTATGTGGTAAACAACAGAAGTCGTCGCTGAGCTGCATTTTTAAGCCGTCGTCCTTCCTCAAAGCCCGTTTGTCGTGACACTCTCCGCTGTGCACTGACAGCTGCTCGGTCTGTGAGCCCGAGAGTGCTCAAGCGCTGCGAGATGATTCGCCGCTGCCTACTTCCTGCTTCGGTGACATGTGAAAAATGCTAAGAGAGGGACTCTCTTAGCTGGTTGTTGTTTTTTATTTGACAAACATATAAAAAAAGACTGTTGCATCAGCTATGAAAGGTGTATTGTTACTAACAACCGGTGGCTCTGTGTAGGTTTGCCACCAATAAATTGATCCTAATTACATTCTTGGTAAATTGAAATTTGAAAATAAAACACATTTTCTGACTTTGCATAAGTAATTCAATAGAAAGAAAAGATCCCCATAGTCTGGCGAATCTGGGCATTATCCCAAACCCCTTATTATATGTCTGCTATTTGAATTTTTAGTTTGGTTTAACTTATTGTTGCATTTTATATATTATTTTCAATAATCAATCATGTATTATGTCACATCCGTTCTGCTCTTCACTATGCCTTTTTGTCTGGATATTTTGTCTTTTTTACAATGCCAGTTTTTTGTTGTCTTGGTAATACATTTCAAGAAGGGGTCCGTTTTTTTTAAAGTTTTGTTTATTCAAAAGTAATATATAACAAGTATCACATTAGAGATTGCTAGGGATATTGCACCGAACGGAAAGATAATCAAGCTAATTTTTAAAAAGATGATTTGTCCAACATACAAAGATTATTTCTCTCACTTGAGCGTGGGATGTAAACTATTTTCAAATCAAGGCTTCTTATCTAATGGCAGGCTCCCTCTGGACAAGGTAGTGACATATAATGCCCAAATTAAGTTAATGCTATAATTATGGTCATAACCAACACTTTATTAGTTAATGTGATTTAACCTGTACTGTAATCGTGTTGTGGTTGTCTTTACATGAATAACACGTTCTAAATAATCAATGAATAAACAAATAACTACTTTATGTATATATTCTGTTTGTATCGTGTGTTATCGTGTATTGTGTTTGTCGGTATTAGTGTTATTTTTGTTATTATATTTTTGCTCTGAAATGTGTTAAAAACCTTCAGCTTGAGCCCAATCAAAAAAAAAACACAGCGATTCAGTTATCGCGAGAACAGAAAAGCCCTATGTGAGATCACGAAGCGGATATCCGGCCTCTTTTTCGTGGCGGACCGTTGTTGGGCCGGTTTAGCAAAATGAAGGTACAACGCTTTCTCAACTCTAACTCTCTGTGGAAATCTATTTTCTATAAAATATCACTGTGTGGTTGATGCCATGAGTTTGATCTTTTAAGCGAACCAGTTTAATATAGAAACCGCGGCTCCGACTCTTCGGATGATATTTGATTATGCTGCGATTCCGTGCTGACGATAGGGTCGGCAAGGGAGTTGTAGAAACATGTCGGCACAGTAAACGAAATGTGCAGCCGATTCAAGCTATTTACAGTTATGGAGAGATTTTAAACTTCTGTTACTTACATTGGATAAATCTGCCTACCTGTGTTGTCAGTTTACAACGTTATTCTTTAACCGGTTGCGGTAATGTTAGCGGGGTCCGGAGTGCTAACGTTAGCTAGCCCACGTAGAAGCTAAAAGGCCTCCACGCCACCGCGTTTCCTTATGAACTTCACCTCAGACACTTCGTCGATAACTGAATTTAAGGCTTTTAATCTACCCCGTTGCTAGTTTCCCACCAGTAACTCCAGTTGTAACTCCGTTCTCATTGATTTAAGTTATTACACAGCTAACATTACCTGCTACACCTAGGCTGCCTGCATATGACTCTTGATAACCTGTTGTGACGGTTGAGAAACCATCTACATGTGAAAACGACTACACTGCAACCCTGTCCCGTTTTTTCCAGCTGAACATCTCGTTCCCCGCTACTGGCTGCCAGAAGCTCATCGAAGTTGATGATGAGCGCAAGCTGCGAACTTTCTATGAGAAGCGTATGGCCACCGAGGTGCCTGCTGACCCTCTGGGAGATGAGTGGAAGGTAAAGTGATGTTTGACCCGGCAGTTTTTTCCTATGTATTCCGTACAACATCGTGCAGAGTATGTGTTGGTCTAACTTATTGAAATCTGTATTAGAACTGATGTGGCACACCAGTAGACCCTTTCTAACTGATCTGTAGTTATTAAGGGGGGACAGCGTGATGCAAGAGTACCGGTGGAGTTGACAACGATATTCGTCCAGGATCAGTGGATGGTTGAACTGTACTGCTCTCTCATTGCGTTTTTTATGTAGAATATTTTAAATCTCATATTATAAACCTGTATCCATGGCTGATTAGATAAATGTCCTTGCATTCTCAAAAGAAACTACAAAGTTAATCAAATAAAGTTAGTCTTCATGTCGGCCGGAAAGTTGTACAAGACTCTTCTTTATAGGCTGCATTGAGAAAAGGTCACAGGCTATGAGAAATGGGTAAATGGACAGCAGTTACAGCCCCACAATGTGCTGAGCATTGTCTTTTATGGAGGGCTCTTCAATATGTTGCCTTATAAGTTGGAGAAATAACCCGGGCCCACAGTTGCTGGACGACCTGTTATTGTTTTGGCCAGTTGACTTTCAAAGGCCAGTCGACTGTCCAACTTAACTCCGGTGTGTCTGTATAATTATGACTTTAATTGGTCAAGTCTACAATCAGATAGTCCTCATTATTTTTGGGGTTACACACAAAGTATCTCTGAATGGAGGAGCAGAGAACTAACACGCTGTTTTTCCTGTATTTCTGCAGGGTTACGTTGTGCGCATCAGCGGGGGCAACGACAGGCAGGGCTTCCCCATGAAGCAGGGTGTGCTGACCCATGGCCGCGTGCGCCTGCTCCTCAGCAAGGGCCACTCCTGCTACCGTCCCCGCAGGACCGGCGAACGCAAACGCAAGTCTGTCCGTGGGTGCATCGTTGACGCCAACCTCAGCGTTCTCAACTTGGTCATTGTTAAGAAAGGTAATGTGAGCGTAGACCATTTCATGGAAAAAGGCTTTTGTTCAGCTAACAGAGCAGAGGAATTATTTTGAAATGTCGTTTGAAAGTTGTATTAATGGCACACCAGTAGACCCTTTTTGATTGCTCTATAGTCATTAAGGGGGGACAGCGTGTTGCCAGAGTAACTGCGGAGTAGCTTAATGTATACGACCATGTCCAGAATCCATGGCTGGTTGAACTGTACTGCTCCCTCATTGTTATGTGGACTATAGTCATAATGACACTCTGATGTTGATCAATGAGCTTTGCACTGATGAGAAACTGTCCACTGTCGGGAGAATTTGTGAGACTTGATTGTCGCCCTAGTTAATTTGGGGCTGCAGGCGGCAGTTTTTTTTTTTTTTTTCTTGGGGACTAAACATTCTCCTGTTCATCACAGGCGAGAAGGACATTCCCGGTCTGACCGACAGCACCGTCCCTCGCCGCCTTGGACCCAAGAGGGCCAGCAAGATCCGCAAGCTCTTCAACCTGGCTAAGGAGGATGATGTGAGGCAGTATGTTGTGAGGAGACCCCTGACTAAAGAGGGTAAGACTACAAGAGGTTCCACTAAAGTTAAGCAGTGCCATTTGGCTCAGTGACTAACTTTTTGTGAATATGGTTTTGGCTTCTGTTGAAGCTTGAAATCAGGAATTGTGTCCATGGACGTTGGTAGGAACATTTTTAGCTTTTAACATGCAAGGTTCAGATGAACGGTTGATTTTGAAATACTACCCCTATGAAAGCACTTCAGGAAGGTTCAACAGCTAATTTTTGAGGGTAAACATTCAGGTCTTTCAGGAACTTCAACTTCAAATACTAGACGTCAGTACTGGGCTAAGTGGTCAGTAAGCTAAGCAATTATATATTCAAAGATGACGTTTTCCTTATTTTCATCCAGTCTTGAGTGTTTATGTATAATTTATGGCAAAAATAAGGACAGTCAATTTACTTGGCAGTTTCTTCTTTGCAAATCACCTACATTTAAAAAAACAAAACACGTTTCCTGTCCTGTCCATCAACCAATTCTCTTCACAGCCACCAACTATTACAGTTTCAATTATTAAATGATCCATTTTCATCTGGCAGGCAAGAAGGCCAGAACTAAGGCTCCCAGGATCCAGAGACTAGTGACGCCACGTGTGCTGCAGCACAAGCGCCGCCGCATCTCCCTCAAGAGACAGCGCACTCTGAAGAACAAGGAGGAGGCTTCAGAGTACGCCAAGCTGCTGGCCAAGAGGCTGAAGGTAATGTCTGATCCAGTTTCTTGTCTTTTCATTTTTACACTTGTTTATTAATATGCTAGTGGGGATCAGGTCTTCTGAAACTGGGAGATTTTGTTGCCTGTTTAAACTTAATGTAATATTTCTAAGGATGATGCACCAGTGTTTGCCAGCTGGCCAATTTCCAACTGCACTTCAATCCTGCCTGAAATATACAAATGGCAACAATTTCTTAGAGTGCAGAGTAACATCCACAATTTGAGTAAAAGGCTGTGTTCTACTAACAGTCATTGTAACATCTAACATGTGGCATCAGATTGTGAAATGGTGGGCCATCATTTAATGTTGGAATCCTGTATACTTTTGGGGAATTTACCAGTTAGAAAATTCAAGTTTTGGATGTATTGAAACATTTTACTCAAACATTTTTTTTTTCTTCTAAATAGGAGGCCAAGGAGAAGCGCAAGGAACAAATCGCCAAGAGGCGCCGGCTTTCTTCTCTGAGAGCATCTGCATCCAAGTCAGAGTCCAGCCAGAAGTGAAATCTAAAACTCAAATAAAGTCATGTTTTGCTGAAAAATCAACCTGTGTTATGTCATTTCAGTACATCAGAAATGTCAAATAGATGGTTTGCCAATTGAATTATTTAAAGCAGATCACTAAAGATGTTTTAAATTTTGGTTGCTATTTCATGTGCCAGAAAATGCAGCACCTTTTTTAAAAGGTAATTTAATGACCTTGACCATTTCAACTGTTGGGGTTCGGAAAGCTCTCAAGGGAGGCCTCACTCCTTTGTTCTTGTCCCGGCCAGAAACAAAAGAGTCAGCTTGCTTAAATTCAAGTATTTAATAACTAAACGTTAGGAATACAAAACTAACAGTAAAATATTTTGTGAAAGAGAATTCTCTGAGCAAGTCTAAAGCGACTTATCAAAGCGGCTGCAGGAAAATTCAGTCCTTTCCCCGCTTTTTTCTTAGGTGCGTTTGTCATTGGCTTCTCAAGTTTCTCCTGGATTGTCCTTCACGTCGATGTGAAGCTGCTGCTGTAACCGGAAACCTGTCCCTCACATTCCAATACGTTCAATGTAGTTTGCTTTATGCTTAAGTGAACATAACAAAGCATGCATAGTTCAAGTCAAACTAGTACACATCATTAATCACCGTTCATCACATTAGATCTAAAACTGTTCATGTGGTCCCAATTCTAAAGACATTTTCCTCAGTCGGCTGCCTTGCATTAAGTTAATCTACCTGACAACTCTCAAAAAACCGTGAGAAAATTGGGAGAAATCCATAATTGACGGCAATTAGCATCCGTCCCCAGGTTTAGTGTTTTAACATGACAATTGATTTCAAATTGCATTCACTTAATCTAACATGCCAATGTAATAAAACTACAATTCTAACACTAAACATTGCACTTCTGGTTTAAATCCCTAACATAACCAAGTTCCAAGCAGCACAATTGTCTCGTGCCTTTGTGGTTAACACAGAAGCCAGACTTCCCACGTAATGACTTGTCCTAGCTGGTCTCATTCAAAGGTTCATGAAATAAGGCTAGTGCCTTAGAGGTTCTGTATCTACTGGTTACAGGGAGCCTTTGCCAGCCACAATCCGGAAACATTTATTGCCAAAATGTCATACAAAGATTTGTCACGCACCAACTGCCAAGTCAGACAACAAGACAGTGCACAAGTAAAAAATACAATGAAATGCTAATGCTATGGGTAACTGCCAGAATTCAAGGACAAGAGAACAAACTTATTTAATCCATTTTATTAAGTTTCATCTCTGGGAGCAACCAAATCAACATCCTAAAACATCAAACCCAGGCGTCTTTGTTTGCTGCCGGATTCTGCAGGAAGATTTAGCTTGTGGGTAAACCTGGACCACCGCTGAGGAGCCACTTCCAGGCCTATGAGACCTGCCGCGTTTGGGTCCTGGGCAGCTTAACTTGTACATCTGAGATGAAGAAGAACGCAGACACCAGCTGATGCTGCATGTACTGAGGCAGCTCCTGAAGACTCCAGGTCTGAAGGTCCTGGACCAGGACAAGCGAGTTCATGTATTTACAAAGATTATTTTCACTCAAGATAAACCACATGTGAATTAAATGTCATTGAATCCATTTAGCTGCTTAAATTTCTAGTTCCTGTATCATAGCTCCCTGGAACACAGCCATTATTAGTAAAACATCCATTTCACTGCCTATTGAGTAAGTTGAACTGCACAAACATATTGTGACTGCATAGAAAAACAACATTGTGCCATAGTGATTTCTGTGTAGTTGATTTTTGGATTAAAAATCCATTGGGTTAGTATTTTTTGGAATGCAGCGTAAAATTAAAGTTCAATAAACTCACCGTAACAAAGCTCTACTCTACAGAATTCATTGTACAGTGAATAGTTTCCAGCATCTATGCTTACGCTTCATATTAAGACAGGAATTCATAAAAGGCATTTGACAACAAATCCAATTAGTATATTTTCAAGACTTCCTACCACACAGTACTCGCAGCACACCTGAGCACATTGCATCTTGGAGCCGACCACGCGGTACGTCGTCCTACACAGCTTGGCGGCGAGCGAAACCAGCCGCACGGGGCACCGTCTCCCGAATTTGGCCTCCACCAAATGGTCGTCTTCCTCTAGAAAGCCAGCGAGCGGATAAAGTACGGGCACGTTTTGAATGAGAATTCCGGCCGTTTCACCTCGGGAACCGTACCTGCGTCTTGGTCAGCGGCCAGAGGCCCTCGCGCCATCAGAGCCAAGTCCTTTCCCACTCTGGGGCCCCTCTTTGCAAGTGGCCGGCCAGCCTGGTCACCAGCCGGCCGCGAGCTGCCGGTCACCCATGCCACCGTGTACTCCACACAGTCCCTGGTACCGTGGGCCGCGATGCTCACCACGGCCTGGATCTCAAGCATCTTGCTCCTGGCAGTGGCAACAATCTGCGTGTAAAACCGGCACATCCAGGAGAGGCTGCTGTAGTTTCTTATGCCTTTGAGGAGAATGTGTGTGTCCCATTAAGATTTTGAAAAAAAAAAAAAAAGTCACCTGCTCCGTTGGTGTGTTTATTACTGGGAATGCCGTCTCCAGCCAGTCCAGACTTTTACACGCAACGCCATTTGCAATGGAAACTGTGGAAACGTTTCAGAAAGAGAATGTGTCATTTATGAAATCATTTAAATAATTATATATTTGGTACACACATGCTGCCAATGGAACGGATTTCTTTTTAGTCGTATGACCATACAAGGACGAAATGTATTACCATTGGTCAATGATTATTTAATTTACAGATTGTTGAAGCCATTAGTCACCCCCCCACCCCTTAATCCACTGAACGTTTTCTTCAAGCACAACCATGATCAGGGAGCCCCCCCTCCCTCACCCCACATTATTGATGGCCCCTACACCAGCGCATACACTCACTCTGAGGCCCCAGTTTAACCATGACGGGGGCCACTGCGGCCGTCACACCGCTCTCCACCGCGTCACACAGCGACCTCAGGCCGGGGTGTCTGCATTTAGTGCCAGTGTACACGACGGAAAGCTTGGTGCAAGCTGAGCGCACCACGGGCAGCCTGGCCAGCCTGGCGGCAGCACTCTGCCCCTTCTGCCAGACAGATAAACACGAGGCAATGAAAAAAAAAAAAAAAAAAACTCCAGGTGTGACGTCAGTCCTCGGGGAGGTTCCGCTGACATAAATTAATTAACTGTTCCAAACTAAATTATCAAAATAGAAGACGTCGTTCCCATTAATATGGAGAAATTTACTTGAAAAAGGAACCCAGCCCGCTGCCATGCAAGAAACCATATTTAATAGCAAAAAAAGGGTAAGACTTAAACCGCATTAGCAGGTGTTGATGCCTTGTGAACGCAGCCAACGAGTTAATCTACCTATACTCACCTGGTTGTTGTTAATCGGCATTTTTCGTACACTTAAGATAGAAGGGAAAAGGAAATGCTTGAACACGTGAAATGCAATCTTATAGGTTGACTTTATGGGCCGAAAATGATGTTGAAGGAATTGTGACACTCACCTTAATGGGTGCTGCTGGTGCTGCTGCTGCTGCATCGGAGAAACCTGTAGCTCAAATCACGTGGTCTCTCAATCTAAACATGAAGCAGCTCACCTGGTGAAGTACTTTGGCAGTTCTCGCGATAGGTCAACGCCACCGCGAGACGCTAAACCGTAAATATTTCAGTTTGCATGGGAGCGCTTTCATTTGATTTAGTATGTTTGACGTATGTGGTCAGTTGGCTACTAAAGATAATGACTAATAAGCTAATGCTTTTCATTCTTTTTATTCTAAAGTTACTCGAGAATTCTTTTCTTTTTTTAGCTAATGAAAACACTGTAGATTGTTATGGACGCATGAAACCCAATATAAATAAAAGTATCACCTGTCCGTTCATTACCAAATTAGTTGTAATGGTGGCAACGTGTGTTTTCAAGACAAGCCTTAAACATCATTGAGGACATTATTGAGCTCATTAACCAAGGATTTGGACCTTCCTCCATCACAGCTGTTTACCTATACACACTACACTGGTATGCACTTTGAACATCTGCAGACAACATGTCCACGAAGGATATCTGACATCCTGCATATGTTTCGGTAACCAACGCTCTGTTGTCAACGCGTATACTCTATTTTGACACGTTTATCACACGCGCTGTGAGGCGGCCGTGCAGCTGTTATCTGGTGACGCCGCTGCATCCTGATGGAATGTTTACCAACCGGGATGTAATTATAGGAACACAGTGCCAGATGTGCAGGGATCGACGCACACGGCTATTTGCATCCTGATGAGCGCTGAAGTGATTTTTCCTATTAGAGGACGTCAAGGGCGACGCTTGAGTGGTGCTGATGCTGCTGCTGCTGCTGTGGCGGCTGAATGCCGCATCTCCAAACGCAGACGCGTCTGCTGCAACGTGTCCAGAAAAATCTTTTCCTCTGCGTGTCGTCAGGGATGGGGGGGAGGGGTGGGGGGGTGCGTAGCGCCAAAACGTTGCTTGTCAGCGGAAGTCACAAGGATCGCGACCGCTGCCCGCCGCCAATGATATGGTATGAACACGTGTAGTGGGTGGTCCTCAGCACACCGCTTTCACGTGGCCGAGCGCCGAGCCCACCCGTCACTCAGTCCGGTGTGTGGCGGCTGCAGGAGGCTACATCAGCATGGCAACGGAGATGGAGCCCTCGGAGTAAGTGCCATTACCTCTTCCTCTCCTCTGGGTTTTTTTGGCTTTCAGTGATTACCAGTGTTGCACTAGGAATAAACATCAGTGTGTGTGTGTGTGTGGGGGGGGGGGGGGGGGGGGGGGGTTCTCAATTTGGCATTACGCATGGAGGAGCTGGAAGGTTATTATGTCACTGGGTATTTTGCTACTATATTTGCGTCCTTCTAAAAGTTCCCTCTAACAATAGCATGCGACATTATTTCAAAGCATGTGACACGTGTGGCTGGTGGTTTATTTAAAGAAATTCTTTACGCCGTTATTTATTGTCAGGGTAATGTTTGTGCGCCCATGTGTGGGGGGGCGGTTTTGGAGCCTCCAATCACGCTTTCCTCATTAGCACCAGATTTGTTGCGGCGCAACTGTGTCCGTTGTGGCACGTGAGATGGCGCTGACATGGTCGCTGTAAGCCATGTATGCAATGGCTGCTTTGCAGTCGCTGTGCATGGAGTCTCCGTTTCCTCCACTTGTGCCTGTTGATCTAATTGGCTCTCCACCCCTGACACGGATGGGGGGGGCGGGGTGGTTAGGGAGGGGTGGGGGGGCATTTTATTGGTTCGTCATCCCATGAGAAACATTGGGGAATTCAGCATTGTGGTCAAATTGAAACTCATCCTGTGTGCTGTGTTTTGACATGGTGTTGGGAAACTGGCGAAGAGGCAGTGCTGACAGCGGGGCGTTGATGGAGTGACGGCAGAAGGGGGAATGAGAACCAGCAGAGTTGTGTAATTGCTCTACAGACGGCTGTGAAGTGGGACAAAAGTCCACATGGAGCAGGTGTTGCTCACAGCCGTGTTTTAATCCCAACCTCTTATAAGGTCACCGGGCCTATACAGTGTAGTCGGGATGTGACCGTAACATGAACCCTTTTCTTTTATTTTGTCTAGTGTGATCCGCCTCATAATGCAGTACCTCAAGGAGAACAACCTCTACCGAACACTCACCACCTTACAGGAGGAGACAACCGTCTCGCTCAACACAGTGGAAAGCATCGACAGCTTCGTCGCAGATATAAAGAGCGGCCATTGGGACTCAGTCCTGCTCGCTATCAAGTCCCTCAAGTTGCCCGACAACACACTGATCGACCTTTACGAGCAGGTACGTCTTTTTTGCGTCAATCTGATGGATCGGCTACTGAATAAGCAACATGCGGTGAACGGCGATCTCTGTATCAGGTTGTAATGGAGCTCATCGAAATGAGGGAGGTGGGAGCCGCTCGCTCTCTCCTCAGACAGACCGACCCCATGATCATGTTGAAGCAAACGCAGCCCGAGAGGTACATCCATCTGGATAAGATGCTAACTCGCTCCTACTTTGACCCCTGTGAGGTAAGAAACAATGATACACTTGTTCTTCTTTCAAGCATGCCGCGTCTTCAAGTTCCTCGTAAAGTGACGTCCTCTGCGTCCGACCACAGGCGTACCCGAAAGGCAGCAGCAAGGAGGACCGGCGGCGGGCAATCGCCGAGGCCTTGGTGAGGGAGGTCAGCGTGGTGCCACCTTCTCGCCTCATGGCGCTCCTGGATCAAGTTGGCGTAAGGGATCAACATCAATCCACTTGTACTCAATCTCAAAATGTACGTTTCTGTTAATCCACCTCTGACTATTAGTGTTAAGAAACACTTTATCCAGCAAAACAACTTGGAACAGTCAAATGACAGGAAGTAGTTTCTATATATCTTCTTTTGTCTGGGCTCCTTTCACTGGTTTAAGGTGGAAAGCTTCCACTTATGTTGAAGTTACTTCTGGGTAACAATTTAGAGTTTAGCAACATTTGAACCATAAATACTTACTTTGTTTTTTTTATTTTCAACCGTCAACCACAGTCTATGAGAATACAACAGCATGCAGATCAGCTCCCCGCCGACATGACCATAGAAACATCTGGCAACCAAGACAGAGGAACGGAGAAGGAGAGCTTTCCCACGCAACTGTACCGCCACATCAAGGTAGACCACCACCCAACACTGTACGGCATTCCACAACTCTATAACTCTATAGAGTTTACAAAATTACACGTGTGTACTTGTGAACTACGAACTTACAGTAAGGGCGATTTCTCTTTTTATTGATGTGGTCTTTAAAGTTGACCACGCCCCCTGGCCCTCGCCACTTCCGCACGCGGAGTAACTCACAGCATTACTCACCTGAAGGCACTTGGCTCAGTCTCTGGCTGTGCTCTCATCACTTTGCATCCAATTGTCCCGTCCTTGCTTTGTGTCCTCGAGCATGGACGGTCTGCTCACACGATTTATGCGCGTTGTTTTTCAAACCTGCAGTTTGGGCGGCGATCACATGTGGAGTGTGCTTGTTTCTCTCCCGATGGAAGATACTTAGTCACCGGATCGGTGGACGGGTTCATCGAAGTCTGGAACTTTAAGACCGGAAAAATCAGTAAGGTAAATTGTGTTTTAAAATTATGATACTTAAATATACTGAGACCTTTGTTCACGTTTTGCTCAAGTTTTTAGATTTAGCTTGGAACAGAAATAATATGACAGAAATATCTTCTTGCATTTATTGAGGTTATTTTGTTCTGTGTGTGTGTCTTTTGGTGTTTGCATGAATGACTTAGGACTTAAAGTACCAGGCCCATGACAGCTTCATGATGATGGATGATGCGGTGCTGTGTATGTGCTTCAGTAAGGATACAGATCTATTGGCAACAGGAGCTCAGAATGGCAAAATAAAGGTTTGGACCTCATAATGTTGTTTGACATTACTGTCGGTTGATATTTTTCTGCACATTTGTCAACGTCAGCAAGCGCTCATTGCGTCCTCATTAAGTGATGTCTTATCACTCACACATGGAGATGCACAGATAAATGATGTTGTGCTATCAGCTGAGAGGTTTTCTTTGGGCGGTGGTCTTCTTCTCCCCAAACAATGTGACGTCTTTGTGGTCGGCCGTAGGTCTGGCGGGTGCAGAGCGGCTCGTGCCTGCGCAGGTTCGAGCACGCTCACAACAAAGGCGTGACCTGCGTGAGCTTCTCCAAGGACAACAACCACATCCTCAGCGCCTCTTTTAACCAGACTATCAGGTGGGATGTAAAACCATTCATGTGCACCGTAATGACTGATGTGGATTTTAGAAACATTACTTATATAAGCTGGACTGGACTTGTAGACCTACTGTGGAGACAGTGTTGCACACTCTTGGGGTGGAGGACAGACAACTTTACAAATGATAAAAATAGCATTACATTGGATGGATGGTAAAATATTTAAATGGCTAATACGGTCAATTTGATTGGAGTTATACAAGAAAGTGAATACCCAAATTTGAAAATGATGTAACACAAGTTTAAAAGAAAAGAGACAAAACACTGTGGGAGCCGCGTTCAATTTGTGCAGCTTTTATTTGGCAAAGCTCTGCTCGTCTACTGTGGCAGCTCCTCACTGACCTCAGACACGAATCACAAAAGATTCAAAGGCGTGAAGAAGAAAAGAAGAACATGAAGAGAGATCAGCTGGGGCCATTGAGCTCCTTTTACATCTCGAGAGGATCACACACAGACTGAAACTGCATGTATATGATTTTTCAAAAAACAAATATTGCCATAAAATTGAACTGATCTGGTCATTATTAAGTCCTCTCGATATAAACTGTAAATATGTTTAACTTAGTTCCATTATATACTTGTTGAGTTTGTACTTTGGCTTAGAAAACAGTTAACCTTTTAGGATAGGTTTAAAGAAAGGAAAGAAAAGTATTATAATATTAGTATAATATTTATTTGTTTAAAAAAGCTCAATAACAGCAGCAGTTAATGCCTGACATCACATGTTGCATGAGTGCCACACCTGAATGTAAATATGTTTGGGCAAAGACCTCCCACTTCCCCTCACTGACACACACACACAGGGACACACACAGGGACACAGACTGAGGAGTTGAGTGTCTATTTGTGTGGGCTGAGACGGGCCTGTGTCTGAGGCACATGTGCTGTGTGGGTGCAGCTGAGAGAGGCCGTGTGCTCAGGCACGAAGCTGCAATGTGTCCCCGTCGCAAATTCACAGAGACAGGACGCAACACCGTCCTTCCCGGAGACGCAGTGAATCAGAGCTTTCGGCGTTTTGTCGTGGCTCACGTGGGTTTAATAATTTGGCAGAGAGGCTGATTAATCTCATTCAGCGTTTTTTGTCCGTTTCGTTTTCAGAATTCACGAACTGAGATCAGGAAAGACACTAAAGGAGATGAAGAGCCATTCGGCGTTTGAAAAAGATGCATTTTTCACTCAAGATGGATTTCACATCATCAGTGCCTCATCGGATGGCACAGTTAAGGTACAATGAGCGACCCGTCTTCACGTATGTGAGAGCGTCACACATTAAATAAATCCTTAAATGAATCATAAAAATTGTGCATATTTTAGATTTGGAATACAACATCATGCGAGTGCCTCCGCACGTTCAAATCCGTCTCCCGGACCTCAGACGACCCCGTCAACAATGTGATTCCTCTCCCCCAAAACCCGGAGCACTTTGTGATTTGCAATCACTCCGACACGGTGGTCATCATGAACATGGACGGTCAGGTGAGAGCTCCCCCGACTCATGACCTACGCACCGCTGGTCACACTTTTCGGTTATGCTGATGCTCACACATGGGGGGGGCGTCCTCTTTTCTCGTCAGATCGTGAGGACCTTCAGCTCGGACAGAAAGCAGAGGGCCGATTTCGTGTGCTGCACCGTGTCGCCCCGCGGGGACTGGATCTATTGTGTGGGAGAGGACTTTGTTCTGTACTGCTTCCACTACACGACGGGAAGGCTGCAGAAAACGCTGACCGTAAGCTGCCCTGATAATAATAATAATAATAATAGTAATACTCAACTCTTTGGATGGGAGACGCGGAGCGCGTGGTGATGTATGTTCTTCTGCGGCCACAGGTCCACGAGAAAGACGTTATTGGCGTCGCTCACCACCCACGCGAGAACCTGATCGCCACGTACAGCGAGGACGGCCTCCTGAGGCTGTGGAAGCCTTGAGCTGCTCTCCTCCGGAGAGCGTGGCTACGAAGCAATGCTCCCACTTAAAGAGGAGGGAAGATCATGCGTCGCCATCCATCAGTAGTTATTCACCGCAACGTCCATTAAGGAGCCGGGTCTGTAGCTTAGGGGCCGTATCACGTGGTCTCTTTTCCAGTTGTCACGGAAATGGGCCGACGTTGCCACAAATGCGGAGTTTGCAAATTGATTTTCTCGACTTTAGAAAACTTTGGTTGAAAAGAGTCACATGACAAACAGCATCTGGTGAAAATTACCATGTGTTACGGGTGAAAGAAACACCACAACAGCTGCTGGATGGACCCAGTGGAGAAGGTGTTTGCTGAAATGCTGTTTCCAAAGGTCGAGGACAAAATTAGAACCTCAGATATTTATTGATTTTTGATAATTTCTTGAAATGATTCAAAATGTTGAGGTTAGGTGCTAGCCAGTTTCATTTGATAGCAAGAATAATATAGTCTTTTCGGAATTTTGTTAAACTAATTTATAAAGAAACTTGTTCTTAATTAATATATATTTTATTACATATAATTTGTTATTTATACACTATTTTATTAAGTGATTGATGGATCCAACTTCACAAGTGCAGTTTGAATCCCAATTTTTGGGGATGGAAATACATGATGGTGAACTGTTTGAACTGAATTCTTTGTGCATAAACAAACGTTATCAGGTAATATTATTTTTCACCTTCGGTTTATAATAAAACTTCGATTCGGAGGATATTTGTTTTGTCCTCCCTCGCATGCTACCTCAGCACTGTCTAACGTGACTACAATAAAATAAGTACTTACAAATATGCATGACGACTAATGAGAAACCTCACCAGAGGTCCAGCGACACTTTGCATCCTCTGTGTACGTAATCGATGTATCGATCGGTCGCATTACTGTCAGTGCGTCGCGCTGACTGTGTTAATGTGATTGTGATTAGTATGCCTTCAAGAAGGCGGAGCTACTGCCTCGATGAGTATTCATTATGACGTATTTAGCACTTTATCATCGATCTGCCATATCCATGTGTCATAACACTATCGTATATTGAATTGAATATATATATATTATATTACTGCCAGTCATGTCAAACATGATCAATAAAATTATAATCACACTTACAGTTCCCAATGTGCTTTTGTCATTTAAAGATACAACTCACTGTATCAAATACATTTACCTACATGTAAAAGCATTGTGATCACCAAAAAACTAAATGTAAATGTTATCAAAGACTGGAGCCAGTAATACATACAGTCTGTTATACTTCAGTCCCTCGGTCCAGAAAAGGCGTCTGTGTGGGTGTTCAGAGGGAACCAGCAAGTTGAGACTGTCAAGGTATTTTTGGAAATAACTTGACTAAAATAAACTTAACTAAAATAAATGTCAGTGGATGTCGTAACAAAAGTAAATATCACTCAGATAAAGTAAAATCACAATTTAGAGAGCCCATCAAACTGCATTTAATTAGAAAACATTTCCATAAACAAGATCATTGGTCCTAAGGGTGGGTCTCTCTCTCACACACACACACACACACACACACACACACACACACACACACACACACACACACACACACACACACACACACACACACACACACACACACACACACACACACACCCCTTGAGTCAAGCTCCCTGGACGTTATAGGTTCTCATCAATTTGCATTAAGAATGAAAGGAGTCTCCTGTAAGCATAGTTGTGTTTCACAAGGCAAAGTAATCACTGGAAAAAAACCAACCTGCATTATAGCTTCAAGTTAAGTTATAAGGCTTTAAATAAAGCAGACACATCAGTGAGGTACCAACCGCGCAGGTATCAAGTCCCTCGTAACTTCGCGACTTATTTGGCATTTACAATTAAAAAACTTCATTTCTTTTCTAATTTCCAAATGTTTTTAAAATCACAGAACTGAAATAATCTCAAGAACGTTCAATCTTTAAAACAACTTGAACCATCCCGCTTTTGCCGTGTAAGACTTAGGTGCAACTTGGCGATGGATCTTCTAAAAGAGGGAAAACATTTGCCATGGAGGCGTTGTGGGACATTGGATTTAACAAGTTAACCAAGATTGCCAAGTAAAAACTCCAAACCATAAAATCTTGAAAACCAACATTATGTTAAAATACCCATTCTGAATTTGAGTAATCCAGAAAACCCGCTTACTGGTAACACCCCATATCTGTTATTTCAAAATAAAGTGACTTCTTACCAATCCTTGATCGAATACCTACCCTGCTGTTAATATGCAGTCACATTTGGCTCATATCAACCGGTTTTGTTTATACATATAAGATGTCCTACATTACGCAATAGGTTAAAAAAACAAAAAACAAATGTGGCATCACCAGAGAACTGATCGCAGCTCAAAAACATTAAACCCAACTTAAATAGTAGTTTGAAAAATCTACATTAGTGGCTTGAACCTAAATACTGCCATGCCTGAACCACGATCACCATCACGGCTTACTTGCATGTTCTTGCCACATCCTTAAGAAATGTCTATAAAATAGCCCTTGAGAGGGTAAAACAGCAGAAACGTACAACTCAAGTCTCAACGCACATCCACCTCCATCTGAGGATTGGGTCACAAACACACAACGGATTGAACAAGTCATTAACAATTGGTTTACAACAACAACCGATTTAGTAGTACTATAAAAAAAAGGTTATTTTTTAATCTTAGAATATTGGCATACGTTTTAGTGTAAATGCATAAAAAGCAGGCAGTCTTTGTTGAGACAAGGGGGTTCTTAAGCCTCTGATAACCCATACATCTCCAATCACAGTGTGATTGAAAAAAAAAAAACTGAATTGTTGAAATAAGGCCCAGGCGATGAAGAAGAGTCCCGTTCTAGTTTAATTTTGGAACTATGATACTCGACTCCATTCGTTGGGAAACCGTTTTCTGATTGAGATCGAAAGAAAACCAGTTAACAAAAAGTGCACTAAATTCCAAAAAGGTGCTTTACTTAAAAGATGAGGGGATGGCTTCTGGATTGAGAACTGGCAAGTGGTTATTTAAGACGTCTGGCACTGAACGCCCCCTGTGCTGGGATAGTCGTCTTCTTCCATGTAGTAGTACTGATGATTGCGTCTTTTCCTGTTGTCAAGGTCACAGTCCTCCAGGTCGGCGTAGATGTAGAGATCATCGTCCATACTCTCCGGCTGCTCTGGATCCAGCTTTTCTGGGAGGTAGCGCTCCAGCATCTTCAGTTTGTCCTCGGAAAGGAAGTTGGCTTGTGGGAACACCACCTAGAATGAGACAAGCATAAGCCATTTTACTACATCGACCATGTTCAGCCTCAGTCGTTTATTATTTAGATCAGTGTTTTTCAACCAGTGAGGCTGTCAGGTGTGCCGTGAAAAAAAAAACATTTTTTACAAACTGTAACTTCATTGGTGAAAAAAAAAAAGAGCCAACTTGTGTGTTTGTGTGTGTGTAGTCGCGCTGTTGGTGGTATGAAAGCTCAATACTCCCCTCTGCCTGTGGGTGGCGGTACGCAGCATAATTAATAGGCAGATTTGCTGAGGCAACAATTTTTAAAAGTGAGATTAAGAGATACCTGGGCATAAAGCCTGTGCCATCTTGGCATTAGGATGATGTTTAAAAGTTTAATAAAACACAACAAATAGAACACGCGTTTCCCTGATTTCTTAGAGTATATTATGCTCTTGCTGAAACTATGTTTGGGATTGGTTTTCATATCATTTCCGGTTGTTGGTGTGCCGTGAGATTTTTTTCTGTGTCTTAAGTGTGCCTTGACGCAAAAAATGTTGAAAAACACTGATTTAGATGATCCAAAAAAAAGCATGGGTGTGGAAAGTGTGCCGCTTGTTCTGGATGAAGGCCGTGTTTGAGTGTGTGTGTGTGTGTGTGTGTGTGTGTGTGGCTAAAAGTTGAAAAGAAGCGAATATATATATATAAGTGAATATAGTAAAGCTTCTTACCGAAAAGTGAACAATAAGGCGTCCCTTCTCAAACGGTCGGCGATACATGGGCATCCCTTCATTCAAGACGCACTTTGTGTCTCCAGGCTTGATCAATTCCCCTGTGATTAAGTCAAATTGGGCAACATTAGTCATCTAAAACAGTAAAAACATAAGACAATATTTTATGTTCTCATCTTTAACAATACGTGACAAATGCAGAGGCCAGGGCTGTAATTTATTTTTTATTTAAAAAGTTGAATTAAAATTGGTTTGTGGGTGAACGAGGGAGGCTCTTTAAGAAAAAATTGGCCTAAAAGTATGACCAATGTAGCACCTACAAAAAAATAAAAATAAGCACGGCCCCCCTTTCTCTGGTGTTACAGCTGCATGTGTTCGCTGGCCTGTTGTCCCGTCTCGCTCTCTTGTATCTCGTATTGTATAAATTCCATTGATTTGATTGTTTTAAACATGTTTTCTTTGATAGATTTGGGTAGGTGGCCTAATTTAGTTTGCCACAAATGGACACCAAAGGGTGTTGTAAACACTGGTGATAAAGTCTAGCCAAAGTAGTGCTCCAAATACCCATTCCTATTGAGAAAAAAATGTGAAAAAGTTCACAGAAATCCAACTCATTTCAGTAATTTGTAACGGTTTTGAAATAACGGAGGCTGCATCTTTGGTCCCGATCTAAAATATTTAAGTGTACCGACTGATTAACATACAGGGTGTATTTCACACATTTTAGCATCACTCCAGGAAGTGTCTGTACTGTGAGGAACACTAACAACGCACTCAGCAGCGTTTATTGAGCTGAATCCTTTGTGTGAACGCTTAAGAGGCAGCATGAACGAGTGATGTTTGTTAGATTAACGAGAGGTTACTTTGTTTTTTTTAATTAATGTAATTACAGAACAAATACATTTTTTTCAATTTCAAGCTTTCCCTTAACTTGAAATAGAATAAGGTTATTCTATTTCAAGTTAAGGGAAAGCTTGAAATTGAAAAAAAATGTATGTGTTCTGTAATTACATTACACTTAAATAGTAGTTTGAAAAATCTACATTAGTGGCTTGAACCTAAATACTGCCATGCCTAAACCACGATCACCTTCACAGCTTACTTGCATGTTCTTGCCACATCTTTAAGAAATGTCTATAAAATGTCTATAAAATAGCCCTTGAGTTGCATTAAACGGTTTGGTTTACCTGGATGTGAGGTGATGAGGAGTGTTCGGTTGTCTAGTGTCTGAACAGGTTTCTTGAAACCACATAAAGCCTCAACCAGCTGCAACTCCATTGACATGACCAGGTCCTCTCCTTTCCTGATGACCACAAGTTGAGGAGGAAGAAAAACTTTAAAAACAGAGTGTGCTGGTTGTGGCACAAGGCAGCAAGCAAACTACTAATATGTTTGGGAGAGATACATGGACACGATGCAAAGTCAAGTAATAATTTAGATTTCTACTTACCTGAATTATACAAATATTGTATAGACGGTGTATAAAGTATCAATATCATCACTGCACCTGCTAGGGCAGAATATATCCGGAACAAAAGAGACCTGGTAACACGGAATAGATTACCTGGTGAAATGTGAATGTTCTCTCTGGTCCAAGACAATGATGATGTCACCTGGCTCAATTCCCGGCTCCTGGTCTCCTTCTCCGTGGAAAACGATCTTCTGACCATCTCTCATTCCTGTGGCAGTTAAGTGATGAAGTGTTTTTTCTTTGCTGGTTCCCTCCTCAGAAAGCCAAAAATAGATTCAGATAAACTCTCACCTTTGTCAATGTGGACCTCCAAAATCTTCTTCTGGCGCAGGATCTTTCGCCCTGCGCATGCTTTGCAGCGGTCCTTGTGGCTGATTCTCTGTCCTTGCCCCTGACAGCTGTGGCACACTGTGGACACTTGCTGCACCATGCCTGGTACCAGCTGGTGCATGCGGACTTGCATGCCTGTGCCGTGGCAAGACATGCACATCTGTCCAGCTCCTTTTCTACTCCCACGACCTGCCAGGAAAAGTAAACCGGTAAACAAAGACGAAGGCTTTGTTTCGGGTTTTTGGTTTACCCAACTGGTCCAGCGACGGAAAACCAACAACAGGGTGCTAAAAGTAACTCTTGTCACGCACAGGAAAAGACGTACCTTCACATCTCTCACAAATAGTATTCTTCTGGAGAGCAAGTTTTCTTGTAGCTCCATTATAAAGGTCTTCCAGCGTCACTGTTATCTGATGAACAATGTTCTTCCCTGAGGCAGACAAATCAGAGATTTTAGCATACCGTTTCTTGGAAGAAAGAATTTATCAACACACTTCTTTCATCAACTTCATTTTATCTTATCAATGTGCATGTATACATAAACCTTTTCTGCTACCAACCCTAAATTATAAATGTAAACCTCCTAAGACTGTACACAGACTGTAAATGTGGTACGACGGCTTTAGATGCACAGCTGTGTGCCAAACCCTACATTCATAAATAACACAATAGGTTAAGACTTATTCTTTCAAATATTCTACCACTCTATGTTCTGGCTACAACAAAGTTGAATTAAGAGGGCAACTCTTTAGAGCAATGAGAATTTTGTTTTGTTGCCGTAAACTAAAACCCGCAGGGACAAAATGAAAACTGATGGGACAAACTCACGTGTTACCAAATTGAGCTCAAACCCTGCTGATACAAAACGTACTGGGCAGTATATTTTACAGATAAAAATGTAACCTATCAATACTCTTTTGTGGACAAACTATAGATTTGGGCATTTCTGTACTTAAATTACGTGTCATTAATTTACATCAATACAGATATCTACAATTAACTGATTTTTCTTGGTCTTATGGGAGTGTAAGGTTTAAAATGTTGTAGTTTGGACTAATGATCGGACCAAACAAGCAGGCACAAGTCACAGATTTATCAACAATGAAAATAATCAGTCGTATTCAACAAACAACTTGGTATTCAATCCTGCAACTCTCCCTCCTCTTCAATGGAACGACCTCTGACCCAGACAATGTATCATATGGCTTTACACAATTCAATCATGCCTAAACATTATTCAAACAGAAAGACATCCTCTCAGCTTGGTGATCATTTCTTTACCTTTACGCTCTCTGTGCATCCGGCTCCCTCCACCAAAAAACAAGTCAAAGATGTCCATGGGTGATGCAAAGTTCCCCCCACCGCCGCCGCCACCACCTGTCCCTCCTTCCTTTATAGCCTTTTCACCTCCACGGTCATATACTTCTCTCTTCTTGGCATCTGACAAAACCTCATATGCCTGTGAGATCTGCTTGAACTACAAAGCAAAAGAAACAAAAATACATACACACTTCTTCAAAGAGGGTAAAAAAACCCCAACAATGCTGGCTTCATATAGCTGCCTAGAAAGGTATTCAATATTTGCATTGTATGCAGGGTGGTAAAATATCACTTCCACGTAGCCATGGCACATTACAATTTTGATAAATCTACCAAACAACAATTTAAACAAAAATTTCACGGCATTTAGTCTGACATTATTCCATTTTTATATATCCAACAGCCCAGTAGATTTTTACATAAACAAGATTATCACGGTTATGAGGACTTTGCAAGGTAGGTTACTTGCATACACATTAAAACGGCAAAAAAAGAACTTACTTTCTCTCCTTCAGTGGGATTTTTGTCAGGGTGATATTTTAAAGCGAGTTTGCGATAGGCCCTCTTCAGTTCGTCAGGGGTGGCATTGGCTTTCACGCCTAATGTGTCATAGAAGCCGGTTTCTTTGACCATGTTTGTCTTTGATGGATAACCTTGAAAAGTAACAGAAAGGGGAAACATGAGCAGTAAGTTCCAGAATCATAACCATAATCATAGAAAACAGTGTGGCTCCTTAACAGTACAAAATTCCCCAACTGCAAAACAACCTGAGAAAGTAAAAATATGACAAGAGATCCCTACAATACATGTAAAAACAAATAGCATATCATCATGCGGTGAGGTCTGTGAGAGAGGCCTTTTTGTTAGGCAAGCGGCCTTGTGTTCAGCTTTAAAAAGGCTGGATTTGCATATGCTTGTTTACATTACTGAGAAAACATTTAGTAGGAAGGTGCTTATATTCTGAAACCACAGCACCATCGTTGAATATGTTCTGAATCAGCATTGAGTTGAATCCTCATCGCTTGTTGACAAGCTGTAGCAATAACCTGTGCGGATGTAATTGATAAACCAGCAGATACGTGTATGGTTACGCTATGCTTGTATGAATGTTTCTACAGCACAACATGTCAAAGCCTTCCTTTTCGGGGATTACGGTAGGTCCCTGTACACTGCACATTGGTGTTTGTATAATAGCATAGCTGTAAAATGACACCATGCGATTGTTTCTCAGGTGAGTGATTTTACAACGCTGCCTTTATATTTATCATCGTGAATGTAGCATGAAATATGGCTGTGATAAGGGTCAAATGTTACGTCTAGGTTAACACTCCCCTGTCATTTACACCTGAGACACACACGTATACAACTAGCCTTGCTGCAGTGTAATGTAAAAGCCATGCAATGAATCCAACGTTCACGACGGTTCCTTTCAATGGTTTTGTAGATATTTGTTTTGATATATCCTCATGCAGCATAATGGCTAAAAGCATTGGACATAGTTTCTCAGTGTAATGTCTGAAATGACTATAAGACAGACGCAATGCCTCTAAAATAGCTAGGTATACAATATATGAATTATGATATAACGTTTATTAACGTGGGTGAAAATTCGTGAATGAGCCTAACAAGGTGGTCATAGTTAATTTTTCTAATCTGATAATGAGCAATATGGTTTAACTGTTTACTGGTTTACTGTTGATGAGCAGCCGCGCGTATAATTCTATGAATGCAAATACGTATTCAACCTTTGACTTACAACACCAGTTAGCGATCACAAGGTAGACGGCGGATAAGATAAACCAAAAGGCAGATCAAATAGCACGTACTTTTAACACGTCATGCGTGTTTTCATTAGCGTTAGCTAAGGACAAGTTAACGTTAAACGTGTCCTCAAATCAGGGGCTGTCAACCACGATGAATCGTTGTATCACCACCTCAGGTTTATTTTTGATTCGCACGAGTATTGATGCGTAACATATATTAGCAACTACCTGTTACCCCGTTTGTGATGAAGCCGACCAGGTTTCACACCTATGAGGCCCGTCTTACTGTAGTTAGCTAGCGTTCACGTTACTTAACCTAGCACAGGATAGCTAGGCTAATGCTAACCTGCTAACTCTACTCAACACTTTTTTTTCTAACGACTATCACTATAAATACATGTGACACTCGTCTAAATAAATCATGAAGTCATAGTTCATATTTTCCAACCTCGTATGAAACAGTAGTTTGAATCCTCACAACCTCAGTTCACAGAGACTCTTCCAGAAGCTTCTCTTCCAACCCGCCTCTACAAAAATCCGGTTTGGTGACGTCAGTTTCCTGCGACGAGGCGTCTCAACAATACAATGCGTGGTGCTGTTTTTGCAGTTTTCCCAATTCTATAGAAAATAGCTAACTACATACGATGTTAAAATGCCAATATGCTGGCTTATCAGTGAGGAGGATAGTCATAAACCCATTCGACTGCCACAGCAACAGACAGTTGTCTTGGGTCGAGGTCCAGAGACGACTATTAAAGACAAAAAATGCTCTCGTCACCAAGGTAAAATAGCTTTACATTCAGTTAAGCATTTGGAAACGAACAAAAGGTATGTCATTGTGATTATAATAAAAACTGAGTAGATACAAAATAACGTTACATGGCATTTTTGGGGGGGAATTAAAAACATTACATTGCCACTACAGAGTCCACAACAATGGATTTCAAAGCTTATTTGTCTGCAGGGGATACAATTCAAATTGGTCTACTCTACTTATTCCCCTTAAAGTTTATTTTATTGTGTATTATGTTATTTAAAAAAAGTTATGGGCTAAATATTTGCTTTTTATATATGTTGATCATTAAATATGTTGATTATTCATATATTTTGTTTTCCAATCTCTCAAATAAAAAAATTAAAACTTTAATTGGTGCAATGTTATTCCCTTCTCAACTAGTTGAATTGAAAGCAGAGTGCAACAAAGGTTATGTCACAGTAAAACAGGTAAGGAAAATTGATTTCATAGAGTGAAAGACATCAGACATGAGCCATAAATGATGCTGAGTTGCATAAAATACTTGTAATCAACTGCAATTTCTTTATCATTCTTTGTCTCATTTCTTTGTTTCAAAGTTGGGCTTGAATCCTACCTCCGTAGATTTTGCGGTGGTTGGCAAGGACAACGAGGTAAAAATGAAGGCTGGACAGCGTCTTCTTATTGTCAACCAGCTCTACCCATACACTGTACAGTTCAATGAGGATCCCGCCAGGGACCACGGCGGCACCAAAAGACCACGAGAGCTGTCTTCGGGGGACAGAGAGAGTCGCACACAGGATTCAAGTCTGAAAGCCGCCAAACAGTCAGAAAAAGTCCCTGCGTCAATCGGCCAGGAAGAAGCTACAAAAAGCAGTGTAAGAGAGCGAAGAAAGTGTGTGCACCCTGCTTTAGAATATTGTTTTTAAGATGTTCACATGTTTCTATGGATTTTCTATAAAGCCAGTATGTTACATTAAATATATTAACTTCATTTTGTTGTAGGAAAGCTTTGGGCATTGGAGCCAAGGTCTGAAAACCTCCATGCAAGACCCCAAGTTGCAGGTAGCGGTTTATGTTAGTGTGATGCTAAATTATCTGCATCTCTGTGAAATTTGTTACTGCTTGACTTACTGTTTAAATCTGATTTTTTTTTTAAAGGTATACAAGGATGATAAGGTAGTTGTTATCAAAGATAAATACCCCAAAGCTCGCTACCACTGGCTGGTCCTCCCGTGGCAGACCATTTCCAGCCTGAAGGCCTTAAGGGAGGAGCACTGCGACCTGGTGAAACACATGCAGCAGGTGGCTGAGCGGACGGTTCAGCAGTGCCCAGATGCTAACTCGCTACGATTCCGTACGGGGTACCACGCCATCCCCAGTATGAGGTGAGAATGGTTCTGTTACACTGAAGACCATGTTGGTGTTTTAGCACTTATGCTTTATGTTTTACACTATTGTAAGCCATTTTTCTAAGGGATACTCTATTTTTAAATGGCTTGACATAGTTTCCCTCCTGATAGAAAACAACTGATTTCAGTTAAACATGGTACAGAACGTCTTTACCTTTGTAGTAGCTTTTCTTTCCAGTCTTATCCTTTTTTACATTGTTTCTATCCTTTGTTCAAAAGAAATAAAATATTTATTCCATGCTTTGTATATGAAATATGTTATACCAATACACTAGCCTGACTCTTACTGACATTGTAGCATACATTACCAAAGCAAATCACATAATGAAGCATCTGAGGCAATTAAAAAAAAAAAGGGTATTGTAATTATACTTGCAGCTCAAATTGTTGATTTTGTGTACATTGTTGAGACTTTGATCTTAAATACAGTGAAAAAGTGTTCAAAAACATATTAAAAGCATTGGTAAGGCATTTTGTTCAATGCAAACCCCCTCTGTTTTTTGGAGGAGGTCGATCAGCATGTCTAGACAGACCAAAAAAATAACACGTTTGGTCAAAATTCTCTTTTACAGTCATGTACACCTGCATGTGATTAGCCAGGACTTCGACTCTCCTTGTTTGAAGAACAAAAAGCACTGGAACTCATTTACGACTGACTATTTCATGGAGTCGCAGGGTGAGAGCAATTTTATTGACTTGTCTCCCACAGAAGTATATTCTGTACTGCTACGTTTTTTGTGTTTGTTTGTTTATTACACATTTTTGTTTTTCTGCAGACGTCATTCAGATGCTTGAAACAAATGGAAGAGTCAACGTGAAAGAAGGAACCAGCGAGTTGTTGAAACTACCTCTGCGCTGTCACATGTGTCGCAAAGATATTCCCACTATACCAGCTCTTAAGGAGCACCTAAAGTCTCACTTTCCCAGCTAAAAAGGTGACCTCAATACACGCCTCAAGTCTTAATGGAATAAACATGGGACTGAAGTGTGTTGGTCGCTATTTTTGCCGATCAATTCTGAATCACGTTTTTGTTTTCAAGTCATTTTGTGATAGTAACACAATGTTGTGGATGCAAATAAATATTTTTTCAAGAGGTTTAGGAAGAGGTTCACTGTGAAGATGCATTTCATTTATTTATGAATTTGGATTCAAAATATCTACTCTGGGAAATCCCAAATTATAGCAAATGTTATTTATACAGTTCAAATGCCTCAAACTGTTTTATTACATTTTTTCTAAAAAAATAATTAATTTATTTATTTTAAATGGCCTTCCATTTAAAAAAAATATATATTAAATGTTTAATATATATATTTATTGTACACATTAATTATCTTTATTGTACACATGCAAAACAAATGTATATATATTTTTGTTTTGTTTGTATGTACATAATAAGGACAAGAGTACACCCCAAACCTGCTCTTTCAGTTGGAAATAACCTTTCTGCTAGAGGTACAATGACATCAGATATCTTTGCCCATAATAGTTTAATAATGCCTAAAGCTTTATCAGTTGACGTGTATCGGTTTGATGGCGTTATGTACTTCCCAGGGCAGGTCTGCACAATGTTAAATTGAGGAAATGTGCCGGTTATTCTAACTAAAAACATCAATGAGGGTTTTTCAGAGCCATTTGACACTGTTTGCTTTGTCACCATCAAGTGTAAGTGTTTATATCGAAAGGGCTCTATACTAACTAGCATTCATCCTTGATGTCCCGATGCTGCCTGAAGAATTAAGTCAACCGTTGTTATTTTTATTTTTATTTTATTTTTTATGTGAAATAATTGTAAAATGAAAACCATTGGCCAGTACGGGTATCGAACCCGCGACCTTGGCGTTATTAGCACCACGCTCTAACCAACTGAGCTAACCGGCCACACGCACTTCCCTCAATAACTAGATTTATAAAAATGTAGGCTCTGTTTCAACATTTTGTGCCAGAGTAGGCATTGTCGGCAAGCTAAAGTTAGTAAAAAGCAACAACGCTGAAACGTTAGCATTTGGTGTTCCGTTCACTCATAACATGACCTGATCATATGAAGGTAGAAAGAATCAATAAATAAAGGAAGAATTAATACCAGAGCGGAGGAAGATTAGAAAAAAGCTCATTTGAAGCACTTTGGCCTCACTTTGGAACAAATCCTTTTTACAGGCTGTTGGTAACTTTAAACAGTTTCCTGTATCAAAGAGGGAACTTTCCATATAAAGTTTTAGAGCATTACCAAATTGACTTCCCAAAACTGCTCTTATATGATTAATAACTATAAAAACATGCAAGGACCCGTAGCAATTTTATATTATCTCTTTATTATTATCATCAAAACAAATAAATGCTTAGTCGCCATCATCGTCAAAATATCAATCACATATAGAAAAATAAATCAGATGCATTTAAAATGTTAATGCCAAATTCAACATTCAGAAGCAAAGGGCAAGAGAAAACTGCACTCCACTTCCTCATCTCCTTAAACTAAACTCCCTTTCATCCTCATCTGGCACCATCAGAGAGTCCACTGAGTAATGAGCGTCATCTCCAATATCTTGGAACAAATACTCTTCACTCTCACAGCTCTGAGTTCCGTTCACACAGTCTTTGGTTTCGAGTTGTCCCAGCAAAGCGTCGTCACTGGCCTCGCTCTCCTCCACGCTCGTGCTGGAATCACTGCTGTCACTGCTGTCACTGGTCTCGCTGGTCTCACTGGTCTCGTTGCTTTCGCTACTGGTGCTCTCACTGCTGTCGTTGGTGGAGACAGCAGCACCTTCGCTGCTGTCTGCACTGTCGCTGGTGGTGTCACCGCTGTCAGCGGGATTCTCCACCAGCGGCAGGTGTGTGTCGCCCCCCTGTCTGATGGTGGCGCTGGTGGAGGTATTATTGGCCGGTTTTTCCGTGAGTTGGTCTGACTGACCCTTGACCTCTGCGCTGAAATTGTCCTCCGCACTCAGGTCTCGGATGACGGTCGCAAACATTTGAACCCAGCTCTGAGGCAGGGAATGAGGGGAGTATAGTGTCACTCGATCAGCTCAACAGAGACATTGTGTTAAATAAGAAACGGTGCACCCACCTTTCGAATGTTTTCCTCACTGCCCATGCTGTTATCTGTGGTTTCGGCCATGGGGTCTGCCTGTGGAAATACAGTGAATATGAGCCACGTGGAGACCAGAAGGGTGGAGTGTCACACATTAACGTTTCACCAACATACTAGGTTTCTCAAAAATACTTGATTTATTTAGTCTTACCACATCCTTCTCATCCAGTAGACTGTTACTCTCCTCTTCAGTCTGTTTTTGGAAAGGATACATGCAGCTTTAGAAAATAATGCATTTATCTCCAAAATAGAGAGTGCAGTTTCATTTAATTAATACATTGAGGACACTTTTGTTCATTATTAGTTATATTACTTCTACAATTCTTAAAATATGATGAAACTGAGGAGATTAACCCAACAAATAATAATAATGTTGTTTAGTGATAACAGTAAAGTTAAAAAAAGACAACAGACCCTATCCTCTGATGTTGATTCTGTTGATGTTGATTCTGATTCTGATTCTGATGAAGACTCTGAACTCTGACTCTGAAAAGATATCCAGCATACAGGATCATTTGGACATAACTACATATCACGTCTTGAGAGTAATTCAATCTAAATGTTTAGATCCCGTGCAGAAATTGACAATGGACAAATCACTCTAACTTACTTGTTTTGAGGTACTTTCTTCAGAGCTCTGCAACAGAAAAAGGAAAATACACCCATTAAGGGGAAAATAGATGAGCAAAAGTGATGCATAAAGTCTACATTAATTTCTTTTTTACTGTAATAAATGTACGCATACCAAGAGAGCTGAGGTTCCATTTTCCGATGATTGTGAAGACAAATTCTCAGTCTGGGAAAGAAAAACCCGTTATTCGCATGCCATTGTGTATTTAATTATACCGTATAAGTGCAACACCCTCAATCATCCCAATCAAGCCATTGCTGCTTATGGGTGTAGACACACAGAAGAGTAAACAATGTCTGAAAAGGGAATTGTCTGGAGGTCTGAAGACTCTTCAAGCAACCGCACCTATTGCTGACAGAACACAACCTGCCTTCGGGCGAATGATTTATGTGTGAATAGCTTTGAGTTCATGTGCTGGAACACCAAGAGTCAAATGCTTTAGGAAGGGACTGATTTCAGATAGCACTCACCGAGTTAGAGTCAAGCTCATTCGATTCCAAAACAGCATTGAAGGAAATCTATTGGGGAAAAAAATGAATCGAAGGTCACTGTTGAGATTAATGTAGTCTCTCAGTTTGCAATAAATGGGTACATGTATATTATATATATCTATCAATTAAGGTAATAATCAGAAATCTGAAAATGCACCACAAAGGACCTGATGCTAATATTTCAGAAATCTTGATGCATGTGAGTTGAATTACATGATGTTCACACTGAAAAGCCACGTCATAGTATTTTTTTCTTCCGTTTATCATACTTACTGGATTGGAGAAAACTGCTCCCATCAGGCAAAACATTATTATGTTGACCATCATTCTGTAACAGACATCCAGGTCGGGATTAATAGGGTGACTGGTTTTATATAATTAATTTTACAATACTCATATTGTATATGTTGCCCCTACGGAAATTTAGGGTAAAGTGGTTTGTGGTCATTAAAACACAACAACTTAAACTTTGGAATAATTAAAAAACAATAGCAACAAATCAGCAGCAATTGTCACGCAGTAAGTGTAATTCATGCAGTAAATATTTTACCTTTTTGTCCTTTATATTCAGAGCTTGAGTAAGAAATGTCCTGTTCAGCAGCAGCTACCAGGAGTGCCTGTTCTGGGCCGCGTTTGTAAAGCTGGCGGTTGAGGCCGTAAAAGCTCGCCGTGTGGATCTGCCGTGAAAAGCTCCCACAACCACTGCATATAAGTAACCTTAATCAAAGCCATTGCATCACTTCCTCCTGGGTTGTCTTTTGACTGTTGGCACGCGTAGGTGTACTTGTTTCCGGAGAAAAGGCTCAAAACAACATTCCCACTGGCACGATTACGGGTGCAAACACCGGAGATGCCCGCACACAGTCGTTTCATTGAACCGCTGCGTGTCCTCCGCCCCCGCTCCAGTCTTCAGTGAAACATAGTGTAGCATTCTAAACCATAGGGTTTGTGGCATGTTGAGAAAGCAAGCTCACCCACTCGGTGGGGAAAGGGGGGCCAGACGGGGCCCTGCTCTTGTTTCCGGGGAGGAGGGTGCTCTTTATTTTTATGTTCAGTTAAATTATTAAATAATTATTAGCTACATGAAGCAGCTGAGAGGTAGTGTCTTGCTCATTGGTAGATTAAAACATGTCAAGAAATATTGAATCGTACACATTATGGTTGAATACACAACGTTTTATTTAAAAATCCGCCAGATTTTATTGTATATTGTACTCAATGTTACATGATGTTATTGGAAATGCGTCTTGCTCTTGGAAATAGGGCATTTTACAGTAGAGGGCCTAAATTCAGGCTTAGGTTTTTCCTCTGTAAAGCTGTTTCCTGGATATCCATATATGGTCAGGCCTAAATTAAGATTACAGAATTTCTTGTTTAACCTCACTTTGGATTTCGACCGTGCAACAAAAACATGTAATTAGACTGGATGTTCACCAGTCTGGATCTTCCTGCCAAAAAGCCACAGCTAACCCTTGTTGTAAGTTCCTGTTTTAGCAGCAACGTGCTGAAAGAGAAGGCACCATTTCTTCAAAGTATTAAAGAAAACAAACTCACAAATAGCCAGCTAGCATAGTTAGCTTGTGTAAATACTTGCTGTATATGGGCTAGTTGGCTTTTAACTGGAAGCAAAAGAATGCTGCTTCTGTGCAGATCATTTGAGTCAATACTTACAAAGATAGCAGTGGTTTATTTAACTCTTTCAGTTCTGTTCTAGTACTTGATGATAGAACATATTTTCTTGGGACTTTTTAAAGGTAAACGTCAGTATATCTATATAATGTCATAGTGCAAAATAAACCAACCGTACTGTAATACAGGTGTTGTAATACGTCTGGACTATTAATGAATCCACATTTTGACTGCAGGTTTTTTACAGTTTTGTGCTGGTTATTTTAGCTCAGTTAAATATCTGACTACGTCTTCCACCACAAGCTGAAAGGCATATTTCCTGAGAGCTCCTTAGGAGATTTAGTAACATTTCTTAAGCTCTTGAGCTTCATCAACAGAGCTTGCAGGTATCATGAGTTCCCAGACTAACGTTAACATTTTAACGTGAACAATACCATTCATTACAGCATTTCCGTTGATGTGAAAGGGTTTTGTGTGTTACAATTAGAAAATGCCAGACAGGTGAATAGATCATGAGCAGTGAATGAAAAAACACATTTTTATCATTTTGTTATCCTCATCGGACTCATCCAATCTCCACTCGTAATATGTTAGTTGCGTCAAGATCACAGTGAAACAGGGACATCTAGTGTCCAAAATGAAACGTCTTTAAATGTTAAAAGTTTTACTTTATAAAAGACAAACTACACACACTTAATAAAACCCAAAACCCCAAAAGTAATTTGACATGGTTAACTCTGAATGGTGCTGTATCCACAGGAGATGTACATACTTAAATTATTTCCAGGTACACCAGGTACACCATGTGGTTGCTGAACTATTAACTATCTCTCTTATTTATTTGGATGTTTCTGGCCAAGAGAGCAGAGCATTAACATGTAGTTTTCAGTCCAAAAAAGACTCTGATAGGTGCAATAATGCACGTCCTGTCTTTGTGGAACAATAATCGGGTTTACCTTATCTGTGTTTCACATCTATGGGGTGAAAACGGTGTTTACCTGTAATGCAGCAATAGTACATAGCCACTGTAAACAGGTAATTGTAACAGTGTTAGTAATTTACCAACTAAATGCGATAAAATATCAAACAACGTGAAGAAAAATATTTGCTATATGCTTTTTAATATCAAGAATAAAATTGAAAAATAATTACAGATATAATTCACCTTCCAGATCAACATTATTTTTCCTCTTTTTTTTGACCTTGGAGTGCTGCTTTTTTAATAACCATCATTTTGGCAAACAGAGTAGTCAAATGAAGAGCAGTGTTGGATCTCTCTCCCTCCCTCTCCCATTGTCAATGTAGCTCAAAGACCCTCCCAAAGTATAGAAAAAGCGTTGTCACTGTCTCCCCAAAAATCTGCTTGTGTGTTTTGCAGTCAGTCAGTCAGTGTAGACAGTGTGAGCGCCGTCTCGAATACAAAAAGGACACCTTCATAGGTTCGACACACACAAAGCTTGTCATTTCTCTTGCAACCCCCAGCCTCAGGTAAGATCCTGATTATTGAGACTTTTCTATTGCTTTGTAATTTATTAATGATTAACTAGAAGTGTTTAACATTGTATTGATTAACTTTACGTTTACAATCAAACTTTTCATGTGTTGTATATTGCACGAATAACATATACGTGCAAGTAGCCTCATTTGTCAGTAGCCAAAACTTTACTTTCGTTTCCACAAGAGATTGTGCCTGTTAATAGTCTGTAAATTTGAATGTGGCTTTCTTATAGCTGTGCCTGTAATCTATTTACCCACGTACATTTTCGATTATAGTCAAATCTGAATCGATAAAAATAAATATAAATATCATATAAATAGTAAAATAAATAAAATATTTATTGAATTGCGTCAAAGATAAATCTACGACTCTCAGGTAATATGGATGTAGTATTAGAGCTAAAACGTTGATATTTGTCATCAGAACAGCACTGAGGGTCGAAGTTCCCACAGTGCTGTTAGGGAGGAAAATTAGGTATAAAAGTCAAACATTGCCTCAATATTAAAAAGATCAAACCCCTCAAATGCTCCCAGCCCCCCCCACCACCGACCCGTCTACACCTATTGGTGTTTAGTGGGCCAAACGAGAGGACCATTGTTCCCCTGGACCGGCCCAGTAGTGTCTTTTTTTTTTCTGCCCACAGAGACCAAAAGTTTGTGGACATAGTCAACTTTTTCCAGTCTGGTAGCTTTCGATGTTTACTTTAGCCTGATTGTGACTTTTGAGAGAGAGAGAGAGAGAGAGAGAGAGAGAGAGACGTATCTCAGAAGCCTGTAAAGTGTTGGCTGCACATACATGCACTTTTTGTTTAAACTTTGACAGATCTGCCAAGTTGAGAGCTTTCATGTCAGAAATCGGATTGTTTACAGTGTGTTTTCTTATATCAGTTCATCCAAATTCCAGCTCTGCTGTGAATAATTCAAACATGTAATCCAAATTTGTGTGAATTGATGTCCCGTGTTTAAAGCATTCCTTTCCATGTTTCAGGTATGAGAACCGGCTTAGTGTTCCTTTGCTTGCTGGCGGCGGCATTTGCCCTGTCGGTAAGTAATGTTTGATTTTATTTTACATTAGACGGATCATGTGGTGTAAGATTTGTTTAATGCATTACGAATGATCCCCATTCCATCTAGGTAAAGAGCAAACCCCATGGAAAACATCATGGATTGCATAAGACGTCCCACAAAGCCAAAGAAAAGGTAGAGCAGGACTCTAAAATGATTGTTATGTGGTATTGTTTGATGACAATTTCACGTTTTTTCTTACTTTTCTCCTGAATAAAGGACATTATCTCAGAGGAGGCCGACAAGCCACAGATCTTACCCACTCTAGTCACGTTTGAGGCAGGCACTCAGGAGCAGGAAGACGACGAACTGAGCTCCCAAGATAATGCTAATGTGAAAAAGGAGGAGGGAGAGTTTGAGGAGACTGAAGGGAGCAACAAAAACCGAGCAGTTCTGCTAAGCGAGGAGGAGTTGGTAGACATCTTGAAGAAAGAAGTACTAGAGGAGCAGGAGGCAGAAGATCGAGTGCTAGAGGACGGCGAAGAAGTGGAGACGGATATGAGCAAGGTGGAGCCTAGTAAGGTCGTGGAGGACGAATCTGAGGTGAAGGAGAGGAAGTTGGGCGAAAAACTAGAAATGGAGGTGACAGATGAGGATGAAGAAGAAGAAGTAAAAGATGAGAGCGTAGAGGACACTGAAATGCTGGACAAAGGCGAAGTTGAGGTGGAAAATGTGTCCCTCAAGGAAAAGGAAGAAATCTCTGCTGTAAAAAAAGCAGACAGAGAGGAGGGAGGTTCGTTGCTGGAGGAATCAGACGGAAGCACAGAGTCAGACATTGCCGTTGATGTCAACTATGCTGCTGATAGTGGCATCGTACAACCGCTACAGAGCGCATCCGCTAAAATAAAACCAAAAAAAGAGGCTAAAGAGAGGGGAACCCGTCACAAAGCACTGACCTCCATGCCACAAAACAGTGAGGCAGTCGTGAGGGAGGAAGTGTCCGACCAGGCCGGATCCAACAGTGCCGATGAAGTTAATGTGGATCCTCAAGAACCAAAGAGCAGATCAGGGTTTAAACCTGGTTCCGAAGCAGCTGCAAAGGAGGAAGAGGAGAGTAAGAATGACAGCGGAAGTCACTCCGAGGGGAAAACAAGGATGCAAAAGAAGAACAGGAGGGCGAGGAAGCACTCTCCACAGACCGAGGAAACACAGAACCCAACGGTTCCTCAGGCGTCTGAGGGCAGCAGTGTTGATAATACAGCCCAAAAGGCCAAGAGGAGGAGGGCAGGAAAATGGGTAATGCACTGAAAATGTACACTTACTTTATTTTCAGTGTGAATAATACTTTGGGCGTTATAATGGACTACTTGTAAAGCCCTCAACTGCTCCCTCTCTCCACTCCTCATAGCAATGTCAGGCAGCCGTTGGGGCATTTAATATATTTTTTCATGTTTTATTTCCAGGGTCCTTTAGTAGGAATGAATCCAGTGCAGATAAGAGCCACACTGGATCTCTACCCGAGCTCCAGGGCCCCTCTTGGTGGAGGCATAAATAGCTCAGAAGCCCCTGCCGGTTGGTTGATTCAACACTCACCATACAGACTAATGCACTATGCCGACAGCATCACACGGGAATCTGCTGACTGGATCATGTAGCTAAAACTTCCGCATGAGTAGCGTCGCTCTGCTCCATGGTCGCTACCAAAACACAGCTTAAAGTTTGCACAAAGGAGATCAAGTTGAATTTGATGGCTGTACAAACTCAGATGGCAGAGGAATGTCGGTGAGGGTGCGTTGTGGTTGCAGCTTGTTGATTTCAACTCGCAGCGCGACAAAATGGGACCAAACCAAAATCCTCAAAATGATTCTTGATGCAACTCATTTTAATATGCAGGACAAAGCTTTTAGGTCCAAGGTCATTGCTGTGCATGTTTTTTCCTTCTAGATCCTTGTAACAACTTTCCCTGCAAACGTGGAAAGACGTGTAAACTCGACGCGGACGATAAGCCGAGCTGTGTGTGTCAAGAGCCGTCAAAATGTCCCCCCGGTGTGAATGACTTTGATCATGTGAGTACGAGTGAACGATGTTCGACCGTGTTGCTGCTGCACCGAATTTGGATTGTTGCTCATTGTTTGATTTTCCGAAGGTTTGTGGAACAGACAACCAAACGTACGTTACATCGTGTGAACTCTTTGCTACCAAATGCAACCTGGAGGGCACTAAGAAAGGGCAGAGGCTTCATCTGGACTACACGGGGCCGTGCAAACGTGAGAGTTGACCTCTGAGCAAAGCACAAGGTCTAAACGGTTTCTATTGGATTATTTCCACGCTGACTGTTGTCTGTTTTTTCTTGCAGTGATACCTCAATGTGTGGACACTGAACTGATCCAGTTCCCTCTACGAATGAGAGATTGGCTGAAAAATGTGCTGCTGCAGCTCTATGAGCACGACTTTATGTTTCCTGGCTTACTCACACCTAAACAGCGCTTCAGAGTAAGATCCACTGCTCAAATTAACATGTGGCATCCTAAGCTTTTATGAAATAAAACTATTTTTTTATATTCCTCTTAAAAATTGTTTCAGGACTATGCTTTCACTGTATTATGTTACTTTCATTTGAATCAACCAGTCCACTGGTGAATCAAAAAGTCCCACAGCAGCTCTGCGACATGAAGAACTTCTATCCGACGTATGCTGTAAAAAGCTTTAGGTAACCACAGTAAATTCAACTTTAGTGTTTTGTATTCTGTAGGTGAAGAAAATCTCTGAGAGTGAGCGGCGTCTTCATGCTGGCGACCACACTGTGGAGCTGCTAGCGCAGGACTTTGAGAAGAACTACAACATGTACATCTACCCAGTGCACTGGCAGTTTGCACAACTGGACCAACACCCTTCTGACAGGTACATTTTATTCCTCTCTGCTGTATAGTGAACTTTCTCCACCTTAAAACTGACCCTAGTGCTCAGGAATGGTCACCGAAGTCATTGAAACCAACGCGTTTGCTGATTGTCAACAATGTAGCGAATAAAACGCATCCACGAGTCCTTCTATAAAGCACAAACATAAGCGATGTAAGCGATGCAAACGATCACAACTGATTTTTCGTCCTGTGCAGAGTCTTGTCCCACTCAGAGCTGGCCCCACTTCGGGTGCCACTGGTGCCGATGGAGCACTGCACCTCCCGCTTCTTTCAAGAGTGCGACGCTGACAAGGACAAGCAGGTGTCCTTTAAAGAGTGGACTTCCTGTTTCGGTATCAATAACGGTGAGAGCAACACCATGATACACTCTTCTATCCATGGATGACTTTAACTGACGACTCTGTGTTGAGGGGTGGTGTTGTGGTTAGAACTGTCGCCTCACAGCAAAAAAAAGGTTCTTGGTTTAAAACCACCCAGCAGTTTTTCTGTGTGGTGTTTGCATGATCTTCCTGCGTCTGTGCGGGTTCAGTTCGGGTACTCCGGCTTCCTCATACGGTCCAAAAACCTGCTCTGGGAGTTAGTGGGGGACTCTGAAAATGCCCGTAGTTGAACGTGACAGGGAATGCTTGTTAGTCTCTGTGTCAGCTGTGCGATTGACCGGCTACCCGTCGGAGGTGTTCCCAGTGTCTCATAAACAAGACTTGTGTGTCTCGTTACTTTAATCAAATTCTTTGTTAGTGACCATGTTAGTGTTTTCTTGTTTTTTGTGTAAAGTCATATTTTATTAAATGAATGACAATAAATATACAATTCAAGTTATAATGTAAACATTACTGTACCATTGCATTGTTTGTGAGGGTTCAGTGGAATTGCACATTTTTTCCATTGATTGATTAAAAATTAGGTTCTTCATTCTTCATCTTAATACTTCCTGCTATCTGTTTCCTTCACAGATGATATGGACGCCAACCTGCTATTTTGAGGTTCTTTTTTGACCTCCATCGACTACATAAGCAGCTTGAGATGGTACAGCATGGTGTTTGTGCAGCCTGAAGATTCCACGACCCTCATAACAACCACAAGAAACTCATTTTTACTTCCTGCTATAGAGAGCAAGTGTTGTTGGTCAGTGCTGTTATTTTGTGTCAGCCTGAGCTTTGGAACCAAGATTTGTATTTAGACTAAGCCGCTAGACTTATTTCATTAGATTACAGTAAAGCGTTATGTTTAGCTGTTGTTTTTTAACATAAACTGTTTCTTGATGCATTCCAAACTGGGGAATCATCAGCTCATTAATAGCAAGTTAAAGTATTTAGTAAAACAGAACTGTGTTGTTTTATGGAGTGATTTAGTAAATAAGTACTCTTTAAATGAAGGTGAAGTCATTCTACAGTGGGAAAACAGTTACTGTATTTTTATCTTAGTGGTACATTTTGTAAATGTTTGTCTGCGCGTGTACGCTTCCTTGCGGCTTAATTCAATCTTACTGAAATAAAGTTATTGCATCATATTTGTGGAAACTCTTCATGCTTTAATACAATGTTTTATTCAACCCTCAATTTCCCTGATGCCACCATGACATGAAAATACGACCTAGGCAACATTGGTTTTGAGAATGCAAGTCACTGATAACCAGTCAGGGTTTGCCCACATAATCCAGAATAATGGCCCTCTCTCAGGTAACAAAGCAAAAAATAGCCTGCAGCGTGGTCATGATGATTACCCTGACTTGTTGTTTTGCGACAAGTCGCTGGACTGTGATTGGACGTTACCTGGTGATCACCCAACCTGAAGCTCTCTATAAAAGCAGAGACAGAAGCAGCTCGTCACCTGTCGTCTGTCCGCTGTTACCGAGATAATGTTCTGCATACTGTGGCTTGTCTTCCAGGCTTTGGCTGTTGTGGTGGAGGGTGGTGTTTCTTCAGGAAGTGGTGAAACACTTACCGTTGGGGGAGTGAATCTCAATGGAGCCGCAGGCGGAAACAACGGCAACCCTGCGACTCAAAACGGGGTCCCGATAAATGGCGAACCGCTCGTGGCGCACTTGGTCCAACTCGGCGGCTCGTTTTTCATCCAGCCAGTTGGAAACCCAGCAGGCCAGGCTCCCCTGCACCGGCTGATTCCAGTCGGAGCCCTCCAGCAAGGTGGGACGTTCCTCGCGGGCCAGGCGGGCACAGCCAACGTGAACCCGCAAGGGCAGTTGACGCCAGGCGGTGGGCCGGTCACGGTGTTTGCTGTGCTGCCACAGGGAAATGCTGGAGCAAACCCACAGGGTTCCCCGTTGGCTCCCGGCCAAGTGCATCTGATCCCGCTGACCGGGCTGAACGTCCAGCAACAGCTGGGCGGCGCTGGCGGGAGGGCGGCCGGCAGACTGAGGTTCCAGCGGTCGGTGGCGGCTCGCCTCGGGAGGACGCGGCCTCCGGCGACGAAGGCGATGGCAGCGGAAGAGGAGGAGGAGGAGGAGGAGGAGGAAGGCTCTGGGATGGAGATGGAGGGGAAGCAAGCAAAAACGAGACCATAAAGTTGTCGTGGATATGTCATGAGTTGTTCAATACATCCTGATCCTGTCTCAAGAAATGTTATAAATTATTTTCATCTTAACTAATGACCAATAAATGGTGGAAGTCAATGGTTGAATCTGTGTGGTTTTTATTCCAATTGATCAATAAAAAACATGCATGATTGCACATTATCCAGAACATGAAATATGGTTGAACAATGATAAACCTCATGGGTGTGGCTCGTCTGATATTATGTTTAAATAAGTGACTGGTACAAATATGTATACATGTGTATTTACAGTGCACTGCTTACTTATACATACAACATGGTGATTTGAGTCTCCAAATGTGAAAAGCACCTTAAAAAACATATCTCACGTCATCCCTGAATAGATTTGTGTTTGTAAAGAATACTATGATGAATATATTCCTCTATAAATTCATATAATAACACATAAAAAAACATATTTCCAAAATAACATTAAGAAATCACATTTGTCACGTTATTTAACAGCAAAACAGGAAGACAACTTTACTTAATTTGAACTGCATGACAGTGTGTAATTAGAATAAAGCTCAAGACCAGACTTCCACAAAGGGTGTTTACCTGTGGGCGGCTTTCCCAGACAGCTCCAGCATGTGGCAACAGACAACCACACTGGGAATACATGTAAACAACTTGAAAAAATGAATCAGAATCAGAATCAAAACTCTTCATATAATCTGCATCACCAAGATTAATTTTGGCCAACAGTCCATCTAACCTACAAAGCTCACTCAGACCAACAAAACACCTCGTACGTGTCTCACGTGTCTCAAAATCTAGACTGTGTACTGTAATATGTATAATCTAACCTGTTGTTTTGCCAGAAAATTTGTACTATTGACGCAACTGTTGAGCGGTGCAGATTTTGCCTCCCTCAAAGTGAGAACGCTGGTTCCTGGTTATGTACAGTATTTCATCAGATATCACAGCTCTTGGTCTTCCTCTCTTTTGTCCTCCACACACCGTCCCTCATATTACTCCTCTTTGCCCACCAACCTGTCTTCTGTGATCCATGATTCCAAACTAAATCAGTTCCAAGCTATCGCCTTTTACTGAAACATTGCAATAAGAGTAAAGCAGGACACCTGGGTTGGCTTTGAGCTGAAATTGAAATTAGCTTGAACTGATTATTCTTAGATTTTTCTTTTGTTTTTGTTTTTTTGCTAAGAGTTTCTGTATTTCAAAATAATTACTGCGGAAATGTTTGAAATGTGTCATGTTCTGATTTGAATGTGCTTTTATCAGTGTTGAAACCAATGTGTCAGCATGTAAAAAATATCCTGCAAATACAAATTTTTTTGCAGTTTATGGAGTGTGAATGACAAAAGTGAAAAATGTGGTACATTGAATGCATTTTGTCTCTAAGCAATGAAAAGTTATTCCCAGTCAGGTCCGTATACACTTGGTTTGAGTTTAAAAAAACGGTATCGCACATGTTACACAAAGAGAAATTTGACTTGATGAACTATATCAAATATCTGCTCCCGTAATTAGGAAAAATCTGATGTTTTAACAAATGAAACGCCATGAACAGTTTGTGTTCCTCACTGCTGAGTTGCTGTGCAATACGAGTAGTTGTTTGAGAGCTGGTGTGACAAGAAACCATCTTTGGACAAATATAAACCAAACTCAAATCCCAGTGAGGCTTATAGAATATACTTACAGTATTTCAACTCTGCATTATAATAAAGCAGCAGGAAACGTGAAATATTCTGTTTTGCTTTAAGAGGGCGGCTTGCTTGGTAAATGTTTAATTGCATATAAGATGACACAGTTATTTTTTCATGTTCTGTCCATAAAATAACTTAATGATGATGCCAGTTGTTTTCCTCCTGTGACCACAACCCACAACATTTAGATGGTTCATATGCTGGTTTTTGGTCAGGAGGAACCAGAAACCTCAGCAAAGCCCAAGATGCCGCGTCACCCTGTTATTGTCAGTGGTCACTCTTCTGATACGAGAACAATCTACGGTCGACTGGGGGGGGGGGGTATACATTTCTTTAAATCTTGTACCATAGATAAAGAAGATGTCATATCACACACAGGTTCCCATGACACACAGGTGGCAAATACAGCTTATGATCAAGTCAGAGTTCTCCTCTCTAATTGGCTCGTAATAATCTCCGGGACAGATAAAAGGTGCTCTAAACTCAGAAAGCAAAATAGAGTCCACTTGGCACGCACCATTTGAAACGAGAACAAAGAACAAGGTATGGTGCCATTAAGATTTTATAATAGAATGGTAATGTACAATGTAGTTTGGAAATGCAGAAATAGTTTAACTGAAATCATGGAGATATTACCAACAATGTTTATTTCTCATTAGTTTATTCTTGTCTGTTTGCAGGTGTCAGGCTGCAAAATGAAGCTTCTTCTCCTCATCACATTTATAACAACAATATACTATGTGAGCACATTATCTGCCTATCTATTTAACAATTCATATGGTATATGATATCTATCTAATACTAGTGCATTTAATTTCTGTCCGGTCTCACTTATTCACTCACTGCAGGTCAGCGCGGGCAAGGTAAGAAAAAACAACTCCTACTAATTTGTATTTGATAAAGGCGTAAATCTAAAACCAGAGCGCTCCTTCCTCCTTCACACAGAAACAGAGGATGCTGGCAGCTATGATCGCAATGAATGGAGGAATGATGGGAGGGATGAACCCGGGAATGAACGCAGGCATGATGGGAGGGATGAACGGCGCCATGAACCCAGGAATGATGGGAGGAATGAACGCAGGGATGAACCCAGGGATGAACCCAGGGATGAACGGAGGGATGATGGGAGGAATGAACGGAGTATTGGCAAACAGAGTGAACCCTGGGATGATGGCGGGGGGCTTGAACCCACCTGTGGTCGCTGCTGGTGGAGCAGGTTTCATTGGGCAGCCACAGTTTGCTGGGGTGAGTGTATCAGGTTGTCATGTGATCACAGCACTTATTATATGACATTTTTTGAAAATGTTTTTCAAATTGGTAAAGAAGTGTTTTAGAGTTTTAGCAGTCCTAGAATTGTTTAATGCATATCTGCTTTAGGCTTTAGGTTGTTACATACGTAGAACAGGTATTAAGACACAGATAATAAGCAGAACTTGCCTGGTACGATACTGTAATGTAACTCTAACCTCACCACAGGACGGCCCTCGCCTGTTTTCTCAATGTCATGAGTAGACTGTAAATACTACTATTTGCCAGCAATTTGTGCATTATAAACTGAATACAGATTAATTGTAAGTCAGATAGAGCATGATATGATTAACAACATTATATTTCAAAGCAGTACAATAAAAAATAATTACCCTCATGAGAATATTCACAACTGTGCCCTCTCTCTATCCCAAAGTTTGTTCCCGGAGTTCCTGCTTTCAATGCACCGGCACCCATTCCCAACGTGTACGCTGTGCCTGCAGTCAATGGGGTTAGTGTTGAATGACCTGCGAATGTGTTAAGAACATCTTGATGTTGTATCGAGCTCCTGAGTAACACCCAGAACCATGGATATGTGTCTTTTTTTGTCCACTGTCAGTTTCCTTTCATGGGAGTTCCTCAAATGGCCCAAGTGAATCCTCCTCAGCAGCCTCTGATGGTAATCCCTCACCTCAATTCACAATACTCAGCCCACACACACACACACACACACACTTTTATTACAGGCTACATGATAATTGGTGGATATTGTACTTCGCTTTAGACACTAAATGTTTCTGCCGATGTTTAGGGGATCACAGGTGGTGTCACTCAACAACAGCTTCCTTTTCAGCCTGATCCACTCGGGAGATTTAGGGTAGGAACAGCGAAAAATAAACTTTACTAGATGTGAACGCTGATGAAAAATACTGGATAATTGTTGTATGTTGATTCTCCAGCGTCAGGTCGTGAAACGGGACAACACCTTAAAGAGCACTGTGGAAACTCAGGTAAGATTAAATGAGTACATTTAGGTGGATAACGCTGTTCATTCACTCTCTGTTCCCTCTTCAATCCCGCAGATTCCAGCTCCCTCCGAAATAACCACAACAACTCCCTGTGACAAGGACTATCAACATGAAGATTATTAACATGACATTAACATCAATTGTCAAAGTGATAACATCCCTTGACCTATTACTATTATTTCTTTAACCAATGATCTATAGAATAAATCCAAGCAACAACTAAAAAAACTATTAATGTAACATGTTACCTATTTAATAAAATAAATTCTATTTTAAATGAAAGTTGTTTTGTGTAACCCTTCAATTTAACACCTATGCGTTGAAACAGTTAATAAAATGTTGTCACGATTGCAATATGTAATGTTTCTCTACTGCCATCTAGAGAATATAATACAAATTGCTGCACAATGTTTTGCACTGAAATACATCCACATTTTAAACAACCCTCAAAATAAGAAGAGCTTTGTTGGGGGTTTCACTCATTGCATTTAAAGTTAACTGAAACCAGTGATGACTTCCATAATATAATCATATATAAAATATGATATATAGAATATATATATTAAATCTCTCTCTCTCTTTCTCTCTCTCTCTGAGCGGAAGGAGTGCTGAGTGTGCGGAGCGTGAGGTGAATTGTTTGGATGTGTTTCCTATCTGTTATCTCGTGTATTTTTCGGCGTGGTTTCTGGTGTGGTTCGTGGGGTGAATGCGTGTTGGTGTGTACGTGTGACTTTTCTTTCTTTTTATGTGTTTTTGTCTGCGTTTGTAGCCGGTCGGCATGTCGGACCTCACGGGGCTGACGCGGAAGCACGGCGTGAAGCTCGCGCCGGGCTTCGCGTGCTCCGTGGAGGACTGCGGTCTGGCCGTGGGGGGGTTGGTTGGGCACGGGAGTGTGAAGTCCGCCGCGTGGATGAACCGCGCGGTGGTCATTTTTGTAGATAGTGTGGAGAAGGCGCGCGAGGTGGTGGCGAGCGGCGTGGTGGTCCGCGGGGCGCACGTGCCCGTTCTTCCGCTCGCGGTGCCGGCCGTCAGGGTGACGGTGGCGAACGTTCCGCCGTTCGTCCCTGACGGAGCGCTGCTGGAGGAGCTGGCCAAACATGGGAAGGTGGTGTCCCCGCTTAAAAAGCTGTCCTCGGGCTGCAAGTCGCCTTTAATGAGGCACGTGGTGTCTCACAGGAGACAACTCCACATGGTCCTCACCAAACCCCAGGCCCTCGACCTGGTGATTAAGGCGAGGATCGAGGGGTTTGACTACGCCATGTTCGCCACATCGGACGATGGGAGGTGTTTCCGTTGCGGCGGAGAGGGACACCTGGCGAGGGGTTGCCCGGAGAGGAACCCCTCGTCCGCTCCGCTGGATGTGGGGATGTGTGTGAGAGGGGGTGAGGCCGAGCCGGTCGGTCAGGTGGATGAGGGGGTGACAGTAGGGACGGGTGAGGGGGTGAGTGTGGCGATAGGTGAAGCCCAACCGGTCGCTGAGGGGGTAAGTGTGGCAACGGGTGAGGGTCAGCCTGTCGGTCAGGTGGGTGAGGGGGTGACTGTGGGGATGGGTGAGGGGGTGAGTGTGGGATTGGGTGAGGGCCAGCCGGGCGACCAGGTGGGTGAGGGGGAGACTGTGGGATTGGGTGAGAGCCAGCCGGTCGGTCAGGTGGGTGAGGGGGTGTCTGTGGGGATGGGTGAGGGGGTGAGTGTGGGATTGGGTGAAGGCCAGCCGGGCGACCAGGTGGATGAGGGGGAGACTGTGGGATTGGGCGAGAGCCAGCCGGTCGGTCAGGTGGGTGAGGGGTCAGAGGGGATGAATGTCGGAGTGGATGGGGGGTTGAATGTAGCCCAGCGGGCAGGTGTGTGTGACCGAGTGAAAGAGGGGATGGGGGCACTTGGTAGTGGGGGAGCTGTTCGAGGTGGAACCTCGGACAGCGAGGAATATATGGAAGAGGGGGGGGTGGACTTTAAGGCCCCCCGCCTGAAGAGGAAGACGAGGGCCAACAGGGGAGGCTCTCGGGCAAAAAGAGGGGGGCGCAGAGGAAAGGTGGGAGGTGTGGAGTCAGGGTCCTCTTCAGGGTGGGCCTCTGGAGACAGCGTCTCCTCAGGGGGGACGGTCACCAGCAGGCACGGGGTGGGGCAGATGAAAGCGTTCCTGCAGACCACCAAGAACCAGAGAGGAGTGGAGCTGGAGGACTACTTCTCCGACTTGGAGAAGTTTGCGCGCTCCGTTCGACATGGCTGCACGAAAAAGGGTGGGGCAGACTACACCCAGCAGGAGGTTTTCCGACTAAGGAAGATCAACCTCAAGATCACCAGGGATGGAGGAAATGGGACTGAGTGAGGCGTCTGACCGGCGGAGGAGGATCCTGAGCAAGAAGACGGGCAAATGAGATGAAATGATTGTAATTGTTTTTTTTATATAAAATAAAGGTTTTTCAAAAAAATCTCTCTCTCTCTCTCTCTCTCTCTCTCTCTCTCTCTCTCTCTCTCTCTCTCTCTCTCTCTCTCTGTGTATATATATATATATATATATATATATTTTTTTTTTTTTAACATGTCTCATGAAGTATATGTAAATAATTGTCAAATTGACGTGGCTTATTGGAAGGGATCCTCAGGGATCATTAATGTTATTATTAACACCTGTAAAAATATAATAAGGCAGTTTTATTGCACTGCAAGTTCACAAGCAAAAGACAAGCAATCACTTTTAATTCTGAACAGAAAAAAGTCAACGATTTGTAGTAAAATGTATTATTTTTAAAGCAGATTCACAAAAACAGCTTGTGCAAATTTACCAGTTTCTTTTACTGTTTGTCTTCAAAACGTATCCCACCTCAGTCAGCGTTTACTATAATACCCACTATTTACCAATTAGATGCCAACATCAGTCAGCGCACAAAGAACAACTCCTGACAAATGTCTAATTATATGCTTCTGTTTGCCATTTTTTTCTCATGTTGAATAAGAATAAACGCATGCAACATTTTTACACACAGGACGTGAACGCAGGACCCAGAAGAGCACTGAGACTAAAACACTCATGGAAAAAGCTGCTGTTACATGTTTGTTGAAAACACAAAAGATTAAGAAACTTTTAGAGGATTTTCAATAGCTTGAGGCAGAGCGTGTCATGGTGTTTAGAGACATTACCTACACATAATAACATACCTGGCTCCGAGTCTGAGTCTGATGCCATGAGGAACGTCTGTCCCGCTGACCACACGGCGTCTGGAGGGGTTTGCCATGGGACTATAACAGCTCACATGATCACAATTTAAAAGGGACAAGGACGGGGGGAGGACACAGGCACACAGCAGCGGAACCAGAGCAACAGTAAGATGTCTCGTTTTAATTCTGTCAAGGTAAAATAGAAGAAAGGATATGTTTTTAAAAAAAAAATGCTTTGTGTTTGTATCGATTGTAGGACATAATGAAGCTGCAGACTTCCCTTCTCTTGGTTTGTCTATTTAGGACAAGCTTCGCTCTTCCAGTGAGTTAACAATATAGAATGTTTCTCATATCTTCAAAAAATTGCAGAGATGACTTTCTTGTCCTATTTCTTGTGTTTTACAGTTGCAGATTGGAATTATTGCAAGCAACAGCAATGAGGTAATAATATCTGTCAAAACATTTATTGGTTGCAACGTCTAAATCCCAAATTAATTAAATTTGTCTGTTCAGATTTTCCGACTGGATGGACTAACTCTTGCAACTCTTGGACAAACTCAGGTACTGGAAATGCATAAACAACCTTTTAGCTTTTCTTGCAACACTAGTATAATGTGCATTCCTTTGTCAAATGCACAAAGCTTTACATGTGTGGATGGAAACAAAGCGAAGCAAACTAAACCGGACTCTTCCCGCCGCAGGCGTCATCAATGTTGCCCCAGTATGTGTTTCAGCAGCAGCAGCCGGAGGTGCTGCTCACTCCACAGATGGTGAACATGAACCCTCAAGGGAACAATCCCTTTGGCCCCCAGGGGCCCCAGCTGTATCTCCCCGCCCAGGGCAACCGTTTAATGCCTATGGTCGTACCGAATGGCCAGCCGGAGCAGCTCGGACCACCGCAGGACCCCAACTCTCCCAACGTTCCTCAGCAGGCCCAAAACCCTTTTCAGGTACAACAAAGCACCTTGAGTATGCAGTAACCCCCTCACGGTAGTACGGAGAAATTAATTAAAACTTTGAATATACTTCAGGGCTTCCCATATTTCCAGTACCCGTCTTACGGATTTCCCCAGTTGACCAGACAACAGGTAGGAAGTAAAACACATTGTTTCTTCAGATGCTCACCGCTGATTTAAATTCATTATTTTGTCAACAGGGCTTTCCATACTTTTATCCTCCTTATGGCTATCCGCAGCAGAGAAACAATGTGGTGCTGCAGCCCAACAACGGTCAGCTGGAGAGAAGCACACAGAGACCACAGCTCCCTCTGCAGGTGAGACCCACAACATGGCATGTGGTTCTAAGTTGCATGGAGTAGGCCGAAAGTCGAGAGTACACTAGTGGTATATTCAGTTGAAAAACACGTTTTGGCTTGTGGCTTTCATTACCGTCACAGAAGTGTTCAGTGCATTTTTTCATGCATATTTTCATGCATAAGAATGTAAGAAAAACAGAGCTAAGGTAATTTATAATATGATTACGTCTCTTTTGCTCTTTCAATTACGGTTAGGAACTGATGCAGCGGCTATTATGACAAAAGACCAGAGTTAATCCTAATAACAGAGCTGCAGATGTTGAGTCATGTCTGGTAACTTTGATGCAAAGTCGACTGTCTGATCATGTCATGTCAGTCTCATTTCAGAGTGGAATCACCTTATGAGCTTGTTTTCTCGCATATTATGCCTGTCTTTTTAAAATCTGTTAAAGGTCATGCCAAAAAAAAGATGTAGCAATTCAAAAACTTTGAATTTAAAATATAGATAAATTCCTCAAATCCTTTAAAATCCTTTTTTCTGCACATCTTCCTTTAGCAGGCTTCTCAACCTAAGGTGCAAACTGAACAAGTAAGTTCACTACATACATCTATTGATGTCTATAATTTCACAAAAATGAGGACACAATTGTGTTGGCGAATCAGTCTAATTACTGTGACTTTGTAACGTTCTCTCTAACAGACATGGCCACTGGGGACACAGAAAGAAGCCACCACGCTTCCTCCCGATCCTCGTGGCGACACATCTGGCCCGGGTGTCGATGAGGTATGATTTTATACATTCAAACAAAACCCTGGTTTCTGTTATATTTTGCTCGCGTTCAAGTTGTGCAGGATTTGATTTGATTTGGATTAACTATTGTTTTTATTTCTCCAGGGTCAGTCCAACTTCCCATTCCTCTTCGAGCCTTAAATGTCACTTGGGAAATATCAAGAAGCTGATCAGAAAATGATTTTCTGTGTATTTGGTCGAATAAACTATTCGGGAGTGTAGCATTCTTCAAAATGCAATATGGACTCGATTGTATTTACATTATTCTCCATTCTGTGCTCTTACAACGTGTCAAATAAAGAACTTTCTCAAAGGGATTTAAGAGTTTTATTTTGGCATCCAGAATGTATTCTTGTAGAGGAAATTTCTCAGAATAAACAAGAAACAAATTTGTTGAGATAGTCAATTAAAATGTATTGATGATGGTTTCCTCCTGAGGAAAGTGAGGAAGAAGGAAAACAGATCAGCAGTAGTTACAGTTGTAAACTAATTCAGTAAATCAGTAAATTAGTAAATTAAAGTTTTTCTATTATAACATCCTCACCTTTTATTGTCAATACATTTCATCAGAATGGTTTTCTTCTCCAATGAATTTACGAGGGTTCATCTTGAGAAGAAAACACGTTGTTCAAATTAGACTTAAACCAAAGACAACAAACAAACAACATAAATCGTTTCTACTTACAAGTTTAAAAACGCCGAACTCAAGGGAGACTTTGTTCTTCAATTGGAAAAAGAGAAGCTGTGATTAACACTTAATATGTCTGAAGTGAATATATGTTATACATCTGTAAAAAATTACATAAATTAGACTGAACAACATGGAGATTACCGGCTCTGTGGCATTGTAGATCAGCTTCACAAATTCCTAAAATTGAGATTAAGAGAGACACAAATAACATTTTTTTTATATCAAATCAAAGATCAAGTAATAAAAAAGTGGAAAATACAGTAGGTCTCATATTTTTGGCATTTGACTGAAATGAAAGGTTATACCCCATTCTTTGGAAACCCGTCTCTTCCTCTCTGTGGGGGACGTACAAATTATTTAGCTACGATTCTGAGCTTTGACACTGTAATTACTTCTAAAAATAGTTCAATAATATTTTATACCTTATGGTCCTGAGGTTCTCCTGGTCCTTGCTGTGGATGGATTGTCCGTCATTAGAGGAAATGGATAATGAAAAAAATCTTTCTCCAGATTATTTTACTGTAATAAACATTTTTATTAAAGTTGATTCACTACCTTTGGCATCAGAAATATGTTCTCCCCCTGTAACATTTTTACACCAAAGGTCAGCGAAGTCATAACATTCCATAAGACAGTGTCATTTACAAAATAGAAGGAATAATTTCCCAATAAAAGTTAGATCAAACCACTAAATCATATTGTTTACCTCCTTCAGTGTTACATCAGTGACGTTCTGTGAATGAAACACCACACGGTTATTTGAAATATAAACTCCATTGTCAAACCCGTCATTTCAAACACTGTGTATCTAACATATATATCCATAGATGTATGGAAATATATACATATATATATATATATATATATATATATATATATATATATATATATATATATATATATATATATGTATATGTATGTATATCATCTTACCTGAAATGTCACATTGTCAACCTGTAAAGATATTGTAAACACAAGAAAATCAGGGTTTCGCCAGCTGTTCTGGTAGATATGAGTGTGTAGATGTCACATTGAGAGACGACAGGAGGCCTACCTTGAAAACAGGGGAAAACACCTAAAGAAGAAAGACACAGCTGTGTATCAACCTTTGTTATCATGTGGCATTCATAACAGCTCAACAGCATAACGGCTCAGCAAAGGTGTTTAAGGTGTTTAAGATACGCTTATAAAGCACCTTTGAGATGCAAACATGAATGATGAAAGACAAAAGCCGCAGACATCGAATACAGGCAACAACTAATACAAATCCACAGAACAACAATAGTGAAAAGCTTCTGAAATCAAAGCTTTAGTTGAAGCTGTAGCAGGCTGGATGGGAAAGCTGAGGGGTTGATTCTCTGTGCTAAGTCATGTCGTCTCATGCAAATGCATGACAGTTTTAGCTGCATGGCGGTGCTTTGACTTCTATTTTCTGATAAATTTCAAATTGGACCTTTCATTTTAAGATTGTATAAGATATTCTTGAGAGAAAAAATATCATAAATAGTCATATAATTTAAACGATTCTGGGATATAAAGTTGAACGACATCAGGAGTGAACTTCAGACTTTAACGACTAGAGACACAATTTATTTCCCTTTTGTCTTGTCATGATTTCATTATGAGCTTACCATTGGAACAGGGTTCCTCCTGTTGGGCTTCTGGCCCCTTGAAGGTCCTCCGCGTCTCCCAGATTGTCTGTTTGGCCCAGAAAGATGGCGTCTAAGCCGGACAGTGACACCAGGAACCTGTGTGGAGCACAGAAAAAGTGCAGTATTGTAAGTTATGCATAAATTGAAGAATTAGGTTGACTCACTGGGAGTCGCTGTTATCGGATTTCCTTCCTGGATAAAGTATTATGAGCATCCTATAGATCAGTTTAACCGACTTAAATTCAAAGTAACTTTTTGTTCATATAATTACAAACAATTTGTTAAAGATCAAGCTGGATTTCAGTCCCAACTTTGTGCTGCTTTAGCCCCCTTTATTGTCTTCTTTTTTGTCAGTATGTTAATCACTAGTTTTTGGCCACATTTTTGTTCCTTCTGATATTAAATTAGAAAAGCAAGATGATATCTACAAGCCCTTTTCTAAACAGGAAGTCAGACTGGAGGGAGGGGAAAATAAGTAGCTTCACGTTCTCCAGAGCTAAAAACATTTTGCCGGGCACAAGTTCTCTGCTTGACATGGTTTCTTTGTTTAATGCTATCGCACACAGAAAGGTCAAACCATCAATTTGTGATTTTAAACAGGTTTGAATGGTGCAACCATTGACTGATGAAACCCAAAATATACGTCTGTCTGGTACGCTGGTTGCAGGGAAACCTCGCGGAAGTCACTTTGGGTAGTGACGAATAAATCATTTGAGCAAAAAATCACATTATTGTCGTCAACAAAACGAGACAAATTCTTGAAAACAGGAAAAAAGCATGTTTCCCCCCCAAATATTTAAATATTCCTGTGTTACTATAATGACACTGGTCGATATTGTGTGATGTAAATACTTGTCTTTTGCCCGAAGTCGAAACGTGAGAAAGGTGGTCAGAGTCCCATGCTGGCCAGTCTCCACTTGACCCTTCGTCAACATCTTCTGGGCCCCGTGTCACTGGCTGCTCACCATCCCCACGCTGAACGAAATAGGTATTTTAATGACAAATACTAGATGATGCATATGGCATGGAAGTTCCTCTGGACCTGTGAGTCTTTTCCCTGTTACCTTAGAGTCCGCAACAGCAGGCGGAAACTTTCCATCCTGCCATGGCCTGCGCGAACCTGGCTGAGCAGCCACCGCGGACAAAACTAACGCTGCAACACACAAGAGCTGCATCGCTTCCGAAGAACCTGTAGGAAGATAGAGCAAATTGAACTCAAGCTAACCGATTTAAGCGCTAAAATCGACAAGACATTCCACATTGCACGTCACTCGGCGTCCACTCTAACACTCACCTGTGCTTTGTGTGTTGTCCCTCGTGCATGAATACTTATATCAGGCACGAGACATTGAGACACACCACGCATTTCTCAAGACAACGCATCTTAGCCACGCTTAATTATGTGCAACACAGCAGTTACTCCACACATGGTTTTGCTAATGTTATTTTAATTTACCTTGATCGCTGTTTTTTAGCAAACAGTGGACGATAACAACAGTGATTAAGGGTGAAAAAACATATACTGGGACTTAATTATCATTATTAATGAGTGTATTGTTGTGTTGTAATTTTGAAGAGGAAATAGCAGTAATTAATTTCCCACACGGAGGAATAGGAAGCAATGCATGCTTTGGGTGTTGGCTGTTACCTGCCTAAGCCGCTAAGTAACATGATTTGTAATACAACAAAGAATGTACAGGTGTGACATGTTTTCTGATTTGCCAATATTGACGAGGGAAGAATAAGAATAAAGACACTGAACCTAAAAATAAAATACAAATGTCTCTTATTATACTAAAGATGATATCAAGATTTTACATTTCACACAAATCCATTGTTCACTGTATTATGAGATATTGAATACGTGCTACGATCCCTGTGTGGTTTCCATGTCTGAAAGTTACGCATACCTTCAACGGTGGAAGTGGAAGATTTCCTAATATTTGTAATTTCCCAACAATGCTATTGGCGAATGAGATGAGACCCCCGATTCTGTGACTGTATATAAGATAATCTCAACATTCAGAGCAACAACAACCTCTTACATCTGCAAGACAGTCTGCTGAAGTTTGGGAGACTTGAAGGTAATAATATGAATGATTTGTTTCTGTACTATCTGTGAACGGTCGGTGGAGATTTAACTGATATTTTGGAAAAGCTAATTATCTGAACAAGTCTTTGTGACTTCATTTTTGTCACAAGAGATCACTGTAATCATGCTGAAAGAAGTGCTGGTGCTGGGATGCCTCCTGAGCCTCGTTCTGGCTCAGCCTGTAAGTGTAACTATCTCCTACTCAATATCAATACCACTGCTCCTGTATGCTGACACCATGACTTTTATTGTTACAGCATAATGAAGGAAATAACCAGGTTGTGTGTTTTCTACAGGTGGACACGGAGCACAAACGACTTGCTCGGTCCAACTCCAACTCTAACTCCGGCTCAAATTCCAATGAGGTGAATACTTTCTAAACCTTCTTCAACACTACTTATGAGGAATTACTGTAAAATCCATAAAAACCCCTCTGCTGTTTATTGACAGTGAATACTTGTGATTTTCTTAAAGGTTTCCACATCAGCAGCCAACCAGTTGATTCAGCAACAGTTGCTCCAGATCCTTCTGAACTTCCTCATCCAACAAGCGAACACTCCTGCAACAACCACAACTGCAGCTACAACGACTGCAGCAACTACCGTCACTACTCCTCGAGTTGGAACAACCTAAGCTAAAGAACTTTAGTTTGCTCACCAGCTCAGTTGCACAATGTCTTAACCGCAGTGTTTTCACATGAATTATTCTTCAATTGTGTTTATTCTCTGTGAAATCTGCTGAATAAAACTCATTCATTGAAAGCATCAACACGATTCTTTTGCTTTTCTTATTATCCACATGAGAAACATTAATGAAGGTGTGCAGAGAGGTGTGTATCATAGAATGTATTATAGATAGATGGATAAATACACCCATGCATGGTTCCCCTTTTCCAAACATGTCAGTCTCGGACTCTGTGGCAACGTACATGGTTTCATCACATTATCGGCCATTGATTAAATATATAATCTCAGCCCACGATGACAGAACATTGATGACTGAGTCTGTTAAAAGGTTTTTCCTTGTTCCTTTTTTATGTTTAATTAGCAGCTGAACTTCATCCCCATCTTTTGTAAAGGATCACTCACTTGATTTTGTTCAAGTACTGAAAACTGAGAATGATGAAGTTCGTTCTTTAAACCAGTCGTACCTGTTTGAGTTTAAAATGTTACGGTCAACACACTGAAATATGACAAGTTTAATGTTGCTAATGAAAAATTAGAGGAATATATAAATTTAAATAGAGCAACTTTAATGTTACTAGCTCCTTACCTATATTAAATCAAGTTTGCTTTACATATCATTGCTGGGTTCATGATGTATCTTCTCAAAGGGTAAAGTTAATTATCAGTGAAATTTTAGCGGTGGTGAAGGTTTTTACAACATCTTTGTTTAACCTACAACTCAAATGTAACATTGACACTGCAACAAATCTTGTACAAAAAATAAAGATTTACTGTTAATCTAAACTGTTAATGTACATTTTTTACAGGTCATTTTTTATTTTTGATGTATTGAGAGTTTGTGAAGTAAAATAAAAATGTCCCTGCAAATATATGAATAGATTTTCTCAAATTCTTTGACAAAAGCCTCCTGTGTCTTTTGTTACATCCATCCATCGTCAAACCACTTATCCTGCACACAAGGTCGCGGGGGGGGCTGGAGTGCATCCCAGCCAACTCCGGGCGAGAGACGGGGTACACCTTGGATTCGTCACCCGCCAATCGCAGGGCTCTTTTGTTACATATCAACATTATTAATTATTGCATTTTTATTGGTGCAACCCTTATGTGAGGTTACCACTTAACAACCTTTTAACAGAAAACAATCATTTGTTGTGGTAAACACCAAATGTAAATTAGTATTTATTCATTGATTGTAACTTTCTTTGTATAAAATCTGTTTAGAACTAATCTGTCGTTGAAGGTCAGCCTGACACATTCAAATCTCGTGGTTCTTGTTTTTCTAATGTTGTTTCATGTGTGTGTGTGTGTGTGTCTGTGTGTGTGTATCTTTCTCATTATGTTGCCGTGGTTTCCCTCCTGCCTCCAAGCCCTAAACACACATCAATCGCATCATGGATCCTTTCAGTCTGCTCACCTGCCTCATCAGTTAATCTATATTGCAATATTTCTACCACGGCTTTTCCTGAATCCAGTGTCGATTACTATTTTGAAATACTGTGGTAAGCTGTCTTTGTATTTTGTAACCTGAACTAATTCCAGCCTGTTCTCACAATAAAACTTCACCAACCTCTCGGTGTCCTGTGGTTGAGTTCACCTCTATGACACAGCAACCGCTGGAGGTACAATAAAAATTACACAAGTGAAATACAACTAAACACATCATACATCAAAAACGTTGGTTGTGTTTATTTCTTGTGGCTGATCGACTATGATTTAACTTTTCAAACAAAATAAGTGTTTGACTTAAACAAAAGGGTACTTGTTCCTGAAGAGTGTCTTTCAATGTCATGAAGTTTGAGAGATCATAAACAAGTACAAACAATTTATTTCATCGATGATTGGGTTCAACCTGGGATGTTTGCTGAACTTGATTCTGTGTAAAGTAGAACCAATCCAAGCATTTAAGAAGTGACCTTGTTTTGTCTTTGTTAGAACCTGTGTTTAAGCTGAATGACTGAAGACAATAGTGATAAAATGTCATCTGTCAATTGATGTCATACTGTAATGAATGAGAAAGAGTTAATTTTTGCAGACAAGAATTAATGCTGTAATGTGTTGTTTTATTAGTCAACTTAGAATTAATTTTATTTGTTGTTCTGAGCTAATTGTTTTTGAAGAAAACTATAACAGTTCTGAAATAATGGACAATTATAAAAAATAAACTGAAAATAAACTGAAAAAAGATGTGTAAAGACTGGATGAACAGTACATCTCATAATAATATTGTTTCAATCTCTGATCTTTAGCCACACCTTGAAAGGTGGAGGTGGAAGATTTCCCAATATTTGCATTTCCCAACAATACTGTTGGCCAATGAGACGACATCGGGTCCTCTGACTGTATATAAGAACATCTCAACATTCAGAGCAACAACAACCTCATCCATCTGCAAGACAGTCTACTGAAGTTGTGAAGACTTGAAGGTAATAATATTAACTGTATGTTTCTCTATTTTCTCTGTGAGGTTGACTGTGAGTTTGCTGGTATTTTGGAATAAAAGCTGTTTATCTGAAAAAATCTTTGTGACTTTATTTTTGTCAGAAGAGATCACTGTAATCATGCTGAAAGAAGTGCTGGTGCTGGGATGCCTCCTGAGCCTCGTTCTGGCTCAGCCTGTAAGTGTGACGATCTCCTACTCAATATCAATACCACTGCTCCTGTAGGCTGACACCATGACTTTTATTGTTACAGCATAATGAAGGAAATAACCAGGTTGTGTGTTTTCTACAGGGGGACACGGAGCATAAACGACTTGCTCGGTCCAAGTCCAACTCTAACCATGGCTCAAATTCCAACGAGGTAAATACTTTCTGAACCTTTTAAAATACAATATTCAACACTTCATTGTTTTCAAGCCAATTATTGCAAGATCCCTCAATATGTCTCTGCGGTTTACTCACAATGAATCTGTCTTATTGATTTGAAGGTTACCACCACCAAGTCAACGGCCACTACCCAGTCTACGACAACAACCCAACTTACAGCGAACCAACAACTCATCCAGACCATTCTTGCCCTCCTGGCCCAGCTTCGGCAAGGATAACCTGCTACAGCTCCTAATGTCTGAATGCGTAGAGTTCAAATGAACATGTTGAAAAACATCACCTCATTCTCTGTGGCATTTAACAAATAAAAATACTCAATGCAAATTCTTGACCAAATGAGTTTCTTATAATTAAAATGAATGACGCTGTTTACAGATTTCCCATTAAAACATGTGAATTATCCTCTTTATTATAATGATCATTATCATCAGTTATCTATGGTGGCCCTGAAGTGCAAAACACAACGACAAATAAGAAAGCACAACGGCAAATAGGAACACACAACTACATTAACTCCCTACGGAGAGGGAAGAGCCTATCTAGCAGAGGACAGACTCTTCGGATTGGACAGATGGACTGACTGTTTAGTTTTTTTCAACTGCTAACACACCGTTTTGCA